GTTGTACTTTTTGTACACAAAAATTTCAATTTTCTACAAATGACAATATGGTTAGCATTCAATAATGTTTATTCGTCATCAAAATTAAAAAAAAAATTGGTTATATATATGTATTTTACAGGCACCCTAATGTTTATACATGTGTAGGAGCTAAAGAAGAAAAAATTGTTTCCCTGAAATCGGTGCAACTGATGTTCTAATATGTGCTGCGAACTGGACCATGTCTAAGAATGTGCATATACAATTATTTTAAAGTCCTCGAACTTTCGAAAGAATAGCATACATTATGTGGCAAAAGCGGAAAGTAGTCAATTCCTGACCGAGTGTGAATTTTGCCGCACGAGGTAAAACAGCGTCTACAATAAGCGCGTCGGACGTGGACGCGGACGTGTACCTAATGAGAGAGAAGGGTACGGAGATATACATCTATATCCCTCTCTCTCATTATAGGTACACGTTCGCGTCCACGTTCGACGCGATTATTGTAGATGCTGCTTAGGCTGCAGTCCCATGGCAGCGTTTTGCGTTGCGTTTTGTCACTAGACCCTGAGTGTAAACATAGCAAACATATATCTGCATCTCTTTTACACTCATGGTCTAGTGACAAAACGCAACGCAAAACGCTGCCATGGGACTGCAGCCTTAGGCCCTCTCCAGAATGGAGCTAAACGCAACGCAGACGCGACGTATCCCCTTTTGCTTAGCATTGCGATGCGTCGCGTCTGCGTTGCGTTTAGCTCCATTCTGGAGAGGGTCTTAAGGAATTGACCTTTCCGCCCGTGTTGCACACGATGTTTTTTGTCCAATTGCACGATTAACAAAAACCAAAGCGACCAAATATTGAATGTTTAAGATAATGGATATATTTTTATTATTATTATATATAATAAAATATAATACATATATAAATATAACAAAAAATTTTATTATATTTTAGTTTTAATAATTATTTTTTTTAATCTTGGCTGAAGTCTGATTTTTTGTATCTTTGAATATTGGTTGAATATTGGGCCAATATTGAAATTCGAGCCTTGGCACTGGTCTCTACACTCCCAGCCTTGGACCAATATTGGTAAAAATAACTATATCTGTATATATAATTCTAAAATTGTTATTGCAAATATTATATATTTCAGTAAATTATGTTATTCCTATAACCAACATTGAATATTCTCGTGTGTATAAATATATAAGTATTATATAAAAAATGTAGTAACTAATACCATATTTATAAAAAAATAAATTTTTGTTTTGCTTTATTATGCAATGGAAGTAAAAAACAAATATTGAAGAATAACGATTACCGATTGTTGAACCCTCACATTTTTCTGTTTGCATCAGCACGTAATGTATATATATATATATAAATATTCTTCCATTGAACAATCGGAGAGACAATAGAAAATTCAAAAGTCGAAAACTTATTATTCTGCTCAAAATCTCCATAAAGATTGTTATAATTTGATAATTAGAAATTTTAAAATCAAAATATTATTAACAAGAGTGTTTTATAAATAATAAAACTGTAACAACAGACTTAAACAACACAAAAAGTTTGCTTTTATTTTTTTTACTTCTTATTTACTTGTCAAGAAATACAAATTCATGAGTTACAGAGTAAGTAATTAAATTCATGAAACAGAGCGTGCCCACATACTTATACACTAATTATCGTTTCATGCGTTATACATATTTAAGAATTTAAATATCTGCACGCACACAGACTTATCCAAGTTTCGGAAAGTTTTATTGACTTTTGTTCATTATTAAATTGGAAATATTTGCCTAATAAAAAACAAGGCGGAAAAAGTCTCATCTTTCGATCCGAAATCATATTTTTAACTAAGAAACACATTTTTCATATTCCATTAAAAGAATAACAAATAATCAAATAACTATAAATAACCTTCATTTCAACAGCCAAAAACATTAATTTAAGAATACATAATTGAGGTAGATTTAAAAAAAATTGTCCCTTATAGGTAAGGTGTAATATATAATACACCGTTAGCTGTAATAAGATTGAAGTAATGAGATCGTTTTGGAGCGTGACCAAGAAACTGAAGCGTGTGGCTACTAAATGTTCCGCTAATATATGGAAAAAGGTAATATGTCTACACTTGAACAGAAAAAGTGATTACAATTAAATAGTTGAAAGTTTAAGATGAATTACTATATACATACAATGGCTAAAGAACTTTAGCTATCTTATCATAAAATTTTGCAATTGGGACACGCATCTAAAATTGAATTGGCACACCAATTAATTTAATACCATTAACCATATATATTCTCTTGGAGAAAACTTTTATTTATTTAATCAACTCTCTAAACTTAAATAAAAAAATTCTCTAGAAATCAGTGAAAATCCTTTAGAAATCAGCAAAAATTCACAAAAACATTATTTAGTCAAATATAATGCTTAGCATTGGCTCGAACTAATTTTGAGTTTAGGTTTTTTCTGTGTTCTTAATTATTTTACGTTTTCATTGTAATTACCAATTGAGTTATAAAATTTTCTGATCATCCAATTTCACTCCAGTAGAACTACAAGAAAACATTTTTTCACTATAAAATTATGAAAACTAGATCGAATCAAAATGGTAAATTTGCAAAGGATCTGATCAGTTAACACGTAAAAAAGTAAATATATTGGCAAATGGAGTTTTAAGAGACTATTGTTATAGTGTTACATGACATAAGTCATTAAAGAATTTCTAAGGCATCGGACAACGGCCTCTTATATCTTTCCGATATTTCTTTTAAATATACTAGAAGAACAATAAATAATAAATGTTCTTAATTTAACATATATACAGTGGAACCTCGATTATCCGAACCTCTATTATTCGAACCCTCTATTATCCGAATCGAAAAACATTTTATCCGAACTTCTATTATCCGAACTATTTTTTGGTCTCCCGAATTTTAAATTTTATTTTCTCTATTTATTTTATCATTCAAAGCAAAATAACCAAATTTATGCCAAAAAAAATCTTAAAAATTTCCGAATTTTCTGAGTTTTTAATATATTATTAATTAATATATATTTACATATATGTATATACTTATGTATATTTAAAAACATATGTATTAAGTTAAATATATAGTTCAACTGTACATTTTTTTACTTTAATTATAAAAAAAATTAAAATCTCTATTATCCGAATTGTCGATTATCCGAACCCGGCCTTGCCTAGATTAGTTCGAATAATCGAGGTTCCACTGTATATGTAATTAAATTTTTAATGAATTTGTAAACGGAGGGAGGGGATTTCATAAAAAGTAATATATATGGATCAAAAATAGGACCGATCTTGAATTAATACTAATTTTATCTCTTATAACAAATGAATAATTCCGCAAAATAGTAATTTCCCAAAAAAAAAATTGTAGACCAATATTTTAAAATTTATGGATTTCTCGTTACTTGAAACTTTTTAGTGGCTTATATACGCATAATTTCAATCGAACTGTTTTTCTTAAGATCGTTCTCCTCTCATAAGTTTGTGAGTAATGGTCATAAAGTCAATGTCACCGTTTTTGTTGTTTATGGTGTCGGCTGGGTTTTGATTGTCCCTGGGTACATTCTCGTAAATTATAATATATGTATTTCAGTAATGGATCAGAGCTTAAAAATGAATTTTTTACTGCCATAGCAAACTATGCTCGTTGACTTAAGGACAGCGAACAATTTTGTTGTATTAACGAACTCTTTGCTGAAATTGTTCGCATTCCTAGTAAATATTTGTAAACTGTAGCAAATTTTGACTGCAAAAATCAGTTTGCTACTGCAACGAACTACTTTATTTCAGTGTATCTTACTGTTAACAAAATTAAAATATTTACAAATATTTAAAATCGAGATGAAAATCATATAATTAGTTACAATAGTCAGATTCTCTCTCTGCAACCGACACTAAAAATAGTCGCATAAAAGATTCGAAGACAAATATTAATGAACGCGTGCGCAATATTGCTTGAAGGGGAGTTCAATTGTCCTCTATAAGGGGGAGTAACTTATTAATTACTTTATGGGGTCCTTTATCAGACCCCAGTTTATTTTGAGAGCACTCGTTATTGTTCCTCTTAAAACATAATTATATGGCGCTGGAAAGTGATATACCTATAAACTTGAATGTATTTCAAGATTATATTCTTTTTCGTTTTTTAAAAATGTGTTATTAATTAGTTGCCCTTTTGTGAAATTATTAATCTGCTTAAATAAATGAATAATAAACGATACTTTAATTAAAATTTTTATCGCTTCGTCAAATTGGTGTATTCAAAAATTAAAATTTTAGAAAGGTTTTCCTCATAAATTCTTTTATTTTTTTTAATATTGAAATAAACATTAATGATGAAACAAAACTTATTGTCATTTATTTTACAATGAAGTATATATTTTCCTTTTTTTTATAAATAACTTGTGCAGTTACTTAAAACTGTATCAATTTCATTAAAATTATTTTTTATTTACAAATAATTTAAGTTATATAAATTGTTTACATTCCTTTTCATAGAAATATTTTTTCTAGAATAATATATTGACTATTTATTTAATTAAATAATAAAAGATAAAGATTTTCATTTGTGCATTAATTAACTGGTGGGTTCAATTTTTTGGAAATTCGATTAAAAAAGAAACTTTATTTAAACGTTTAAAATTTCAGGGACCAGATATAGGGAATAGTTAATAAATCATTTAAATAATGCATACCTATGTAAAATAAATTTATAAATAAAAAAATTACTTTTCATAAATAAATTTGTAAATTTTTTAAACTAACAAAATTTATTTGAGAAGCATTATTTAAGAAAAACAAAAAGAAAGAAAGCAAAAAAATAAACAGGTAAACAAACTTAATAAAGATATTTTCGTTTACCGAAAATTTTCACTGATGACAAAAATGAAAACACTTGTTTTGGTATATATCGTCACAATTGTCGACACAAAGAAAGGGGAATTTGTCACTCTATAAGTAAATTTCCATACATACCGCTCATTCGTCCAGTTCTGATGAATTAAACAAGTCCAGAAAAAAATTTCAAAGAAATACTGTATTTTATCTTTTGTACCGGCACAAAAAGGCGTTTTACGACCGAACTAGGTTAGGTTAAACACACAACACGGGACGAAGTCTATTCACGACTGAAACTGCTGCCGGTCTGACCGGCTGTGAACCACATAGACGACGGAGAGACTGTTGTTCTTGCTCTCGCATACAAACTCACTCCCGTGTGTAAAACAGGAGGCGCTTTTCTCTCCAAAGCATACTGTTGACGTTCGCGGGAGGATGGAAGTCGGGAATCGAAATGCCAACAGAACAAGTCAAAGAGAGATGGAGAAAGGAACCAAATGAAGTGGGGACAGGATTCCTCGTGCTCCTCGTCGTCTGGTTCAACTCCAGCCGGTCCAGGGCTGTACTCTACCCAGGCGAAAGTTTCAAGTTGACATTTAATCAATTTCGGTCAATATAATAATAGTGAGGATCCAATCATTTTTTTTCAAATTAAAAATGGTGTATAACAATATGGCGGAAGTAAAAATTAAAAAGTTGGTCTAATTTGATGAAACTTGTCACTTAAGGATTTTTGACATTACACTAAAGTTACCAACGTTGAATCGACGAAATGAAAATAAATAGGAAATAAAAATAAAATAAATAAAATAATAAAAGGAAATAAAAATTATACCTACCTCTTTTTATAATATTGTTGTTATTTATGAGTATTAATAGTAAATATTGAAAATAAAAAGATGTCGTATGTATTTTGTATTAAAATTTACAATTATGAATAATTATACATATAGTTATTTAATAATTTAATACAAATATAGGTAGTAGAAAATTATAATAATTAATGGATTAATTTAATTCTGGTAATTATAAATTAGGATTATTTATTGTATAACTTTAATTCTGATTTTGTAAAAATGTTTTTTTAAATGAAAAGATTTTCCAACTGAACGTCACTGATGGCTGAAAGTAAAATCTCATAAGCCATTCAGCCAACCGCCTCCCGTTTTAAAAGTTCATCCCCTCAAATGGCCCACACATGACTCGGGAGAAGAGTTTTGCGAGCCGACAATTCCTCCTCCAGCCCTCTGAGCAAACCCTTTAATCAATACTGGCATGGCGTCCTCCAGGTCACTCTCTCTTTCTCTTCCTATTCCCACCCCCAGTTATATGCACTCTCACTTTCTCGATTCCTTCGCTTTTTACTTTCATCTCAAAGTTAAAAATGACTGACAATTCTACAATTATAGAAAATTTTATCTTTTGAAACTCTTTGTATCTATAAGAATTTTTGTTTAATTTTTTACATTTCTTGATATATTCTCCCATTTAAAAACTATGAATACACAAAAAAGATATTAAAAAATATATTGGTAATATTACATGAGAGTTAATAATTATTAAAATAAAAATTGTTGTAAAAGGTTTGTTATATAAACAAATTAAAATATTATTACGTTCGAAAAAAATTTAATAAAATATATATTCAGGTCTGGTTTCGGCTAATAAGTTTAGAATAATTGTTTATCAATAAATAAATTTTTATAAATTAACCATTTTCTTGTAGTAAAAAAATTGCTTCAAGATATTCAAACCTGTTTTATCGATATCTAATAAGAAATTTTGATTGTCAATATAAGGATAAGGATAAGGAAAAAATTAACTATAAATAAAAAGAAAATATTTATCTTTGTAAAATTTTAATATATGTTTCTCTTGGTATGGAAATATTGCCAATCATTCTCAACTTCTTCTTACCTTCTGCTTGTTTCGATAATAATTTTTTTCTCCTGGTCACATCACCACCGTACTAAAAAATGAACAAATTTTACATGTTTAATTTGAAAAAAAACATATTGTATATAGTTGTAAAACATAAATCTGAAATTTATGTACACTCACGAGTTTAGCGCAAACGTCTTTTCTTAAAGCAGGTAAATTTTCTCTGGCTAAAATTTTAGCACCTACTTTTGCTTGAATTGATATAAGAAACTGTTGTTTGGGAATAAGATTTAACAATTTGAAACATAAAGCTTTAGCTTTCTCGACTGCACTACTTGCATGTACTATAGTACTTAATTCTTCGACTGGGTTTCCATTTAATAATATAATCATCTGAAATTGAAAAGTAATGTATTATATTGCGCACAAAACCATTGCTGGCTAATTTTCAGAAATTTTTGATTCTTCATAGAAATTATTCTGTATATTTCTAAACTATGAAATAAAAGGGATTTTGTTAAAATCTTTAATATGTTTTGTTTTGTTTTATACTTTTAGGACTAATGCTATTTTTAAAATTATATTTGACTGATTAAAAAACTGTGTTTTTCGCACCTTGTTCATTTTAATGATATGTTTTACAAGAAATAATAAAAATTATCTTTTGATACTTTTCATTTTATATGAAAATTATTTTCTTCCATATTATCATTATATAGAGTTAATTTTTAAATCTAAAATTGTCACCTTTACAATATTTGAAGTTTGATATCCACAATCCTCATAATCAAAACTCGCATAACCGGAAGTGACGGATTTCAAACCACCGTGAAAGTCCATAATAATTTCATTTAACGGGAACATATACTGCAGAATCATTCTCTCGTTATCGATATATTTAATGGACTCTTCAACTCCTCTTTTTTCCCTACACAAAGTCTTAATGCCTCCAAGATATTCAGCTAAATCATATTTGCACAATTGAACTTTATTAGTTAATTAGTGAATAATATACAATTTACACATTTAAACTTCCTTGAAATGTTTATTTTCTTAATAAATGGTTATGAAATTTGATAAAAACTACTAACCTGGAGTTATAATAGTACCCCTCACTATCGGTTCATAAAATTCTGTCACATTGACAGGGTCAGGAAAATCAATGGGATTACTGAAATAAAATTCCTCCCCCTTATATTTCTGAATACTTTTAGTTCCAAATACTTTTGCTTTATACGTGACTCCAGGAGAACTCAATATAGGTTCAGCTCCATACTCTTGTTCTAATCTTTGTACAAATACTTCCATGTGTAATAATCCAAGGAACCCGAGTCGCCATCCTCGACCTAAAGCTGGACTGAAACAGGACAATAATCATTGAAAAAATGAACTCAATTTTAAGTGATAAATGAGGTCCAATTACATTAAATTGGCATTCAGATTGTTAATTAACAAATAGGTTTATTATTATTGAGCATTGGAAAGCAATTTTTGACAGAAATTACAATTAAAATTTGAATACCTAGATTCTTCAACGACGGTAACGGCATTATCGTTCAAAGTTAATTTTTCTAGAGCATTACGAAGTTCAGGAAACTGCGACTGATCTATAGGATAAATTCCTGCAAATACCATTGACTTTGCAACTTTAAATCCTGGAAGAGGCTTCACCGTAGAATCCTTTAAACGAAACGTGTCTCCAATGTGAGCTTCAGTTAATGATTTCATGTTACATTTAAGTGCTCCAACTTGACCAGCATATCTACATAATAATATATTTTTAAACACAATTTCCTCATAATTAAGTACAAATCTACTTACAAGGTATTAATGTCTTCCTCTTCTGGTCTTAGGAAGGACAAACTTTTGACTTCATAAACTTTTCCCGTGTGACAAGAGGAAATGTTTTCTCCGACTGAAATTCTTCCTTGTTGAACATAAATCAAGGAAACTGCGCCCTTGTATTTATTATACCAGCTGTCAAATATCAACGCCCTGAAAGGTTCAGCTCTTGAAACAGGAGGTGGAGGTATTCTTTCAACAATTGCTTCTAAAACTGCCTCACAGTTTGTACCATTTTTAGCAGATATTTTCAAGACTTTGTCGCTATCTATTTCAAAAAGAGAATGCAATTGCTTTAGAACACGATCTGGATTGGCATTTTTCAAATCTATTTTATTAATGATAGGAATCATTGTGAGATCCCTTTCAAAAGCGAGATAAAAATTGGCTACTGTTTGCGCTTGAACACCATCGTTGGCATCGACAAGAAGAATTACACCTTGACAAGCGGCAAGTGATCTATAGACTTCAGATGAAAAATCAACATGACCTGGAGTGTCGATTAAATTTAAAAGATATTCGACACCATTGTAAGTGTATTTCAAAGAAGCTGTTTGTGCTTTCACTGTGATTCCGCGCTCCTTCTCGACTTGTAATTTGTCCAAAATTTGAGCTCCGGAATTTGTTTTAATGGCTCCAGTCATTTCTAGAAGTCGATCAGCTAATGTACTTTTCCCGTGATCGACATGAGCAATTATGGAAAAATTGCGAATATTTTCTATCGGTGTCTCGGCTACATTTGGTGCTGACGCTGACGAACAAGTTCTGTTCAACATTAGGCATCTTTCAGTTCTGAAAATTATTTCAAAACGTTTTATTTTTTTAATGATAAAAGTCAATAAAACGAATAAGTTATTTCAATTACATTTCTCTCATATGTTTAAGAAAACGTTAAATATTTAATAACGTATTTTATTACAAAAACTAGCAACACACATCCCATTGGTCAACTTTATTATATAAAAATTTTTAAATCATTATGATAATGTAATTTTATAATTCAAAATAATGATAAAATTCAAGATAGAAAAAAATGGCAATTTTTATCGTTCTTTGCACTTTTGACAACTTTAAATTACCCGCAATCGCAAAGTTTGACCCCGAATTCATAATCAGCGAGCAAAAACACGTTTAGGAAAGCTGTGCCGACATTAATTGAACTATTTATTTGCGCTCTACACCGCGAACAGACAGAATAAAGACAATTTTTATCGTTTTTTGCAATTTTGACAGATTTAAACTCTGTCAAATTGTAAATTTTCACCCCAAATTCATAATCAGCGAGTAAAAACACGTCTAGAAAAGCTGCACCGACATTAATTGAACTGTAATAATTTTTCGAAAGTTATATATATTAGAAATCATATTTAGTTTTTAAAAAATCAAAAACCATAAAAAAAAGTTATGACGCACTGTAAGTTATGTAGTGCATGTTTTTATTCTTACCTCAAATTACGCAGATTTTGTAAAGTATTTAGAGGAAAAATAATTCGTTTCACATTGTGATTAATTGTATTAGAAAATACTATGTTCAAAGACATAATTATAGAACAAAAATTTATTTGTTATTTACAAATAATTTCAATTATTTTCACAACTATTCATATTCTTAACTTAAAAAAACACTGTCTTAAGTATTTACTTTTTAAATATATGCAGTTAACAAAACGTGTACACTTCAATTGGATTTCAAAAATATTTATTACTATGATGATATTAATTGATAGTTGCAAATAAATTAAGAAACTTTATAAACAAAATAAACAATAACATATTTATGAGCCACAGTGTTGAGTACCTACGTCGTCTGCTAAATTTTTTCTGCTAGAAAGTCACGTTGTTTATCAAGATTGGGAAACATAACAAAATTAGCATTAGGGTACGAACACAATTCAGCTACGTCGTCGCGTCGGCAATTAACGAATAAGACTGAGAGAAATAAAGAATGTTTTTTATTTCTTCCACTCTTATACGTTACCATGACGACCCTCTTAAGTAGCCAAGCTGTGACCATACCCTTAGATAGAAAAAGAGAAATGATTTCCTTTCCTAAACCGGTAAACCATACTTCAAAAGCATCTTCAAAAGCATGATGGCACCCCTTTGTGCAACAGCTTTTAGGTTAATTCAAATTGTTAAATCAACAATTTTATCAAATAATACAATTTTGCAAAATCTTCCAACCACTGGAAATCGATTTCTTAAATATCATGTTCGAGTTTATTCAAATGACAAATCTGAAAATAGTTTCGAAAAGCCGCAATCAATCAGGAAAAAGACAGTGCCAATACAAAAAGTTTTATTGCTTTCTGAGGAAGGTAAATATTTATTTTCATACCATTGAACTCATTCAAATTTCATAGTTTATTATAACAATTCTTTTAACAACAGTTCCTTCTAAATGTCACTATTTTAATTCAATAAACAATGTTATATAAATTTATGTACAGATATTTAAAGACATGATAAAAAAGGTTTTGTATAGAGTTGAAAAAATGTACAAACAAAAATGTTAAACATTAATCATTACATTAATAATTGAAATATTTATAAATGTAAATAGGTAAAGTGCTATCAGAAGTTACATTGGAAGAGGCGCAACATTTAGCGAAGCGCAGAAATTTAAACCTTGTTAAGATGATTGATGTTACAGTAAAATCGAAGGCACCTACTTATCAATTAATGTCGAAAGGTCGGCTACTCGAAGAACAAAATATGGTTAAACAGCAAAGAGCAAAAGATAAAAATACTTTAATAAAGGCAACAAAACACTTTATCTTTTCTAATAAGATAGAGGAACACGATTTACAAGTAAAAATAAACAAAATGATTAAATTACTTACTAAACTTCATAAAGTGCAAATATATGTTACAATGAGTTCAGAAATTCAAGTATTGGTAAGACGAAAATTTACATTTTACATTTTAATATTACTCATTAAATTCATGAACATAAAAATTTGATATTTTTTCAGGAAAAAACTGTTAAATTAATAGAAACTCGTCTCAGTGAAAATGGCATATTGTCGAGAACAGTAAAAACAGGTTCAGGTATAAAATTATATTTTAATCCAAAAGTGGTGAATGGAGAAGAGAAAGAAGAACTTGATATTAAGAAATAAAGAATAGTTTATCAAAAATCAATTAAATATTAAAAAGGAAACATAAGATGTTTTTAAACTGTAAATTCATCTCTTTAATAAAGAAAGAGGTAAAATATTGCGTACTGTGTACGCATTTATGTAGTGTATGAAAATATTACAAAAAAAATATATCATTAAAATTCGATTTGAGAACACTTAAAAACTATTTGACATTTTGCATATGTAATTTTAAAACAATGAAAATTCTGACGAATAACATTTAAATTTACATTGGTTACAAATGGGAGCTACAATTTGTACACTATTCACTCTTTATTTAACGTACATACTAATAATTTGTAAATACAACGTACAAAAGTACATAAAGTATAAATTATATTTTTCTCTTATTACAAAACTGCATTTCATCTGTATTCTTCAGACAAAAACATCCGAGAAATTATAAATCTTACTTGCCTATTATATATCATAATCCATAATAAATCTATATATAATAGTATAGGAAGAAAAAGAATTTACAAAAGTCCTTGTCGTTTTAAATCTTCATATGTTTTCCGATTAACAACATTTCCAAGTGAGTCTTCAAATTCTTCCTCTTGCTCTGGTTGCCATCGTTCAGCTTGTTTTTGAGCTTTCAATTTTTCCCACAAGACCAATGCATCCTCTATTTGTGTCACATTGGCAAAATGTGCAGTGTTTGGAATACCAAGACATCGCATTCCATGAGAGTGTCGCCATTGTGCGAAATGTCGTTGAAAAGCTTTTGGGCCCTTGTACGTGAAGTTTCCACATATTTCACAATTATAACTAATATTCAATCCGTGAAGTTTGTAAAGCCAATAGGGAATTGGTTTTCCATCCCAACCTAGAGGCAGATTTTTTGGATTGTAAGGAACTTCATTGTCATCGTCGTCCTCGGAATCGGACGCACTTGCCTCTGCGTCTGAATCTCCTCTCTCTCCTTCTGTTCGCGCTTGTTTTCTTTGGACATTTTCCTTTGTTGCAACTCTCTGATTTGATACTAATTCTGCTAGTTTATAAACCTATAACAAAAATATTCCATTATTAAACAATAATTTTTTATTATAAGAGAAATAAAAAGTATCAGTTCCCTGTCAGAATTCTTCTTTTTTATAAAAAAATGTTGAAAAATAAATTTTTCAGTTTTTAATTAAACTTTTTTTTATATTTTATTATTAGGAATTTAATGATAAAATGATATACTTACTTGTGCTTCGAGCCTGGCGATTTCTTTCTGCTTCTCGACATCCTTTCCTTTTCCAGGTTTCCGTTGCTTTTTCTTGGCAAGCAGTGCAGGATCGAGACTAGCTTCACCTTTTGTACTAAAAAGCCTTTGCGCTCTTTCTTCCAGTGTTCCACCGCATTTTAGGCCGAGAGCCATAAGAGCAGACTTGAGTCTGTCAAGACCCAAGGATGCTAATTCTTCCCACGATGAAAAAGCAGATAATTCCAAGTGTGCTCCTACATGAGTCAAAGCACTTCCGGCCTCCTTAGGCCAACCTGGGAATGTATTGTTTTCCCAATGCTTCTCAAATTCCCTATTTTTGACAAATTTAACGATATTAGAAATTTTTTAAAAGGCGAACAAAGGAAATATTCCTTATGTACTAAAATTACATTTTAATATTAATAAATTAGTAGGGAATTAATTTTTAAAAAATTTTGTAATTATTTTCAACTTTCAATTTGATAAACTTTTTATTTATTAACCTTTGGAATTCATTCTCATTAATTAATGGTGAAAAAAATTACCTATTTGCTTCCTCGACATCAGCATTAAGATCGTGAAGAGGTCGAACTCTAGCTAGAAATTCACTTAAATATTCCAATAAGGATTCAACGTAACGTCTGTATTCGGCATTTTTTCTATCTTTGGGAATATCAAAGAGATGATCAAACACCGAAAGATAGGTTATGTAGTCTAACTTCTCAACACCTTTCAGATTAATGTACTTTTCGTAACACTCGTGTAAATCCAAATATTTTCCATAGCCTTCCTCATCAGTAAATTCAACAAGATTTGATAATTCCTCGCTTGGATTCTCTCTCATTTTTGCGAGTTCTTCAAATTCTACTGACATTGGTACACTAATTTCATTGGGATGTCGACGATAGAATTCTTTGATTGATTTTAATCGCGCGTAAAACTCTGAAAATTCATTGGGTCCTGAAAGTGCTTGAACTTCTTCTTTTCTTTGACCATCTTTATCCTCATAAAGATCCTGTAGATGAGTTGTACTGTCCATAAAATGATCGAGGAGAATTTTTAAACGATGCTCTGAATTCACTACTTCACGGTGTCCACCTTTTTTGTAGAGCATTTCTTTCACCATTGCGTCCATTAAACGTTCCCGTTCTTCATGGTAACGACGCTGTTGTTCTAATATTGTCTCCATGATTAATATTTAAGTATAACAAAAAAATAAAATATCGACAGTATTGTATTTCACAAATGTTTACTTTTACAAAGTTTACACTGTGTTGCACTGCGCAGCACTGAGTGTCAACTTCTATTTTTGAGCATGAACGTTTATTAGAAGGGAACTACACATGTTTGGAAACTGAAGTGGGGGCGACACAAAATTAAGTGAAAGCAGATTGAACGAAGTTAGTTCGCCTAGTTCTCTAGCAATCTCTACTGGGCGCTGCAATCTATAAGTGTATGTTTCTTAAAGGCAGTTTTTAATAATATAGTTTTTAAGATAATTTGAATTTGTAAAGAATTTCATTAAAATTATTAAAAATAATTAATTTAGTGAAGAATTTTAGTTAAAAATTTGTTAAATAATTGAATTAAAGAAGATCTGAAGAAGATTTGCATTCTAAATTAAAAAAAAGTATTTCGTTTAAAAATTTTGTAAAAAAAAGTCGAAAAAGTCGCATTTTTATTAAAATAAGTCGAAAAAAAGTCGGAGAAAGTCGTATAATCCAAGGCCTGTAATTCGATTGAAACTACTGAGTAAAATAAAATTTTATTTATTTCAATTACTTACATTTAATTCTTATTTAATAATAAATTAAATTTTAAAAAATAATAACGTTGCTTTAAAGAAGCGAAAAGAAAAATTTGAAAATAATCGACTAAATTTTTTGTTCAGAATTTATTTTCGAAAGAGTTTTAGTTTTTTGAAAAATCCACATTCGTAATTCTTCTATTCCCTGACCAGTGACACTGCTTGTCTCAATAATGGTGATATTTTGTCGTGTTTCACGTTGTAAACGCGTCATATGAAGAACAAGAAGAGCTTCATTTCTCATTTGACGATAGGAAAGATCCATTTTTGATAAAACTAAAGCAAATGATGCGTTCGCTAATTTTGGATTTACCAACAATGAATAGAATAAAATTCCAACTGCACTAATTTGACAAAGATTACTTGCATCCATTACGTAAATAATTTTTTGTACCTAAAATAAATATAATTGTTTTCAATGAAAATTTACATATATTTGTAACAAAACATTAATTATTAATATTTAAAAAAAAAACTAATTTTTTTTTCAATTCTTATAGAAATTTTATTGACTTGTTAAAAATCGGAGTTTATTTGAAAATTGTCAGATTTCTATTGGTGTATTATGTATAATATAATTAAAATTAAAAAAAAGAATGAATACCCCTTCCAAGTAATATTTCCACAATGGAGCCATATGACCGCCAATTTCTCTAATAATTCTTCCAGATTGTTGTCCAGCTTCTTTTTTAATTAAAAATAAATTCACTCCGTTAGTGGCAATTGTTTGCGTTGCATCATCAACTAAATCGCCTTGTAATTTTTTCATTAACATTGTTTTACCAGACTTTACTGGACCCAAACATAAACACATTTTTTCAAAAAATAATTTCCTCTTCTTTTTTCAAATTATACTTTTTTAGAGGAAAAAAAAATGTCATTAAGACATATATATTGAGAAAGGTTTGAGGGAAAATACAAGTAAACAGTTACATCTCCCTTAGCAACAAAATATTTAGGACGCATGAGTATTTGTCAAAATTAAAAAAAATATTCGAATAATAATACAGGGAAGGGTTTTTTTTAAAAAAAAATGAATTTTTTCACCTTCTTTTTAAAAATGTATAATTTACAAACCTGTACATTTCTCTCTCTAAGAAAAAGAAAACAATAAACAAATAATAAACTAATTAAACACCAATTACGCAGGTGTATTACATATCTGAAAAGAATTTTCACTTTTCAATATATATATATATATACTAATTATATTTTCGCTTAATAATAATAATAATAATATTAATAAATCCTCCCATTACTTTCACAAACCTTGAACTTTATGGTTTTGAAATATTATTTGTAGAAAAAAAAATAGTGCGTTTCCTTTTTTTTTTTTTTTACAAATGAGTTCTCTAAAGTTTGAAAGAGCCTGAAATGATACATCTCCATCAATTTGCATTATTATTTTTGCACAGAAAAATAAAAATCTCCAAATCACGAAAGAATTTTTTTTTTCCTTTTTAATATTTAAATGATTCAGTGTATCCTTGTCAAGTCTTCGACAATTTTAACCAAGTCATCAACAGTCGCTTCTTTTTTCATTCCACTGCCGTCGTCAATCTGGAAAAAAAATTTACAATTGATAAAATTAAAAAAAAAACCAAAGGAATTTTCTATATTAGAAACCAAATGAAATTTTAGAAAAAATAATTTTCTAAAAATAAAATAATATAATTAAATAATTAATAAATAATTTTACCATTAATCCCAAAGCGACTTCGGACATTTTATCATGATTGAGATCAAGAAAACTTTCAACTAAATCGCCATCAATAAATCCCTCGCATTGTTCAATTTTTAAATCTGTATTGAAACTTCTCCAAAAACTGTGTTCAATTTTACCAACACTTTTAATAACCGATGTCAAACGATCTTCCATATTTCTTAAAAATTCATAGAATCCAGCTGGAATTTGTGTGACAAGTCCAATTGCACCGCTAATTGTTCCAAATAGAACGCAACCTTGCGTTGGTGTACTCGATTCACCTAAATGTTGCATAACAAGTGATCCATGTCTAAATACATTCACCATATCGCCAAGATGAAATTGTCCAACTTCTTGCATTTGTTGTCTCTCCTCCTCGGACGTTGCGGCACTGGAAAAAAAATTTGTTTAACAAAAAAAACTTTATAATAATTTCTGTCCTAACTTGAAGTTGGCCTTTTCTGATATCACGTGTTTTTTTGAATAGTAATCTTATGACGTGTCAAATTTTTGACAATTCTTTTTCTCATTTTTGCCAAAGTTGTATAATTGTATTTCCAAATTTCGAAATAAGTTTCTTTAAAATTCCAAATTCGAAAATTCAATTCGCGAAGCTGAAGTACCCAACGTTTACCAACGAAATTTTTTTTAAAGTTGTATATTCATTCAAAAATTGTATACAAATACAAAAAATTTATGATGAGAAAAAAGATGTGCCAGAAAATTTCGTACAAGATAGTAATTTGAAAAAAATTTATTTTTAAAAACACCGGCTTACAAATCAACTTAAAGACACAAAAAGTCGTTTTAGTCGATTTATATTCCAAAAAAAAGTGGATTTGTTTTTTATTTTAACAAAAATATTTTACAGATTTTTAAATAAAAAAAATTTTTTTTAATAATAATCCTTTTCGAGGGTTAAAGTTGAAATTTTTAGAAATAATTAAATTAATTAGTTATCAAACAATTTTTAAATTTAATTAAATTTTCAAAGATTTAAAATTGAGATTTTTGAAATTAATTGAAACTTTAAATGTTTTGTAATTAAAATTTTAGATGATTTCACTAAAAATTTATTAGAAAATGCGTACAAAATACAATAATTTAAAAATCTTTTTTAATTGAAAAATGGTTTCAGATAGTTGAAATTTCAAAGAATATTATTAAAATAGTTAAGAATAATTGAATTTCCTTAGAGTTATAATTCAAATTATTAAATTTCAAAAAAAAAAATTTCGATGGAAAATTTTAGAAATAATTAAATTTTAGATGCTTTTAAATTCAAATAATTGAAAATTCAATTAATTTTGAATTCAAATTTTTTAGAATAATTAAATTTTCTTTGATTTTAAATTTGGAAAATAATTGAATTTCAATTGAAATTTTTGATAATAATTTAATTTAAGTTCATTTTTGATTGAAAATTTGGATAATTCATTTTAAATAGAAATTTTAGAAAATAATTGAATTTTATTGTGATATATTTTTTTTTAATTATAAACAATTGTTGAATTTCATAAAAATTTTAATTGAAAAATAATTTTGATATAATTGAATTTGTGATGTATTTCATTAAAATTTTTAAAAATAATTAATTTAGTAAAGAATAATTTTAGTTCCAAATTTGTTAAATAATTGAATTGAAGAAGATCTGAAGAAGATCTACATTTTATACTAAAAAAAGGTATTTTATTTACATTTTTTTCAAATGTAAAAAAAATGTCGCATTTTATTAAAATAAGTCTATAAAAGTCGTATTTTTGAAAAAAGTCGGAAAAAGTCGTATAATCCGAGGCCTGTAAACATATAATTTTTATTATTATCATTTACTATGTAATAATATTCTAATAAATTAAATTATTATTGATAATATTAATCTTTAATTTCTTTATAACAAACAATTAAATATTTAATTTGGCGCGCTTGCGCGCGTTTAATTTTGCTAGTTTTTACATAAAATACGTCTTTTTTTTAGTAAAAAAAAGCAGAACTTCTTCAAAATCAGTTGAAATCAATTATTTTCTAAATTTTCAATTTAAAATCTTCTAAAGTTTATTTATTTCTAAAAATCTCAATTGTAACTCTTCCAAAATTTAATGATTTTAAATGATTTTTATAAAATTCTTCAAAAATTCAAATATTGGAAAAAATTTTTCAATTAAAAATTTTTAAATCTTCTTTATTTCAATTATTTAACAAATTTTTAACTAAAGTTTTTCTCTAAATTAATTAAATTCAATAATTTTAATGAAATCTTCTTTATTTCAATTATTTAACAAATTTTTAACTAAAGTTTTTCTCTAAATTAATTAAATTCAATAATTTTAATGAAATTTTTCACAACATCAATTATCTTAAACTAATTTTGAATTAAAAATTTTATAAAATTCAATAATTGATTAAAATTAAAAAAAAAAATAAACAAGTAAAATTACAAAAAATTTTGAATTCAAAATCACTTGCAATTCAATTATTTATAAAAATTTCAATTTCAAACTTTCTAAAATTTAATTATTAAAAATTTTCATCTAAAACCTACTGAATTTTAATAATTTCAACTAGAACTCTTACGAAATTCAATTACGTATTTTTAATGATATTTAGAATTTTATTCGAAAATTCAAATAATATGAAAGCATTTTTTTAATTAAAAACTTTTAAAGTTTATTTTTTATCTGTAATTTCTATGAAATTTTTCAGCAACAGAAATCAACAAAATTATCAATTCAAAATCATTTGAAATTCAATTATTTACAAAAATTTCAATGTAAAACCTTCAAAAATTTTCCATCTAAAACTTTTTAAAAATTTAATAATTTCAACTATAACTTTTTCGAAATTCAATTATTTTTAATTATTTTTATAATATTCTTCGAAAATTCAATAAAAAATCACTTAAAATTCAATTATTTTCTAAAATCTGAAAATTGTAAATCTACGAAAATTCAATTATTTTTCAATAAGGTTCTCTAAAATTATTTTATAAATTATTTTTAATTTTGTAAAATTTTAAATTTAATTATTGTTTGAAATTAAATAAAATCTTTTAAAATTCAATTATTTCAAAAAGTTTCAAATAAAATAACTCTAAAATTGAATTGTTGTTAGAAATTTAAAAATCTGTAAAACTTAATTATTGTTCCAAAATTTTTTTTTAACCATTAAAACTAAAAATTATGATAAAATTTTAAATTCGAATAAATTGCCTAAATCAACGTTGAAAAAAAATTATAAAATAGAATTTTAAGAATTTCTTTTAGAAATTTGTTTTAATTAATTAAAATTTTTGAAAATTTGTCTTAGTTTGATTCTGAACTATTTTACAGTCATTTTCCTCACATGACATTTTATTTAAAAGAATTTTTATTTAAGATAATTTTAATTTAACAGAATTTTCATTCAATAAATTGTTATGTGACTCGAATTTTTAAATGACAAAAATTATAATTCCAATTTTTAAGACGACGAATTTTAATTTGTCCGAAATTAAAAATGGCCGAACAAACAATCAACAGAAAGATTTCAGCGCAATTTTTGAAAATTGACCAATCATGATTTTCTTGATTATTTCTAATTGGTCAATTTTCAAAAATTGCGCCGAAATCATTCTGACGATTGTTTGTTCGGCCTTTTGTAATTTCGGACAAATGAAAATTCGGCACTTTAAAAATTCTATTAATTAACAATTCATATAAATAAAAATTCAGTAGCGAAAAATATTGTTAAGTCAAAATTCGTATAAAAAGAAATTCTGTTAATTGCTAATTTGAAAAATGAAAATTGTTTTAAAAAATAATTATTTCTAATAAAATTTTAATTAACAATCAATTTAATCTATATAAAAAAGAAAATAATTCAATTTTTGATAAATTACCTGTCCTTTTGGCAAACAAAGAGATTGAAACAATTTTCAGCACCAAGAAAAGTATCATCGTCGAGAATTTCAACGGCAGTCATCCAATTTGGATTGTAGTCACGTGCAATTTCTTCAAAGCTACCTTCCATTGTTTTATATTGAAGAAGTGTAAGTGATCTCATAAGATCACCAACAAGTACAAAATCACTTTTTGTTTTTAAAAATAGAGCGATAATATTATTAAAATGACTACATTCAAGCCTCAATTCTTTTTCAGCTGTCCATTCAAATAATCTCACTGTACTATTAATACTCGCTAAAAGTTTACCATTAAATTCAACAAGCGAATAACATGCCCCTTTTATTTCCTTCTCAGCAACTTGATTCAATTTACCTTCACACCATTGATACAATAAAATTCTGTTGGAAAAAAAAAGTTTTATGTAAATGTTACAATATTTCCAATTCAATAAAATTAAAAAGGAATGATGAGGAATTAATAATTTTGATGAGAATTTTAAAGATTTAAATTTTCTTACCTTCCCATTTTGGGTTCCGTTTCATCGGGATTAACAAGTGCAGTTCCAACAATGAAATACGACGTTGGATCCTCACCAAGTTTCGTCGATATTAATGACATTGCATATTCCGTAGGCATAAGTGTATGCGCATGCAACACTTCAAATGTATGTTGATCAATGATAAGTAAATTGTGAACCTCAATTTCCTGTCCAATTTCATTGGACGTATAACCTGGTTTATTGTGCGATGCCACATGACTACTACTCGATGTCGATGTTGCTTGTGTCGATGCCGATGGTCTTACAACACTAATTCCCGTACTCTCTTGTAAGTCAACTCTCATTGTAACAACGCCAAACGACTGTGTACTCTCCTGATAAGCAATTCGTCTTGGTGACTCTCCCAATGGTACAGTTCGAATATGCAATTTTTGTATCTCATCAATTGTTCCAATTGTCACCGTACTATCAGTCGCTAGCGCCAAACTATCAGGATATGATTCGGCATTCAACGAACACATATGATTCACTTCCTTAAGATTGACATTACTAAAGACAAGTTTATGATTCGATGAATAAATAACAGTTGGACGATCCGAGCATGCAAAGACATTTGTCGTTGAAAGACTTTTAAATGTTCTTAAAACCGTTGGCTGTGTTCCAAGTGTTACTTTCTTTCTATCAGTCAAAATTCCATTTTCCTTATGCAAAGAAAAATAATACATACTCCCATCGCCCAATGCACAAAGCAAATAAGTACTTCCCTCAAAGCATGTCATTAAAATTGATCTCGGTATTATTTCCCCACCCAATAGTTCCTTATTTATTTCCTCAAGCGACGGTAATGTGAGAATTCTAACTGAAATATCCGTCCATAAACCAACGGCAGCAATTTGCGCCTCTGAATTACCATCCAACGGTGATAAATCCAAACAAGCTACCTCATGTTGCAATGTTATAAATCCCTTAGAAACAATTTCACCTGTTATTATTTCAAGATAAAATAAATCATTTCCCGTTGCACAAAGTACCTGACTACCATTACAAGCAACAACACTAATTGTTCTCTTATTATTTGGCTGCCATTCAGAAATAACAGGTTTATTTTCATTTGAAATTAATCTAACCGAAGTGGGCGTTATTTGAACAATAATATCATTTGTTATATTACCAGTGTGAAATGTTTGTTCATCGGCTACAAAACCAGGAATATCAGTCTCCTCAACCTCTTCTCCATTAAGCATTAAAATTCTCGTCTGTCCCACAAATGATAACACCAATGTATTATCAAAATTACCACCATTCACTTTAAGTGCCCACATTCCTTTAATTCCCGGTAAATCAATACTCGCATGCTCCTGTATTCCAATTCCATTTCTAATAATTCTCAATGAACCCTCTTTAAATGCACCCGAACACGTTACCATTTGTCCTTGTCCCTGTCGTTCAAGATCAACAACCGCCATATCAACAATTGGCGCAAGATTTGTAAACGATTCCATTGGCACGCAATAAGAACCATTTTCATCAGCTTTTGTTATCAATTTAATAAGTTGTGAATCACCAAAACGACTACCAATAAATATAACTCCATTATCCAAATAAGTTATACACTCAGGTATACTAACTTCACCAAGTAATTCAACTTTTAAATCTTTAATAATCATTGTACCATCGGATTTTGTCTCCTGTTCAAGAAATAACATAAATAAATGTCCCGCCATATCGCCAAGAAGATAACGTAAACCCTGTTGATCAATTTTTGCATAACACGTTATTGTACTTTGTTTTATAATTGGCGGTACAACAGCAACGTACGTTGAACCATCGTGATATAAAATACTCTCCTGTCCAATTATAATTGCCCCACAAATTGGCGATGGAACTGGAATTACCATCATTGCTTCCCTCTCAACATTATCCTGTCGCCAGGGAATTTTAACAAATTCTTTATCACGTAAAGAAATTTCATGTGTCTTCACATGACGACCATTAATATCCTGATGTATTAATATTAATGTTGGATTTGCACAACCGTGAAGAAAATTAATATCCTGCACTTGATGCTCGTCCATTCTTATTGATGATGCTTTTAATTCGGGATTATCTTTATCTAAGGGAATTATTTTAAATAAACCATCGTAAAGACGAAGGCCAATAACGCGTGCTTTTGGATCAATTATTGCTTTTATTCCCGTTTCTGATGCTTTACCAATTCTATCGGCAACATTGCCATGGGCTTTTGTTATTATTTCAATATCCTCACCTTCGCCAATACATTCGAGAATCATTGCGTTATATCGTGTTGTCAACAAAAAAAGAAGATCCTTTTTCTCGTGCTGAAATTCAGTTATTTATTTTAATTATTATCATCTTTTTCGATCTCACGATTTTTTTTTACATACCCAGAGAAAAGATTTCATAAAAAAACCAAATTTCTTTGACTTGTTTTCTTTCATTCAAAATAAAATTTTTATTATCCCATAAAAATCATTAGAATTTTGATTTAAAAAATTTTTATTAAATATACTAGCAAAATTAAACGCGCGCAAGCGCTCCAAATTGAGTATTTAATTGTTTGTTATAACTAAGATGATTCTTCACTAAATTAATTATTTTTAATAATTTTAATGAAATACATCACAAATTCAATTACTTATATCAAAATTATTTCTCAATTAAAATTTTTATGAAATTTAACAATTGTTTATAATTAAAAAAAATATATCACAATAAAATTGAAGTATTTTTTAAAAATTTCAATTCAAAATAAACTAAATTTCAATTATTACCCGAAATTTTTATTCAAAATCAATTAAAAATCCAAAAATTTTCAATTTAAAATTTAATTATTTACCAAGTTTTCAATTTAAAATGCAATAAAATTCAATTATTTTCTAAAATTTCTATTCAAAATTAATTATCCAAATTTTCAATCAAAAATGAACTTAAATTAAATTATTATCAAAAATTTCAATTAAAATTAAATTATTTCCCAAAATTTTCAATTCAAAATTAACTGAAATTCAATTATTTTCCAAATTTAAAATCAAATAAAATTTAATTATTCTCAAAAATTTGAATTTAAAATTAATTGAATTTTCAATAATTTGAATTTAAAAGCATCTAAAATTTAATTAATTCTAAAATTTTCCATCGAAATTTTTTTTTTTTGAAATTTAATAATTTCAATTATAACTCTAAAGAAATTCAATTATTTTTAACTATTGTAATAATATTCTTTGAAATTTCAACTATCTGAAACCATTTTTCAATTAAAAATGATTTTCAAATTATTGTATTTTGTCCGCATTTTCTAATAAATTTTTAGTGAAATCATCTAAAATTTTAATTATAAAACACTTAAAATTTCAATTAATTTCAAAAATCTCAATTTTAAATCTTTGAAAATTCAATTAAATTTAAAAATTGTTTGATAACTTATTTTTAGTTCTGTAAAATTTAATAATTGTTTGAAAATTAACTATATCTTTTAAAATTTAATTATTTCTAAAAATTTCAACTTTAACCCTCGAAAAGGATTATTATTAAAAAAAAAATTTTTTATTTAAAAATCTGTAAAATATTTTTGTTAAAATAAAAAACAAATCCACTTTTTTTGGAATATAAATCGACTGAAACGACTTTTTGTGTCTTTAAGTTGATTCGAGGCCTGTGTTTTTATAATTAATATTTATTAGGTATTCGTTGGCCCCTGGTACTTTAAAAATTAATTTTTTTAAATAAATTTTTTTCAAATTACTATCTTGTACTATTCAAAAAAACACGTGAAATCAGAAAAGGTCAACTTCAAGTTAGGACAGAAGGACAGATCAAGCATTTTATTATTATATAATAATAATTATTTTTGAAACGTGAATTTTTATTTTTCGAATTAGAATTTTGCACAATTTCTCTTTAAACGAATTTTCATTAGAATTCATAAAAACGCCGAATTTTCATTTGTCCGAAATTGCAATTGTCCAAACAAACCATCGATTTTGGCGAGTCTTTTAAAATTGACCAATCAGAAATTGTCAAGAAAATCGTAATTTGTCAATTTTAAAAAAATGTGCCATAATCGATTGTTTATTCGGCCATTTGCAATTTCGGACAAATAAAAATTCGGCGTTTTAAGAATTTTGTACATAAAATAAAAATTTGTCTGAAAAATAATTATAACTAATAAAATTCTTTCAAATCAAAATTCTAATGGTTTTTATAGAACAATCATGCGCCCCAAAATTTTATTTTGAAACCAAAGAAGCTTCGCTTTTTTTCAAAGAACATTTCTTTGATTCAAAGAAATTTATGCATTAAATCAAAGAAATTCTAACATTGATTTTTTTTTTGAATCAAAGATAATTTGTTTGAAACAAATAAATTTTCTTTGTATCAAAAAGAAAAATTAGTCAAAAAAAAAATTGATTTTTTTGAATCAAAGAAATATTTTTTTCTGAATGTGTCAAAAATTTAGCAAAGCCTTTTTATTTTTATTTATTTAAAATATATACGATCAACGATCAATTGTACAATAAATTAATATATTTATTTATTCACAAACACATATGAGATTTGTTAATTAAAAAAAATTAATTGTCCACACTGTCAAATTATTATACAAAATAATTTTTGTGCCAATTTGTGATAATTCTGTTCTAAGAGCTGCATAATTTTTTTTTTTTTTGAAAAAATAATAATTATAATTTGAATTTCATAATATAAAAAAAACATTTTAAATTTCAAAATGTCACTTACATGTATGTAATTAAAAATAAACATATGTGCAAGATAAAAAAAAAGAAAATACAAAAATTTTCATAACCTTTAATAATTATCAATAAATTAATAAATAAAAAATAATTATGAATAAATTATTCAAAATAATTCAAATTTAAAATTGAAAAACGATTTTTAACCCAGAAATATGCAAAAATTATTATCAATATTATTATTATTAATCTATTCATTGTTGGAGTTATATTGATCCTAGTATTTATAATATTTGAGTTATATGTTGTATTGGCATAAGGATCAGGTGAAGAAAAAAAGACTTGTTACTTTTCAAGAATTTTCTCAGACGTTGTTACTCGTTTGTGAGCCTTCATCAGTGACGGTTATTTTCTATAAAAAATTTAACTTTTGTTTAACAATCTCATAAATACTACAAAAAAGAATATATAAACGTAATAAAAAATGATAATCGTATGTTTGTGAAAAAGACATAGTAAGGGAGGGGAAATAGAAAAATATCGAAATTAAAATATCCCAATAAAGCTTTTTTACCAACCTCATAATTAAGAATTAATCCATTTGTGTTGAGCAAACTGCAATCGGTGATAACGAACCACACACAGAAAAACAATTATTTTGGAACAAAAGACAATATGTTGACATCTCCTTCCACCAAACACGAAGTCAGTTCCCCAAGAATCCTTCTAGAGTCATCAACGAAATAATATTGTATATAAAGATTATGTATAAATACTCTACCAAAAAATCTAGGATAAAAAATGAAGTGATTCTTTTGTTCCAAAATAATTGTTTTTCTGTGTGTGGTTAGTTATCACCGATTGCAGTTTGCTCAACACAAATGGATTAATTCTTAATTATGAGGTTGGTAAAAAAGCTTTATTGGGATATTTTAATTTCGATATTTTTTTATTTCCCCTCCCTTACTATGTCTTTTTCACAAACTTACGATTATCATTTTTTATTACGTTTATATATTCTTGTTTGTAGTATTTATGAGATTGTTAAACAAAAGTTAAATTTTTTATAGAAAATAAACGTCACTGATGAAGGCTCACAAACGAGCAACAACGTCTGATAAAATTCTTGAAAAGTAACAAGTCTTTTTTTTCACCTGATCCTTATGCCAATACAACATATAACTCAAATATTATTATTATTATTATTATTATTATTATTATTATTATTATTAATATTCAAAAATAAATTTTGGCCCGAATTGTGCAAGTCACAAAAACATTAAAAACAAAAAGAAAAATTATAACATTTACAAAAAATAAAAAATGTTAAAAATAATTCAATTTTAAAAATTCAAAAATAAATATTTTTTACTCAGAAATATATTCAAAAATTATTATTTTTAAAAAACAAATTTTTGTGAAAAAACAACAGTCATAATATTAACGAAAAATTAAAATTTTACAAAATAATTCAATTTAAAAATTCAAAAATGGATTTTTTATTAAAAAAAAAAGAAATGTATTATTTTTCAAAATTGCTGAACAGCAAAACATTGTTTTTTGCATTGAAATTTGAATTATTTTGAATAATTTATTATTAAAGATTTTGAAACTTGTTGTAAGAATTCCATTTCTTGGTCTTGCACAATATTGTTTATTTTTTAATACTTATATGAGTGTCATTTTTGAGTTTAAAATTGTTTTCTTAAAATTCGAGATATAATTTTTATTTTTAAAATTTTTTCAGCTCAAATTAATTAAAAATTAGAGAACAAAAATTATTTTTTTTTAAAAAACAAAATGGCGTTGCTAACTTTTTGCACTGATTTAAAGAATATTTACATGTCTCAAGAATTCAAGTTTGCAAAAATTAATAATTTACGAAAAAATAATTTCGAACAAAGAACAAAAAATAACAAAACAATAATTTTTCTCAGTTAAATATTTTAAAATACAATTTTTCCAAGTAATTATTCAAGAAATTATATTTAACTTACAAACTTAGAGAAATTTGGCGATTATTCTTGTAAATAAATTATTTGATTTTTTTAATTGCCAACAAAAATGTAAAATAAAAAAAAATTATTTACAAATAATAAATAAGATAAAAAATATTTTTTTTTCAACATACCGGTGGTCTGAAAAATTTGACAACTGCAATCTTTCCATAAATACCGACTTCTTTCAATGGTCTCAATCCTTCGGGCGTTACGAGATAAATCTCGAGACGCATATTTTTTGCAAGTATTAAATTCAAATCCGTGGGTGATGTAAAATTACCTTAAGGAAAAAAAAGAAAATAATTCAAATTATTTGAAAAAATATTTTAAATTATAGAATTCTCAGAAATGTATATTTTTTTTTTTTGAAAATGCTAAAAAAATAATTATTTCCTTTTTTTTAAGTGAAAAAAGAAAATATCGATATTTTTCAAAGTACATAAATTTTTTAAAAACAATTTAATATTTTTGTTAATAAAAATGTATTGTTATTTAAAAAAGATTTAAAAAATTGTTATAAATTATGCAAAAATTTCATTTTTTCAGCTGTTTTTAGTATTGAATTTTCTTTATAGTTTTTTTTTTTGTACTAAACCTATACTTAGAAACATTAAAATACCTTTATTGAAATTTAATATAGGTAGCTTGAAAATTTTTAAAAGTAAAAAAAGCAATAAAAAAAACTAAATTCGAAAATAAAAAGATAAAATTTAGTATTCAGGTGTATTTTTACAATTAAAATAGAAAAAGAAAAAAAATCATAAAATACCAATTTCGTATAATGTAAATTCACCATTTTAAAATAAATCAAGAAGCTGCATTGTATACCTACTAAAAAAACGTATTTTGTTTAAATTTTTTTTTTAAATGTAAAAAAAGTCGAAAAATGTCGTATTTTTGAAAAAAAGATGGAAAAAGTCGTATAATCCGAGGCCTGTAAATTTCTATTTAACAAATTTCTTAATTAACAAAGTTGTTATTAAAGAAAATTTTAATTCCAAATAATTCTTATTTAACTGAATTCTCATTTAAGAAAAATTCTACTTAGTTCTTTTTTTTTGTCAATTTTTATAGACATGAATTTCGTTAAATTGAAATTATATTAATTTAAAACTTTAAGAAAGTATTAGAAAAAATGCTTTATAAGAGTTCTGCTAAATAGAAATTCTTTTAAATCGAATTTTAGTTAAATGTAAATTGAAAATTTTGCATAATATAAAGTCCACTTTATACAATAATTTTGCTAAATAGAAATTCGATAATTTAATATTCGACGCCGTAAAAATTTTTATAAATTAAATGTGGGTATTAGCTTTAAATAATAAATTATTCGTATATTAATGAATAATTTACTTTATTTGTAGTTGAACCGATAAAATAAAATTGTATCAAATAATTTTTATTTTTATTAAAAAAACCAAATATTTCACTGAAAAAAAATAATTAATTGTTATCCAAGTTTAAAAAATCATTTATTTGATTCAATAAATAGTTGTAAATAATTATTTACTTAATGAATATAAGATATATCACATGCTTAATAATTGAATGTGAAGGCCAACTTTTTAATTTGCATTTGCTTTGGGGAAAAAAGTAAAAAAAATTTTAAACTAATAGTTACTTTAATTTATTTATAAAAAATTCCACAAAATTAAAGAAATTTCCATGACTTTTCTCTGAATTTTCCGTGAACATTTAAAATCCCTGACTTCCCTGACCGTTAGATACCCTGAATTTTCAGAAATGTTTTTTTTTGAAAATGCTAAAAAGTAGGTAATTATTTAATTTTAGACTAAAAAAAAGAAAATATAAATATTTTTTTAAGTACTTTCTTAATAAACAATTTCATTTTTTTTCTTAATAAAAATGTATTGATTTTATTTTAAAAAGATAAAAAAAATATTATTATAAAATTTATTTTGCAAAAAAAATAAATTTGTCAGCTGTTTTGATTGAATTTTCTTTTATCTTTATTTTCACTAAACAGAATAAATTGAAATTTAATACAGATAGCTTGAAAATTTTAAAATAGGAAAAAAAAGTCTAAATCAAAGAAAATTAGAAATTTAAAATCGTTTATTTTTTCAACACTAAGCAAAAAAAGAAATCTTCTTTTACACAATAATAAGATCAACAATCGAGAAAATTCAATGGTAACAAAAAGAAAATCAATAAAAGTTCACATGAAACAAAAGAAAACTGTTCTTAAATTTAAATATAAGGAATCGTCTAAATACAAATATATTTATTGTTTTTTTTGTGAAAAGAAAGAATAGGAAAAAAATTTGTTCCTAGAGGGATTTTTTCATTTTTGTTTTAATAGCGTAAATAATAATAGAGAAAATTCATGTCCTTGAAAAATATTTGTTTACGAATGAAACATAACCTTTAAAGTCAATAGAAACACTGAACGTAATTTATCATTAGAAAAAAATAATTATAAATTAAATAAAAAAAGAATTTTCTCAATTACCTGTAACACAAGCATTGACTGCTGTTGGTTTATGTGCCGTTACAACGTAATGATGTGCCATTGCTTTCATTTTATTATTTTCTTCTTAATTCCGAACAAAATGAGTGAATTTTACTTGCACTCCGAATTATTATTTTTTTTTCGCTTAAAATATATAACAATCAACATACACACACACGCACACTGTTTTGAGGTTAGGTTTTTTCGACGTGAATCTGGCGAAGGACGCCGCAACAAGGACACAATGTCAGGGTACGGAAACATGATGTTTGGGGGAAGAGAAAAAGGAATATTCTCATCTTTTTCTAATACACTGTGTGGTTATAAGTCTGTCTTTTAGTTTAAAATTTCTCTCTGCGTAGAGAGGAAAAAATCTAAAGTAAGAGAAATTTATTTTAATACATTAGGTAGTAGAGAAAAATTAATTGCTTTTTACGAAATAAGATGTAAAAGGTTAACTAAAAAAAAAATGTTTTTTTTTATTTATAAGAATGAAATTGGAGGGGGAAAATCAGAGTTGTGTAGTTACCGACAACTGTCACGGTTGCGAAAATTTTCTACGTATATTACGTATTAGTAACCACTGTTAACATGCGTAAAAAACTTCGAGATTCGAGTTACGCATAACAGCGCAACCTTGTTTTTCATTTGCCTTTGTCTTTAACGAATGAAAAAGGCAGGTTTACAATTATCTTCCATCTCTCTCAGTTTATTTCTCAATCAACACACATAACCTTATCAGTTGATAAATCATGTAAATATAATTAAAAAAGAATTGTTAATAACATGTTTTTCATTAGAAATTTGTCGCTATTTCTACAAGAAAAAAATCGTGATAGAGAAATAAAAAATTAAATAAAAATTTGGTGAAAATTTAACCTGTTGAAAAAAAAGAAAAGTAAATTTACTCCGAAGATAAGAAGGTAAGTTTCGTAAGAAATAACATTTCTTTATAAAAAATTTGTTGTTTTTTTTTCATTTCTTTTATAAATTTTTCATTATAATCAACATATAATATAATAATATTATATATTTTCTGTAATAAATTTTTTCCTAAATTATATTTTTTTGTAAGAAAATTAAAAAAAAAACAATGTCTGTTTACAATTGTTGCTATTTTTAGACGTCTAATATACTTCTCCTTCAATTTAGGTAAACACAAATGTTTCGTTTTAATTTATTTTTAAAAAAAAGGTTATCACAATGTATTTTTAACATTTTTTTAGAGGACACGGAAAGAGTGAAAATATTATTTTATCTTTTTATACAAGTACAAATTGAAATTTCAATTAAAAAATGTAAATTACAAAATAATTACTTATGTGAATATTATTAATCGAAAACAAAACAATGAAAGAAAATTTTATTTATTCTTCTATAAATTATTAATTCAACTTTATTTGATATATAAATTAATTACAAAATTTGTAGTAAATATACAATTTTTTAAATTCAAAGATATTGATTTAATGTCGAATATTAAATTATCGAATTTCTATTTAGCAAAATTATTGTATAAAGTGGACTTTATATTATGCAAAATTTTCAATTTACATTTAACTAAAATTCGATTTAAAAGAATTTCTATTTAGCAGAACTCTTATAAAGCATTTTTTCTAATACTTTTTTAAAGTTTTAAATTAATATAATTTCAATTTAACGAAATTCATGTCTATAAAAATTGATAAAAAAAAGAACTAAGTAGAATTTTTCTTAAATGAGAATTCAGTTAACTAATTTCAATTATTTTCAAAAATTTCAATTCAAAATAAACTAAAATTCAATTATTTTAAAACATTTCAATTAAAATTCAATTATTTTAAAAATTTTCAAAATTTTAAATTCTGAATTAATTAAAACCCCTTTTTTCAAAAATTTTAATTCAAAATGAACTAAAACTCAATTATTTTCCAAATTTAAATTCAAAATCAACTAAATGTCATTAGAAATGCTTCGTCTTTTCATAATCCAAGAACACTTAAATCTCTTTATTTTTCTTTTGTTAGATCCCAGATTGAATATTGTTCTGTGCCTTGGAAACCTTTTTATGCTCAACACCTTATCAGAATAGAAAGAGTTCAAAACCGTTTTCTTCGATTTTTTGCTAGACAAACTGGTATCCGTTTTGACAGATTTTCTCATGAGTATGAGAACCTAAGAACATCGGTGAACTTGCCCAGACTTACATCCAGATTGGACTATTTTGATATGCTTTTCTTTTTTAAAATTTTAACAGGATATATTGATTGCCCTACTCTATTATCACTTATTAAATTTTCAGTTCCTATACGTCATTCCAGAAATTATGCTTTGTTCCATGTACCGTTCCATCGAACAAATTACGGAGTTAACTCTGTCATTAGTAGATTGTCTAGAGGAGCTTACTAAGCTTACTAAGCTTACTAAGTTTACTAAAATAACAATTCTGTTAGAAAAAATTTTCTCTATGCAATTTTTCTTGATATAAATTCCGTTAAATTGAAATTGTATTAATTTGAAATTCGATGTACTAGAAAATCTGCTTTATATAATTTTACTAAATAAAAGTTTGATAATTTAAGATTTGACGCCCGTAAAAATTCTTTTAAATTAAATGTTGAGAATATTTATATGTTCCCAATTAGTTTATTTATTTCACTTAAATATTTTATTTTTTACCAAACATTATTTATTTGGTTCAAATACATATGAAATAAGTGGATAATAGACAGGTAAATGATTTAATTGTATCAAAATAAAAATTTTATAGTGTAATTTAAGTCAGGGAAATGTCAGGGAATTTTTTCCTAGCAGTTGTTAGACACCCTGAATTATTTCTAAAAATTTCAACTTTAACTCTTTCGGATTATTATCCGAGGCCTATTAATATTAAGCTTTATTTAAGATATAAATCTTAAAATTTATAATTTATAATAAATATTAAATTTAAAATCAAAGATAACAATTCAATATAAAATATTTTAAAAAATAAAAATGTTACGTTTTTATTAATTTTATATACAAGGGAAATTTATAAATATTCATAATTGAATTTTATTTTAATAAATATCTAAATAATTTACAAAATTTCAAAAAATTTTAACTATACATATTTAATAATTTATAAATTAATCTTCTTTTTAATTTTTATAATTTTTAACAATAAATTAACCTGTTTGAAATGTGGAGAATTTTCGATTCTCAATTATTAGATATTGATAAAAAATATTAATATTAGGAAATTAATAAATAATAGATATAATAATTGTTAAAACAAATTCCAAATTATAAAAATATAAATAATTTTATTGGTACTCTCAAGTTTACTATTAAAATAAAATAATAAACTTTTGTCGAATATTAATAAAAATTAAATTTTTGTTTATTTAAAATTTTGTATTTTTTTTTTTTTTGGAAGCCCGTTTACTTGTTAAATAAATAAATAAATAAAATTGTAAACCTTGGAAAAAAAATTTGCTCTCTCGCGAAAAGAAAAAAATAAACTGTGGATAATAAATAAAATGAAATTTTTGATAATTCTAGAATGCCGTTCAAATTTTATTTAAAGAAAAGTCGACAGTACGATGTAGTTTCAAAAAATCAATATGTAATTTGCATTGAACTATTGGATACAACATCGATAGAATGTACTTTAAGTATTGGAAGTACAGGAAGAGAATGTCTTATAAATGTCACACAACGTCTTGGTTTGGGACAATCGGAATTTTTTGGCCTGTGTTATATTTGCAAAGATAGTCCACATTCATCGCGATGGATTAATATGGATAAACCACTTAAAAGGCAGTTGGAAAAGAAAGCAAAAAATTGCATTGTCTATCTTCGTGTGATGCATTATATTTTTGATATTCAATTTATTCAAGACGATTTTACGCGGTATGTAATTTTTCTTTTTTTTTTTTTTTTGAACAATTAAAAAAAAAACATATTTTCTTTTTTTTATTTTCAAAATAGTTCGTTGAACTATTATTAATTCGATTTTTCATTATATTATATGTTTTAAGTTTGGTAAAAAATTGGAGAATTCCTTGCAATATTAAAAAGAAAAAATTTTATTGAAAATAATTCAATTTTTCTTTTCAACATTTTGCTTCTTTAAATTTTCTATTTATTTTCTTAAATTCTCATAGTTTTTCAATTTTTTAAAAAAATTTTCACTGCGAATTCAAATTTATGAAATTTTTAATTTCTTTTTTTTTATTTTCAATTTCTAAAATTTTTAATTCTTCTTTATTTCTTTTCGTTCCTCTCATTTTTAAGAGTTTTTTTTTCTTTTTCTCAAAAAAAAAAAAAAATTGTTAACTCAAATTTTTTTTTTATTTTTTATTTAATTCAACTCTAGAAAGAGTAAATTGTATTCTTTTACATTTTTATTTTTCATTTAACATTGTTTCTATTTTATTTTTTTTTTTTTTTGCTGTAAATAATATTTTTATTTTTCTTTTTTTCTTCTTTTAGATATCATTATTATTTACAATTGAAAAATGATATTTTGGAAGGTAAAATAACATATGACGCGCGACAAGCTTCCCTTTTAGCGAGTTATTCAATGCAAGCGGAATTTGGAAATTATGACGCAGATCGACATTCACCTGAATGTTTACAACAAGATATTTTTTTTCCAAAAGTAAGATTTTTTCAAAGTGTATTTTTTGTAAAAAAAAATTTTAATTTTTCTTCACAAAAACAATTCAAAGTAAAAGAGAATTAAACAAAAAATATTTAAATACTATTTTTTTGGCTAAGAAAATTTTGTTTTTAAAGAGTATTAAATGGTATAAATTTTGTTATTGATTATGGTAAATTATTATTATTTTTTTTTATATTAAATTATTAAAAGAAACGGTCATTATTATCAAAAATAACAAAATCATTAATTTTCCAAAATTAGTTAATATTAATTAAAAAATTATTCGTTCTAATATTTATTTTATTTTATTTATAATCACAATGTATTTTCTTTTTAATTTATTTTGCTGAAGAAAAAAATGTTTGTTTGTTTTTTTATTTATTTCAAAGAAACGGATTTACTTAGGGTAAAAAGTTAGTTACATGTATAAATTATTTTAGATTCTAATAGAAGCGGAACCAAGAGCACAAGAAACACTTTTAAACGATGCGATTTGTCAGTTTAAAAGTTTAACTGGAGTGACACAATCGGCCGCCGAGGAAATGTACATTATGACTGTAATGCAAATGGAAGGATATGGTTACGAAACTTTTGTCGCAAAGGCAAGAAACATTTTTATCTTAATTTCCTTTTTATTTTTTTTTTTTTTGTATTTATTTATTTAGATTTTATATTCAAAAATACCAAATATTTTTCTAAATTATTAATTCATATAAATAATATTACAGGATGAAGGTAACAATGAAATAATTCTTGGTATTTCCATTAATGGCATAATGGTTGGATCTTCAACATCACAATCTGACAAATTTTACAGGTACAAAATTTTATTATTTATAATAATAATAAAATATTTATAATAGAATGAAAATAGTCAATTTAATTAATTACTACAAAAATAAATTAATAATTCTAAAATAAGAAGACCCAGAAACGTTCTAGGCCTTTTTTATTTTAGAATTATTATTAATACAAAAAACGATTTTAACAAAAAGCAAATATAAAATGTTTTTTATTTCTTTTTTTTGTAGATGGTCTGATATTAGTAATGTAATTAGTCACAAGAAGACTTTTAGAATTGAATGGCAAGTCGAAGGCGAAACGCCGAAACAATTTACATTTGGAGAATCACGTGTTGCAAAATATGCCTGGCAATTGTGTATCACAAAACATACTTTTGCACAGCATCTAACCGAACAATTAAATGAGCGCGTTAGTAATGGACATTTTGTAAGTATTTTGTTTTCTTTTAAATCTATTTTTTTTCTTATTTTAAAATTATTTTTAAGCCGAATTTTTATTTTTTCAAATTAGTATTTTTCAGAATTATCATCAAAACGATTTTCTGGTTTCTTTTTCTTGATTGTGCAAAATACTAATTCGAATAAATAAAAATTCAGCTCAAAATATAATTATTATGACAAATGAAATGAATTTTGTTTTATTTTTAATGAATAAATAAAAATATTTTACAATTAACTTTAGAACGAGACAAATGAACAAATAGCGTCTTTGCGTTTGGATCATCAAACGGAGAATCATATGCGCTGGACAAGTTACAGCGATTTATCGACATCTCCATGTCCCATTGTTTCTGTATCGTCTAAAGATACAAGTAATTTACAAGCTCTATTGCCGCCTTATAGACCAGCGCCCGATTATGATACGGCAATGCAAATGAAATACAACAATGGTGCTATTAATTCTCAACCATATTATGCTAATCAATCGACAATTATTGGAGCCGATCTCTCATGTTTGAGAGTTCCTAATCGAAATAGATATTAATTATATGCTCGTCTTTCAATTTTTTTTATTTAAAATTTTAATAATTATTGTTTGAAAAATTGCATTTTTTTAAAAAAAAGAGAAAAATGCAAATTTTTTTTAAAAAGCATCAAATGTTTACTTTTTTAAAAAATGTTTTCACTTGAAAAACGTTGAAACAAATTTTTACATTAAAAAAATTTTTTTTTCTTTTATTAGAGAAAAAACACGATAATTTTAAATTATTTATTATATTTTGATTAAATTATTATTAGTAAGCAAAAATATTTCGACAAATTGGAAATGAACAAATTTGTGGCCTCGAAAAGTAGATAATTTTATCATCTCGTGCCTTCTATTTAAATCTAATATTGTATAAATTTTACGTGTTATTGCAAACTAAGCTTTTAGCAGTATTTTTTTTTGTTTGAATTAAAAAAAAAAAGTCGAAAAGTAGATTTTTATTTTATTTCTATTTTTTAAAATAGTTATTATTTTTTTATATTTATTCTACTTAGATTTGAGTAATTTTATTTTTTAACAGCTTTATGTGATATATTTTCAGTTTATTTTTAATTTACAGTCTATATTTTTTAGTGATCGCCCCCCAACGACAAAAATTGGGGATTTTTTTTTTTTGTTTCATACCACATAGACACCATTTTTTTTCATTTATAAATAAAATAAAATTATAAGGACAAAAAATAAATTGCATTGTTTTTTATATTTTTGAAAAAATATTTAATTGAAAAAAAATGAAAAAAGTGAATTATTATTCACTTTTATTAGGATTGAGGCGAAAATTTTACAAATATTTTATTTTTAGAAAACTTAAATATTTTTATAAAATTCAAAAAATATAATAAAAGAAAAATTTTTGTGTAAGAATTAAAAAAAAGAAATTTTCTTTTATTAAAGAAAATAATTTTTTTGGGGGGGGGCAATCACTTTGTAATAATTTTTAATTAAAAGATCTTGCTTCATAAAAAGTTGAAAAGAAAAGAACAATTTTTTAAATTTCATTATTTTTACCCATTTTATTAAGCTATTCAATTTTAATAAATTTTTCAATTTTGCTTACTTTCGAAATATATGTGTGTGTGAGCGCGTGTTTGTATTAATGATTTATTTATAATTTAAGCTTTTTTGTGGATTTAAGTTTTTAATTGTGTGCTAAAGTTTTTTTTTTTTATTAAATTTGTTTATAGATCGACAAAAAGAATTTGTGATTAGTCATATAAAATATATTAAATATATACATATGTTTTTTTACGCAAGTTATCAATCGTGAGAAATGTATATCGTTGTATATTGTAAATTTTTACTGTAAAATCAACAGTTCATTACTTTCTTAGAAATAGAAAAATAAAAAGAAAAACGAAATTAAATTTCAAATGTATAATTTTTCATTTTTCATTACAAAAAAATTTTTAAGTTAAAGTAAAAATTAAAAAAATTTCTATTTTTCACGCAATACCTAATCAAGTTATACAAATTTTTAAATAATAATTTGGACAGAGTAATAGTGGAAAATTTTAGAAATAATTAAATTTCCAAAGATTTTGTTAATTTTCAAACAATAATTAATAATTTTACAGAACTAAAAATAATTTATCAAATAATTTTAGATAAAATTTTTTAAAAGTAATTGAATTTTCAAAGATTTGTAATTTAGATTTTTGAAATTAATTGAATTTCAAGTGATTTTTAATTTAAAATTTTTGATAATTTCTGTTAGTAAAAAATTTATTAAAAATTGCAGACAAAAATACAATAATTTGAAAACTTTTTAAATGAAAAATGCTTTCAGATAATTGAATTTTCGAAGAATATTATAAAAATCATTAAAAATAATTGACATTTTTTTGCATATCACTAAATTTCAAGTAATTTTGAATTAAAATTTTTTGGTAATTTTATTTGCTAATTTTTTTAAAATTATAAACAATTACCTATTAAATTTTATAAAAATTTTAATTTGAAAAATAGTGAATTATTTTTTTAAGTCAAAAATCTCATACAATCCAAGTGTTGAAAATAAAAAATACAATTAAATAGTTTTGATAAATCTATATTTCAAAATATTTCGTTATTTATTTATTTTTTTTTCTTACAAAATCAGTTTGGCGATATTTTTCTTATACATATTTATGTAAAAATAATAATTATTATTTACTTAACAATTATTCCATTTTCCTTTCAAGGCACATTTTTCTTTTATTTATTTATAACGTTGATTTTCTTGATTTTTGTGTTTTTTCAATTTTGAAAATGTACAAAAATCTATTTTGTATAATTCCATAAAAAAAAATCCATATCAAAAGAAGAAAGTAAATTTTTTACACTTTTTTTCAGTACAATTTACAAAAAAAATAAATAAATTGTTTTTTCTTCAAAAAAATTATTTTCTAAAAATTGTGTAAAAATTTGTGATAAATATATAGATATATAAACACAAATTAGAAACAAAAAGAGAAAGAAATAGAAAATTGTTGCAAGTTATTTGTGGGAAAATAAATAATTTTTTTTTTCTTCGAGATTCAATATTATTAGATGAAGAAGAAATAAAGAAAAAAAATTTTTTTAGTCAATTAAAATGAACACATTAAACATTGACTAGAGAAGAATACAGGAACTTTTTTCACGAAAGGGATTTGATTTTTGTGAGGAAAATCCCACAAGCAAACAATCTTCCTGTTCATGTTCGGTAATATATTTCATTATGTCCTCGCAAGCTTTGCTCACTGTTATTCGTTTAATTGCAGCTTCACGACGAAGTTGCTCTGTTACTTGTCTTTGCTGTTGTAAAGTTGAAATTACCATGTCCATTATTTTTCTGCAAAAAGAAAGAAGAAAAAAAAGAATGGTAAAGAAAGTTTTTAAAATACATTTTTCATTTAAAAAAATATTACAGAAACGATACCAACGCCAAGAGAAATATTTTATTGGTATTTATTTGAAACAAATAAAATTTATTTAAAGCAAATAAAAATTTATTTGTACCTTATAAATTTTTATTTGTTTCAAATAAAAAATTTTTAAAAAAAATTTATTTAGAACAAATATTTTTATTTAAAGCAAATAAAAATTTCTTTCTTTCATTGCCTTATAAATTTTTATCTATTTCAAATAAAAAAATTTATTTAGAACAAATATTTTTATTATTTTTTCTAAAGAAATAAAAATTTTATTTACAGCAAATATAATTTTTATTTAATTCAAATCAAAATTATTTCTTTCAAATAAATTAAATTTGGTTTAAATGGAATTTTGATTTGCCCTAAATAAAAATTTTACTTGTACTAAATTAAATGTTTTATTTGAATCAAATAAAATGTGAGACAAATATATTACCATTTGATTTTCTTTTTTTCTAAAAATAAAATTTTTGAAAAATAAAAAATTCTAAAATGGTGGAAAATTATTTTTTTTTAATTTTTTATTTGATAATAAAATATAGGTAGTTTTTTTTTTTTTTTTTTTTTTTTAAAAAGCCGAAATTTTTGCAAATTTTCAAAAAATGTTAAATCACTTTTTTTTTAATTTTTATATCAAAGAAAAATTATTAAATTCTATAAAAATAAAGTTTTGAGTTGGAGAAATTTTCAAGATTTGAACTTGACAAAAATTTCACAAAGAAGTCTAATTCAAAATTTAATTTTTTAAACTATTTTTTCTTTTCTTCTATTATGTATGTAGATTTTACATTTTTAGAAAAAATAAGTTGAAAAAAGTCGAAAAATTCCCATTTTATTAAAATGATTCGGAAAAAGTCAAAAAAATTGCATTTTATTAAATTTATCGAAAAAATACAATCCAAGGCCTTAATAATTAATAAATTTAAAAAAAAATTCGTTTATTATATATTAAACAAATTTATTATAATAAAAAAATATACGAAATTCATAAATGAATTTGAGGTTATGTTCGACGCGATAATTATTTTATTTACCATTACCAACTAAGAAAAAACAAAAAAAAACATTAATAAAAATAAATTCTTTAAAATAACTAATACATTTTTTCAAAAAACCAATTTAAAAAAAAAACCTATTTCACAAAATAGAATTGTGGGCGTGGTTTAATAGCAGGAAGTAGCTGATTGTTATTAAAATAGAATTTAATTTATTTATTTTCAAAAAAGAATTGATAAACCAAAGAAAACAAAAATTATAATCATACCAGTAAATAATCCAATAATTGTTCACAAAAAAAATGGGTTTTAAATTTTCACTAATTGTTTGATAAAAGAAAAAGAAATAACAATGCAATGACAAACAGCTGATAATGACAAAAGATGACAGATATAGAAAAAGAGAAAGAATAGATGGCGCTGTAAATTTTTTTTTTTTGTAAAAAAAGGATACATAACAAAATTAAATTCGATAAGGAAAAATAAGAGAACATTTTTTTTTAAATAATACATTTTTATCAGTTTAATAAACAAACAGTAATAAAAAATTTAAAATATTTTTAATAAGAGAAAATTGTAAAAATTTACTTATTGGAGAAAATATTCCTCGAAATCGGCGGGATAATTCAAATGTAGAACAAAATTTCTTTTTTTTCCCACTAATAGTGATAAAAAAATACTCAATTTTTTTCGAAACTATTTTATTATTTTTTTTTCCTTCTTTCTATTTTACATTTGATATTTTTTTGTTCTAATCTAAAAATTTTTACTTAAAAAATAAAATTGAAAAAAAGCAAAACTAGAGGTCGCATCAGTCAGTTTTAGAAAATGGCGACAAAGGACGAGAAGCGCGGCAAATTGTAGTCATTCATTTGTTCCCCTCCAAATCCTTTTTGATCCTAACATTCGACAAGTCATGACACGTTTATTTGCACGCTCTCGAAAAATCCAATTGAATTTGCGGCCATTTTTCTCATATCGTCATTTTTTTTATGTCTCCTTGTGAATTTACAACGCAAAATTTCCGTAATGTTAATGGAAAAATTGTTTATTTAGATGTAAACAATGAAAAAGAAAAAGTATTAAAAATAGTTGTGAATGCAAGTGATAAAATACACGTTACAAAAGAAATTGTCAAATTTTTTATATTTCTTGTCACGTGTTTCTTGTTAAATCATTTTGTCTACATTTTCATTTTGTCAATGCTTTTGGTTTGGCATTATGTTAATTTAGCCACTATCGTTATAACAGGTGAGTTTATTTTATTTTCTATTTCTATTTTTTTTTCTTATAAAAAAAATATTTTCCATATAGACTTTAAAAGTTATAATTTTTGGTACTTTAAAAGTCGATTAAAATGAAAATTTCTTTTCCCAAGAAAATATTTTTTTATTTATTAATATTTATGGAAAAAAATAAATTTATATTTAAGCAATTTATTTAATTTAATTTATAAATTTGTTTAAATGACGCTTTGTCTTTGTTGTAACCGGCGAGAAAAATTCCATTTGCATAGAATTTCATTTAGTATAAATTTATAATAAATAGTATATTATTTTTAATTAATTATTTATATTGGATAAAATGAAGATATTTTAATATTTATAAACAATTATTTTTTCGATTTATTCAACATAACCTATAAAATTAAAGATCATCGCACAATAATTTCGCGAACGTGAAGCATGAGTTAGAAAAGGACACGAATATATTTCTCTACTTTTTTAATTCATCGTTCGTCAACGGATATATTGACATTAATTTTAAACAAATTAAATAATAGAAACAAATTATTTATTTAAAATTGTTTTAAGAAATTGATTTTTTTTTTGTAACATAACCTTGAAATAAAAATCGCAATTTTTGTTAAAAAAAAAAAGAACAGAACAAAACAGTAATATTTGAAAAATTTATAACTTGAAAATAATTAATTTTCTTGATTAATTAATAAAATAAGTGAATTATATTAGTTCATTGTTATCACTTAATAATATAGTCGATTTGATTTTATCACTTTTTCCTTTATATTTAGCTACTATATTCATTTCAAAATAATCTAGATGTAAATATTTATAAATTTAGTAAGGGGAAAATTATATTGTAAAACTTAGAAAGTTGTACAATGAAGAAATAAAATCTAATCTACATATTTAGAAATTTATTTTATTATTCATTAATTTATAATTAATTTTGTGAATATAATTTATTTTTCTTGTTATTTTGATTCTCATTGAGTATTAGGAAATTTATTTTTAATTGTTATAAACAACATAAATTTTCTTTCGTTAAATTAAATATAAAATTTATTTTTTTTTAAATAATAAATTTAAATAAAACTAAAATTAATTAATTTTGTAACAAGTTCAAACTTTTATATTTTCTTTTAAAAATAATCTTCAAATTTTTTTTACGCATAATTAGAAAAATTAATAATATAAAAAAATAAACATTTTAAGAATCAATTTAAATTAAATTAATAGTATGAAATAATAAATGAATAGGCAAATAAATTGATTTTGAATTCTAATTTCGACTTTTTTCGACTTATTTTAATAAATTGCAACTTTTTCAACTTTAAAAAAAAATTTTTTTTTACAAAATTTTTAAACAAAATACGTTTTTTTAGTATACAATGAAGATCTACTTCAGGTCTTTCTTATTTCAATTATTTAACAAATTTTTAACTGAAATTCTTCACTAAATTAATTATTTTTAATAATTTTAATGAAATTCTTCATAAATTCAATTATCTTAAACTATTTTTTAATTAAAATTTTTTATGAAATTTAATTATTGTCTATAATTTAACAAAAAAATTAGCAAATAAAATTAGAAAAAATTTCTAATACAAAATCACTTGGAATTTAATTATTTGCAAAAATTTCAATTATTTTTAATATTTTTTATAATATTCTTCGAAAATTCAATTATCTAAAAGCATTTTTCAATTAAAAACTTCTGGAATTCAATTTTTTATGTGATTTCTAATAAATTCTTCATCAACAGAAATCACTAAAAAATTTTCTTATAATTATTGTAATATTCTTCGAAAATTCAACTATCTGAAACCATTTTCAACTTTAAAAATTTTTAATTATTTTATTTTTGTCTTCAAATTGTAATAAATTTTTTAGTAATAGAAATCATCAAAAAATTTAAATTAAAAATCACTTGAAGTTCATTTAATTTCAAAAATCTAAATTGTAAATCTTTAAAAATTCAATTACTTTTAACGAAGAATATTTTAAAATATTTAAAATATATTTTTTTATAATTTGTTGTTTAATGTAAACTAGAAGAAATATTTTTTAGGTGGAAAATTGTAGAATTTATCTTTTTAAAAAATTATTTCTTTAAAAATCGTTTATCATAAACGTTGCGTACTTTAAATTCGTTTATTTTTAAAAAGTGTTATCTAAAATTATTTGATAAATTATTTTTAGTTCTGTAAAATTTAATTATTGTCTGAAAATTAACAAAATCTTTTGAAATTTAATTATTTCTAAAAATTTCAACTTTAACTCTTTCAAACTTATTATTTAAAAAAAAAATTTATTTAAAAATCTGCAAAACTTGATTAAGAATTGCCTGAAATTTTTTTCACCATCAAAAATAAAAACTATGACAAAATTTTTAATTCGAATAAATTGCTCAAATCAAAATTGAAAAAATTATAAAAATGGGACTTTAAGAATTTTTTTTAGAAATTTGTCCTACTTAAATAAAATTTTGAAAATTTGTCTTACATTTAGTTCGATTCTGAAATATTGGAAATAAATTTTCTTGATAATATTCTTATAGAATTATTCTCATTACAGAATTAATAAACTGAATTTAATATCTAATAACATTAGTTATTTAAAGTAAAATATTTATTAACCAATTAAATTTTGCTAAAATAAAAGAAAACCAAAGAATTAATTAATATATAATAATATGTGACCTGGACAGTTAAAAGGGACCTTTTGTCCGAAAAAATCGATTTTTTATTGATTGGTGATTCTGATAGAGAAAACTTTTTTCTATCAGAATCACCAATCAATAAAAAATTAATTTTTTCGGACAAAAGGTCCCTTTTAACTGTCCAGGTCACATATTTAGATAATCGCTTAATGTAAATTCCATTAAGAATTTTGAAGAGTTTCAACAATTTTTCTTAGGTAAAAACATTAAAAATTATTCTATGTTTGAAAAATTGAAAAAAAATGTTTAATTTAAAAAATTTACAAGTATTGATATTCCATCTTCTTTTTTGTTTAGATTCCATATTAGTAGTAGAATCAGTGGGAGTTCAGATTTTAAGTAAACGCCGCTTTTTCGGACTTCACGCCACTGAATTTCTACCATGGAATATAATTCAAGATATATTCATTAATGAAGTAATAATAGAGGTAAGAAATACTGTCATTTTTTTCTATAACTTATTTCAAGATATTCAGCAACTCTTAAAAAGATTGAAATATGTTAAAATTTATATTTTACCATTATTATTTGTTTTTTTTAACATTATTATTTTTATTGACTTTGCAGAGAAGAGTCCTCTATTATTTAACATTTATTGTGAAAAATGAAAATGATGACTCAAATCCAGTTCGATTGGTTCCTCTCTTTCGAAATACGAGGCCTGAGAAGAAATGTCTAGAATTCATTTATCATCAATTGGCAGTTTTCATCAAACCAGGCAAGAAAAGTTGACATAAAAGTATTTATTACGCAATTAGTAATTTTTATTATTTATAATACCAAATTTTACCGGTATTTTTCAAATATATATTTTATAAGCAAATTTTACAATACAGAGTAATTTTACTCTAAAATTTTCTTTTTACAATTTATATTTTCAACGTAATTTTTACATTCTTTCATTTCACAAAAAAAAAGTTTTACTTAAATAAATTTAAAAAAAATGGACCATTAATAATGATATTTCGTCAAAGTCTGAATTTATTGCCCATTGGTATTTAATATATATATATAATATATTGAAATTATATTCAATTTTTTAACTATGGTGTTCAAATTTGAAAGTATTGCTAAAAAAAAAATTTATTGCTACTCGTTTGAGCAAAATTAATATTTTCTCATAAAATAAAACGAAAAAAAACCGTATTGCGTTATAAAACAAAATGGTCAAAATAAAATGTGCTTATTGAAAAAAAAGTTTAAAGACAAATTTAAATTATTCAAATAATTATTTTTAATAGAGATAATTTTGTAAATATTAAATTTATTTATTAAACATTTTAGAAAAATAATTATTTTTTCATTGAAAAAATTTTAAATAAGAATGCATTATTTTGACCAATTTGACGTTCAGATGCGTTTAACAAGAATTCATCTTGTTAAAGAAAAACAAACTGTTATTTAGGATTTGCCATTTTTTATACTTAAATAAGTATAAGTTTATTGTATTATACACTTCGCAACTCCAAACTAAATATTGCCAAAGGTAACGTTATCAATGTTTACTATAATTTTTTTATGTATTTTATAAAATTATTTTGTAATAATTTTTTTTATAATTATTATTGATAATTATTTGAGGTTTAATATTGTAAATCTTAATTATTACATTATTTCTACGAGCTGTGGGTTTTTTTATTTGTTGTGACAATGTAACAAATTATAAAAAGAGCTGTATGTTTTGTGAAGAAATTAAGTTACACATTTATTTTTAGGAATGAATTTTCGAAAGATGAGAAAAGTTAAAGCCAGGAAATGCTTAAATTCAATTATTTCTAAAAATTTAACTGTTTCTCCTCCAAAATTCAATTATTTTTTTTCTAAATTATTTTTCTATGATATGTAATGGCTTTACCCATTTATATCGCCAGTAGAAAAAATGTAGATATAGATGAGAGAAATTATTGTCCACCAGAATAATTTTGCCGTTCTTTAGAATGGCTGTAAATTGATAAAGTTATCAAAATAATCAAAAGAATTATTTATGAGGAAGGATTCTTCTCTTCTTCACTTCTTTGTACTTTTCAAAGATATTATTGAATGTCATTAAATTCTCATGATGAGTCAAAAATTACTTTTTAACTTAAGTGCTGCTACATTGCCGCATTCAAATCTCGATGACCAAGAACAGACTGACAAAAATCAAAACAGTCCTCGTGTTGAATCGAAAATTTCATACGTAGCAGTGAGAATAATATACGTGGTCGATTTTATTACAATTTCTTTTTACATGCTGTATAACTATTTTTATCTTCATCATTATTGTCAATAATATATTTATTTCCTGATCTTATAGTGACATATTAATTTTTGTTTGCTCTGCTACTTTGCCTTTTCAGATATTTTAAAAAATACGTTATCATTTTACTTGAAAAGTGAAAATGGAAATATTCCAACGTCTTGGAGTTTCGACTAAGTCTCGTCATTGAGATGCTTCAGTTAGAGCTTTTTTGAGTCTCTCACATTTATTTGCGATGTTAATTTGTCTTTTCAGGTTTTCAATAAAATCTTTTATCTTCATAAATTAATTCTGTATTCAATTAACTATTTTCATTATTTACTCATGTTATTTTCATTTATGATACTATTATTTTTTTACTGGGTCTCTATTCAATATATTTTCATTATTTACTCACTTTATTTTCATTATTTACTTACTTTATTTTTATTATTTTCTTAATTTATTTTCATTAGTCAAAGTTTGTAGTGCTAATTTGTCTTTTCAGGTTTGCAATCTTAATAGCGAATAAAGATTCGCAAATGTGATGTTGTATCTAACCGACCCCAGTGCTTCTTTTAAAAAAATTTAAATATCTATTTAATTGTCAGTGCTGTTTAAAAATGCAAAAATCTATTTAATCGGTCAGTGCTGTTTTCAATGGTTGTCGACGCAATTTACGACGAGAGACGAGCAACGACTGACAGAATGACAGACGAGACCAACTATACTGACAGCGCTGCGGCAACTTCACTGCTTCTCACCTCACTTGTTTTGTGACTACAGAGACAGCGGCGGCGGCGACATGAACTAATTTTTGAAATTGAAAAAATATTAAATATTTATTTAATCAGTCGACAAATTAATTTGTCGATCAACTGAATATATCTATTAATATGTCGATCACCTAAATAAGAGGCTGGCTACACTGAGCCAGCCTCTATATCTATTAATTTGGCGATCAACTGAATATATCCATTCAAACGGTCGGTAAATTAATTTATTTGTGGTGTTAATTTGTCTTTTCAGAACTGCAAGAACACTTTTTTTAACTAATAATTATTCACAAAAAAATTCATTTATTATTTTTATTCCTACTTCATCGTTACTTATTTGAGATGCTGATTCGTCTTTTCAGGTTTTCAAAGAAAAACTTTAATAAATTTCTATTCCTCAATTTATATCATTATTTCTCCTAAATCATCGTTACTTATTTGCAATGCTGATTCGTCTTTTCAGGTTTTCAATGAAAATTTTTAATAAATTTCCATTCATCAATTAATATCATCATTATTCCTAATTCATTGTTACTTATTTGTAATGCTAATTTGTCTTTTCAGGTTTTCGAACAATTTTTTTAGTTAATTACTATTGATCAATTTCTATCATTATTATTCCTATCTTCTTTTTACTTATTTGCAATGTTAATTTGTCTTTTCAGGTTTTCTATAATACTTTTTAGTTGATTACTATTGAACAATTTATATCATTAATTCTCCTAAATCATCGTTACTTATTTGCAATGCTAATTTGTCTTTTCAGGTTTTCGAAAATTCTTTTTAATAAATTTCTATTCATCAATTTATATCATTATTATTCCTAACTAATTCTTCCTTATTTGTAATGCAAATTTGTCTTTTCAGGTTTTCTATTAACATTTTTTAGTTGATTACTATTGATTAATTTATATCATAATTATTCCTATATTATTTTTACTTATTTTCAATGCTAATTCGATGATTTTTTTTAATACTTTTCTATTTATCAAATTATTCACTATTTCCCACCGGAATAATATCAAAACATAACCTCACACTATCACGGATCGCTCCACATTTTTTCCTCGAATAACGACATGAAAACAAAACAAAATGACAGCACGGAGTAAAACGTCACGTCAAAAATTCATTTATTATTATTATTCCTACTTCATCGTTACTTATTTGAGATGCTGATTCGTCTTTTCAGGTTTTCAAAAAAAACCTTTTAATTTTCTATAAATCAATTTATATAACTATTATTCTTTACTCATTGTTACTTATTTGTAGTGTTGATTCGTCTTTTCAGGTTTTCAAAAAACACCTTTTAATAAATTTCTATTGAACAATTTATATAATTATTATTCCTTACTCATTGTTACTTATTTGTAATGTTGATTCGTCTTTTCAGGTTTAAAAACAAACTTTTAATAAATTCCTATTGATCAATTTATATAATATTATTATTTTAACTCATTGTTACTCATTTGTAATGTTAATTGTCCATGGTTTTTGAAAAAGGTGATTTCAAATCTCTATTTAATGCAATTGCTAGAGCAACATGCTGATAATAGAAAGGTTTTGATTCGCCTTATTTAGAAATTATGTACAAACCTAATTTTGAAATTTGGTAGACATTTGTTACTAAATTTCTACATTATACGACATGGATGAAATAAAAATTTATCTATGTGATTTCCTTTCTCTTTGAAATAATTCAGGATTAAAAAGAATATCTTGCGTAACTTTCTTATAACTCTTCAAAATTAGTGATTTTAAATTTCTTAAAAAACATACAGCTCTTAGGGTATTTGACAAGATTTATTACAGTATTTATTATAAATTTCTTATTGAAATGAATTCTGTGTACTAAAAGAAATGTATTTTTCCGTCACTGTCTTCGTATTTTATGTGATCTAATTGTAAGATTTTTAATAAAATGTACAAAGTAAAATGCATTAATACCTTTTCTAATCAAATGATTACAATGTTTAAAACATTTTTTAAAAATTATTTAATTCCATAAGATAAAGTATTACTGCATTTTACTATAATTTGAAAATATTTTGTAATAATATATGTGAATTTGTAAATTTATAATTGAATATCATACAGTTAATTACTTTTGAATAAAAATACAGTATTTTTTTGTAATGCAGCTATTTTTATTTATCAACACATTTTTACAACTGTTAAAAAAATTGTAGTAAAATTTTTTTATTTAAAATTTATAAATATTTTACAAAAGAAATTTTACATACCGATCTGGTAAATTATATCACACTATAAATTTCGTTACTTGTCTGTAATAATCATATGAACATTTTTCTCCGAAGTAAGCATTTTCGATGCTCTCTCAGTGCCAATAATTGACGATAATTGCATAATGTCATACTTACAATAAACAACAGTAACGGACATATTACTTTCGGAACCACCTTTTGAATTTTGATTACTCTCTTGCATTAAATTAATCATTTCACTATAAAAATGTGATAAAACTGGTGGTCCATAAAATAAAATATGACGAATTCCTTTTACTCTAATACGTCGAAAAAAATGAAATCTCTCTGAATATAAAAGAAATTGTGATTCACTGTGAAAAAATATATCACGTGCTTTAGCAATTTTTGCCTCTTTTGAATATTCACAAATTTGCACAAAATTTAATTGTTCATTTTTCATATAATTTCTAAGTGTAACAAAATCAAAATAAGATGGCACAAATATAAGTGTATGACCCATCATTGAATCCGTATATTGTGGAAGAATTTTTGTTGTAAAAAATTTAAATCTAGCGTCAATTGCTTGTGAATAACTGCTTGCCTCAAAACGATGATAGACCTGTGGTACTTTAACAATTACTTGTGATGCAGAACCTGGAATAATGGGATTTGAAATTTTATTTCTACCGGCAAAATTGTGACAACGTTTGCTAAAGATTCCATAAATTTCTGGTAACTCCATGGATGAAAAAATCAGCGTTTGCCTGAAAACATAGTTAAAACTTTTTTTTTTAATTTTTCTAATATTATTAAGAATTAAACAACATTATTTTAACGTAATAATTTATTTTTAAGTTAGAAAAACTTATCAGTCTTGAGGAATTTTTTTTTTAATTTCAATTTATCATAACTTTTAGGAAATTTTCTATTTCTTTTAATATTTTTAAAAAAATTCAAATTTGTATTTGAAATTTGATTTTTTTTTAAATTCAGTGATAAAAAAGTAAAAAAAAAAATATGATAAATAGGTATATTTTAAGAAAAAAAAATTAATAATAAATTTGCATCTATAAAAATTCTCTTAATTAAATTCTGTCATTTTTAAAACAGGGTGTCTAACGGTCAGGGAAAAGTCAGGGAATTTCTTTAATTTTCTGGAATTTTTTATAAATAAATTAAATTTCAAAATTTTTTTGTACTTTTTTCCCAAAGCAAATGCAAATTAAAAAGTTGGCCTTCACACTCAATTGTTAAGCATGTGATATATCTTATATTCATTAAGTAAATAATTATTTACTACTATTTATTGAATCTAATAAATGATTTTTTAAACTCGGATAACAATTATTAATTAATTTTTTTCAGTGAAATATTTGGATTTTTAATATAAATAAAAATTATTTGATGCAATTTTATTTTATCGGTTCAACTTCAAATAAAGTAAATTATTCATTAATACGAATAATTTATTATTTAATACTAATACCCATATTTAACTTATAAAAATTTTTACGGCGTCGAATATAAAATTATCGAATTTCTATTTAGCAAAATTACAGGGTGGCCACAAGTCAGGGAAAAACTGGAAATCAGGGAAAAGTCAGGGAATTTTTATGCAATTCAGTTTTTGTAATATAGCTCATTATAATGATGCCGTCAGATTTTTCATTTTTCAAAGTATTTACTTTTTTTATAATAAAAGTTTTAAATATAATAAAATTTTGTTAACAAACAATGTTTAATTATCTTATCTTTTCCTTTATAAATAAAATTGTTAGGGTCAGTCGGGGTAAATCCGAACGGGGGGTAAATCCGAACGCTAATTATTTCAGCTTAATTAAAATTTTTAAAAATAAGTTCGATATGAGAATTTTTACCTCAGATCCTCTTGAAGAGATTCTAAGTATTATCCCATTTTTCGTCTGTTAATTATAGCAACAGCATAAACAAAGATAACAAGTATTGCAAAAAAGATTGAAAATCAAAGATGACACTCTTTCAGTATTTTGTCTCGTATTTGAAGAAAAAGAAGCTAAAAATTCATTTTATTATTTATAATTGTTTGTTATGAATACTAGAACAGAAACTATTTTTGATTTTTGCCTTCTGTAAAATTTTATTAATAATATCAGACCGTTCGTATTTACCCAAAAAAATTTGAAAACTGGGGTAAATCCGAACGGTATTTTTAATAATTTTTTTTACATCAAAGCCACACAAAATTGTTTTTATTTGATTACACTATTATTTTAACATTATAAAAGTACATAGAAAAAAGTTTTTCTTTCTATACGTATCCTCGTTAGTAATTAATAAGCAGAAACTTAATCTCTGTTCTCTCGAAGGAGTGTTCCACTTTTTTTTGCCAAATGGTTTGTTGAAAAAAGTTTTACAGGATCTTAATAAAATTTGGTATTCTACGGTTTTTGGGGTCGCTAATTACCAATTTGAAGTCAGTTTTTCAAAATTCAAAATGGCGGACGAGAATTAAAAAATTCATTGGATTCGCTCGAAAATTGTTACTCGGGGGGTTTCAGGATTAGCAAATTTGATCATTTTTAAAAATAAGTTTTAGGAAAGTACGCCATTTTTAATTTAAAAAATTTCACTTTTATTTTTGTATTTACATTCAATCACTCCAAAATACTTTCTGTACCAAGTTTTGCAAAAATCCGTTATGATTTGATAAAGTTATTGAAGGTTTTAATTGTGTAATGCATTTTAATTTTTAACCTGTTTGATTTTTGTATTTATATATGATGCATTATTACATAATAGGTTTATTATCGTATTTTTTTTGAGTTTTTATATAAGTTTAACAATTGCAATACTTTAAATTTATTTTCCCTAAAATTTTTTTGAAATACAGTGGCGTTCGTATTTACCCCCATATTTTAGGAAAGTTGCAAAGTATCGAGGTAAATACGAACGCTAAGTTTCCTGCGATTGTAATTTCTCAAAAATTTTTTCTACCCCATAAAATTGTTCTATGGAAGTAAAGTAACAACTTCATGCACCAGAATACCGGAAGTATTTTTTTTTTAAAGAAAAAACTTATGTTATTGTTGAAACTTACTAAAAGCGTTCGGATTTACCCCAGTTGACCCTACTTAAAAAGCATCATAAAATTTTCAATCAGCAATCCAGAATATTAAATAATTCAAAAATTTTTTAGTCAGGGATAAGTCAGGGAATTTTGAAAATAAAATTTTGCGACCACCCTGAATATGGTAGAAAGTGGATTTTATATTATGCAAAATTTTCATATCAAAGAATTTAACTAAAATTCGATTTAAAAGAATTTCTATTTAGCAGAACTCTTATAAAGCACTTTTTCTAATACTTTTTAAAATTTTTAATTAATATAATTTCAATTTAACGAAATTTATGTCTATAAAAATTGACAAAAAAAGAACTAAGTAAAATTTTTCTTAAATGAGAATTCTGTTAAATAAGAATTAGTTCGAATTAAAAATTTCTTTAATAAAAACTTTGTTAATTAAGAATTTTGTTAAATAGAAATTATGTTAATTGTGAATTTATTCAATGACAATTCTATTAAGTAAATATTTTGATAAATCAAAATTTACTAAAATAACAATTCTGTTAAAAAAATTTTTCTTTATGCAATTTTTCTTGATTTAAATTCTGTTAAATTGAAATTGTATTAATTTGAAATTCGATGTACTAGAAAATCTGCTTTAAATAATTTTACTAAATAAAAATTTGATAATTTCAGCTTTGAAGCCGTAAAAATTCTTTTAAATTAAATGTTGAGAATATTTATACGTCTCCAATTTGTTTATTTATTTCACTTAAATATTTTATTTTTGACGAAACATCATTTATTTGGTTCAAATATACATATGAAATTAGTGGATAATAGACAGGTAAATGATTTAATTGTATCAAAATAAATTTTATTTGATTAAAATAAAAATTTTTTAGTAGTCAGGGAAAAGTCAGGGAATTTTTTCCTAATTGTTAGACACCCTGTAAAATTCTTTTTTAAAAAAATGAAGTATTTAGTGGCTTTTAGTCAAAATTAGTAGTAAAAAATATCGGATAAGTGCAAGTTGACAGGGTTGCAGCAGCAGCATTTTGTGCAATTTTTTCGAACAAAAGCGGTCTCTTTTCTTTCTAGCTCGTAGCCATCAAATTTAATCAGTCTTTCTATATTTTTCCTGTAATCTGCACGTGAAAATACGTATGTGTACTAAATTGCAGTTCTTCATATACAAAAATGTAGAAGTTAAGAGGGGGGACAGGATCATTTTTTGCAATTTTTTCGAAAAAACCGATTTCTTTCCTTTTTAGCCCGTAGCCATCAAATCCAATCTATCTCGTTATATTTTTCCTGTAATCTACACGTGAAAATACATGTATGTACCAAATTTCAGTTCTACACTGAAAAAAAATAGTATTGAATCAAGAAAATTTGACTTGCTTCAAGTAAACCGTGGAATTGAATAGGGACAAGTCAATTACGACATTGGTTCAAGTAAACGATTGTCTTAAGATAGTATATTTGGGACGAGAGCATATATTCTTGATCCAAGAAAATATGGAATTCGAGCAATATATTAATCAACTTGTAACAAATGTAAAATACATTAAAGGAAGAAAATATTTTCTTGTTCTGAGAATATATGTAGTCAAATCAATTGTTTCATTTGATTCATTCAAATCTTTGCAATATTGGATCAAGTAAGACAAGATTTAAATCAAAATATTACTTATATTGTGAGGAGACCATATATTCTTGGTCCAAGAAAATGTGGAATTCGTCTAAGAAGTTTATTGACTTCTAAGAAATGTAAAATATATTAACTCAAGAAAATATTTTTCCAATACAAGTAAATACCATGTCTAATTCTTAAGTCAAACATTTTTATTTATTATTAACATTGATATTTTTTATTATTTATTTAAATAATGTTTATTTTACATACATATTTATATTTAATTAATACTTAACACAACTAAAACAAGTATACCTTGAATGAAAATTTTTCACGTTCCGAGGAACTGAACCCGAGTTGCGCGCACCAAAGGCAGTAACTTAATTGATGGTTTTCAAAAACTCCTATTTAAGTTTCACATGGTTGCCACAAAATCTAAATTTTGAAATTCCAGGCTTTTTCCAGGTTTTCCAGGTCATATTTATCTAAAATTCCAGTCGAAAACGGAAATTTTTTAAGCATGTTTATGGGTAATTTGTAATAATTAATCTATTTTGATAAGGTAATTCTCTAATAATAAATAAATATATAATGAATAATATATATACTTTATTGAAATTTCCTTATTCAAAATAATTAATACAAGTCTTTTACAAAAAAATTGTTAATACATTTTTTATAGTGTTACTATAAATAAATATTTAAAAAAAAATTAAAATCACAAATTTTCTTATGTCGTACAAGGGACAATAATACAGTTTTACTAGAACATAAAAGTAATGTTAACAGTCTTAATCACATTTTTACAGTGTAATTATAATCACAAACTTTGTTAAACTTTTAAAATCACATTTTAAATCACTTTTAAAGAGTGTTGTAAAATTATTTTATAAATAATATAGCGATTAAAAAGTTTTTAATACTGTGAATCAACTATTTGACTTATCTTTAATAGTTAAATAATATAAATCTTTTAACATTAAAATAAACTTTTGTTAAAAATCTGGAACAAAAGTATTTAGAACATGTAAATAAAAACAAGTAACACAAAATAACTTTGACTTCTGGAAATTTAATTTTTCCGATTTTTAACGAGTATTTGAATCTCATTATCAATATCATCTAGTTCTCTTTGATTTTCGAGTTGAATTTTCCTTTTTTTTTCTTTTAACTCTTGAATCTCTTCGCCAATTCTTTTCTTCTGTAAATACTGTTCTGCTTCAGTCTTATTCTCTGCTTTCTTATCATTCACTGCTAATTCATATTGCATCCTTGCATTCCGGAACTGCGATATCATTCTTCTATTGACGAATGCTTACTGCTTTTAACGTGACTAGTAATTGAACTTCTGCCCATATTACTAAGGAATATGTGTTTATCACATAATAAACAATACGCAAAATTCTTCCCTTTGGTTGATTCTCTTACGAATTGTAGTTCTGGCTTTTCAAGCCATTCTTTTAAAAAGCTCGTCAGACCCATATTTTTTCTGAGAAAAATATTTCTTGGTAAATTCATAAAAAAAAAAAAAAAAAATATTTTCATCAGTAAGACTTTAAACTTTATATTTACTTACCATTAATTAATAAAATAAAATTTTCATAACTTCACTTTTACTAAATTTAATTTATTCAACCGGCACTCAAGACAAATTTTGCGACAATTTATATATAGGTATTTATAGGTTATTTGCAGACCACGTGGAGATCAAAGAGACCAAGATAGAAACAAAGTTAAAGTAAATCCGAAATCAGAATGGCAATATTGATAATATAAATGCCTGTGTACGCGTTAGCTATCTGGTCAATTAGTCATACTCACTTAAACGTACACCTAATGAGAGTGAGGAGCACAGACGTATATCTCTGCACTCTTCACTCTCATTAGGGGCACGTTCACGAAACTTCAGGCTAATGGAATCACCTTCACATGTTCATTCTAAACAGACCTTTGTATCAGTTAAAGGTAGTACGTCGCTTACGCCCTAAAGACGGGTCTATATGAATTTACACCATTTTATACCTTTTTTTCTGAAAATTTGAAAATGGAAAAAAAATTCCAGAAATTTTTTCAAATTCCATGCTATTTCAAGGATTTCCATACCTCCCTTCAATTTCCATACCAATTCCAGGTTTTCCAGGTTTTCCAGGCTCTGTGGCAACCATGTTTCACATCCATTTGGAGAGAAATATTTTCTTGGATCAAGAATACGGGATTTGTATTAAGTAAAAAATTAATTAATGAATAAAACTATTTGATTCAAGAAATGAAAATTCTTCAGACAATATTTTATTATTTTGATTAATAACCTAATATTCTTGATTGAATACTTTTTGGTACTTCGGGAAAATAAAATATTGGGTTGCGATAATAACATATTTACTTCTGCCAAATAAGTACTAAATTCTTAATTGAAGAACTATGCGTTAATCAAGTTAAAATAAGTATTTACTTATATTAATATTCGCATTTTCTTGACTTGATTATATCACTATTTCAACTGAAAAAATAAATTATTTCATTTAAGATAATATAATATCAAGACTATGAGTATTAGATTAAGTAAAAAGTTGTTTTGAAGGAAACAACAAAACGATTTGACTCAAGAAAATAAATTTCTTCCAATAAGAAAATATCGTCTTGTTTAAAGTAAAGTACCTCAAGTAAATGCATTAACTTGATTCAATTAACTTTTTTTTCAGTGTATATATTAAATACTGTAACCGCAAGGAGGGGGACACAAAGCTGGGACGGACGCAAGAGTCTTTTCATAAGGGTTCCGTTGGTACACCGAAGGTGTACGGAACCCTAAAAAGTAGCCTTGTCGAAAAAAAGTAAAAAAAAGTCTGTCACTTCGAAGCCTGCAAAAATGAGCAGCCAAAATTATTTCGAGGAGAAAACGTAGATCTAGTGAACGACATTGAAAATTAAGGTGCCTAGCATTAATATTTCCTATGTGTGTAACCGTGTTTTTCGGTGACGATGATTATTATAGCTGAAATCTTCTTTCCGTGTAGTTAAATACAGGAAAACCAAATATTTTGACTTATTTTGAAAGTTGATCAAAATTCAATCAAAAATAAAAAAAAATTCCCCTCACCTGTAATATTTGGTCCATCCATTAACAGCCCAACTTCTAATTCTCGAGAAATCAGTTCCCCTCGATGTTTTTGGTTGTAAATGCATATGTTCCATAAGATGAATAAAATGATCCCAATTTTGCATGAGAAAAATTTCCGTTTGATCTAATATTAAAATTTCAATTGATGCCAAAAAATCATAATCTCTATTTAATTCACCCTCAGCGCCAATTAATGTTCTTAAACCCAATGGGGATGCAATAATAATATCGGATGTATAAAAATTTGAATACAATTTTAATACTTTTTTCGTTACTTGTATTCCAATTCTAAAACTATCATCACTATTACCCTGAAATGTCATTTCATAATCTTCAGGTTTTGGATTTTTTTTAGGCATTAAAATTTCACCACCACTGAATTCATCAAAAAATCTCTTTTTATTCATTACCGATCCACCTTTACCCTCGTCAATTAATAAACCAATTAGCAATTTAACTATTTTTAAACATGAATCACGAAATGGAACAAGAATCAATACTTTTGGTCTAACAAGTCCTTGATCACGAAATTCATTTGGTACATCGGTGGAATGATTTTTTGTTAATTTTAAATTATGTCGAAGTATTTTCATTCTTGTTTTAAGAATATGATTCATTGTATGAAGACAATAAATGAGACGAATTTCCTCTGCATTTGTAAATGTTCTCTCGGTAAATAGTAAATCTTGATAATTATTAATTAAAGAGAAGAGTTCTTTTTGTAATTGTGTTAGAGGACTTTTTGTTGTTTCCACATTGTCCTTGATATTATTGTAATTTACTTTACTGATATTAACATTAATTTGAGATTTAACGTAGAGATTTTTCCAATCAATATTTGTAATTAGACGTGGAGGTTTTGTGGGTTTTGCAAATTCATTTTTTTCCTCAAGAGCTATTAGGGATTTTTGCTTATTATTTGATGATAATTCCTTTATTGCTGTTTGACTAATGGGAATTTGACAGAGAATTTTTCCTAATTTTGACCATGTTAAATTGTGGGTTTTATAATTTTGAGCTGTGGATAAAGAATTATAGAGATCGTCACTTATGTCATTTTGAAAATGAAGGGAAAATGGATCTGATGATTCGGTTTTTGGATCGTAATCATCGTCTTCTTCTTGATTTAGAACTATTTCTTCGTCGTCGTCATTGAGTGATTCTTCCTCTAAATTTTCTTCTTCTTCCTCTTCTTCCTTCTCATCTTCTACTTCTTCGTCTCCAACTGAATCTTCCAAATTTTCTTCATTTTCCAAATCATCATCATCTTCTGCCGCTTGTTCGTCAATATTATCATCGCTTTCTGAATCCGAAAGAACGGCTACTTTTGTCGGTTTTTTATTACTAAACGTATTTAACAATGCCTTTAGGGAATCTTCTTCTTCATCTTCTTTTTCACTTTCAGAATTTTCATTACGAATATTTGTCCAATTTTCTGTTTTTTGAATAAGAGGTGCTTCGTATCTTTTTGGTAATGTATTTTCCTTGGCTCTTGCTTCGCGTTCCTTCATATAAATCGGCTTATTAGTTATATCGTATTTTTGCTTTTTTTGCGGTGGTTTCCGACGGTGTTCTAATTTTCGTTTTTTTGATCGTGAATTATTTTTGTTGCGTACCATTGTAGTTTTTTTTTTTAACTGAAAAATAAAATTTCCTTTAATTAAGTAATAACTGTTTTTTTTTAAATAAAGAACCCCGCACAAAATGTACAGAAAATAGATCCCTGTCGATTTTGATTAAACTTTGGGAAATTGTTGCTTTTGTAGTACCAAAGAAAAAAGTCTTATGATAAAATCCAAAAAAATGGACAGATTTTCTGTTAATTAATGTTTAAGTTGACAATTCACAGTGTAGAAGTCGGTGATGCTTACAAGTGAACAAAACGAAAATAATTAAATTAAAATGCTTGATACTACCATTTTGAATTTTTGAAATCTGACTGTACATTTGTTATCAGCAACTCCGAAAACTCCCGTGCAACAAGTATCAAGCATTTTAATTTAATTATTTTCGTTTTGTTCTCTTGTAAGCATCACCGACTTTTACACTGTGAATTGTCAACTTAAACATTAATTAACAAAAAATCTGTCCATTTTTTTGGATTTTATCATAAGACTTTTTTCTTTGGTACTACAAAAGCAACAATTTCCCAAAGTTTAATCAAAATCGACAGGGATCTATTTTCTGTACATTTTGTGCGGGGTTCTTTATTTAGTTAATAATAATTAAATTAATTAAAAATTTTATTATTTTACGTAAAAAATATAAAAAATAAAATTTTCCTTTCTTAATTTTTTTTGAAAACTGAAAAAAATTCTAAAAAAAAATTAACAGGAAAAAAATAGAAAATTTGTTAATTTTCGTGTTTAATTAATTTATTTAAGAAATTAAGTTTTATGTTAAATTATTATTAACTAGCAAAATTAAACGCGCGCAAGCGCGCCAAATTAAATGTTTAATTGTTTGTTATAAAGAAATTAAAAATTAATATTATCAATAATAATTTAATTTATTAGAATATTATTACATATTAAATGATAATAATGAAAATTATATGTTTACAGGCCTCGGATTATACGACTTTTTTCAAAAATACGACTTTTATCGACTTATTTTAATAAAATGCGACATTTTTTTTACATTTGAAAAAAAATCTAAATAAAATACATTTTTTTTAGTATACAATGTAGATCTTCTTCAGATCTTCTTCAATTCAATTATTTAACAAATTTTGAACTAAAATGATTCTTCACGAAATTATTTTTAATAATTTTAATGAAATACATCACAAATTCAATTATATCAAAATTATTTTTCAATTAAAATTTTTATGAAATTTAACAATTGTTTATAATTAAAAAAAATATATCACAATAAAATTGAATTATTTTTTAAAATTTTCAATTCAAAATAAAATAAAATTCAATTATTACCCGAAATTTTATTTATTTTAATTAATTTAATTTAATTTATTGAAATAAATAAATAATAAATAAATTTAATAAATTAATAAACTTTACATGCTTTTTTTTAATGATTTATTTAGAATTTATCTCGTGTGGATTTTCAAAAATTTTTATTTACAAATATTAAATTACTAACAATTTTAACTAATTTTCATCATCAATTCTTTTATCCGCCTTTTTAAATTATTCTTTAGAATATCTTTCGTATGAATTTAAAAAAAATATATATTTTTCATACAAAGTAGAATTTAGAAAACTATAAAAATCGAAATAAGTAGTATTTTACACTAAAAAGAACGTATTTTCTTAGAATAAATTGAAAAAATTGCGTTTTATTAAAAATAAGTCTGAAAAATTCGTACAATCCAAGGCTTGCAAAAAAAAACATTTTTCGTAAAAATTAAAAATAGTTAAAAAAAATATAGACAAAACAGTAACTTTAAATATTTTACGGAAAATAATTTTGTTTAAATCTTGAAAAAGCATGAATCTTACCTTAATTAGTTTTATGTAAAATTTTTCAATAACCAATGTTGTTTTCTATTAAATTTATAGACAATTTTAAGAAATATTTTATTTCATGTTTTCATTCATCAAACACGTGTGGAAAATGTGTCAGCTATGAAGCAAGGTTGTAGAAATTCAAAGGTTGGGTTTTTTTTCACATCAAGGTTGGGCACGTTCAATATCAAATGGGCCATTTTGGTATTTTCATGTGACATCATCACCATCTTAAAGGTGCTTATATACCTCAAATTTCGATCAGATGAACATTATTTCTGGACCGTGAAAATGCGTGAAAAGTCATTTTCACGGCGGGTATTTTTAAATTGTTTTAAATAAAAAATGTTTTTTTAAGAAATATAATATTAAATAATTGTTTTAATATGTAAGAACACTTTAAAATAGTGATAGAAAAATGATTTGATTAAAAAATATAGTAAATTTTGCTTTAAAACGTTTCTGCTACAAGAAAGTGTAAAATGACGATGTTTGTGAAATGGTTTGTACAGTGTACATGTTTCTTTCAGTTATTCGAAACAATTAATAGAATTTAAATTTATTTGATAAACATTTCAACTTACCGATTTATTTTCAGCACTCATTATTTATTACAAGTTAAAAAGAAACGACATAACATAAACAAAACTCTGAGAGACACTCACAAGGAAGAAGCACTGTACAAACCATTTCACAAACATCGTCATTTTACACTTTCTTGTAGCAGAAAACGTTTTAAAGCAAAATTTGCTAAATTTTTTAATCAAATCATCTCTTTATCACTATTTTAAAGTGTTCTTACATATTAAAACAATTATTTAATATTATATTTCTTAAGAAAACATTTTTTGTTTAAAACAATTCAAAAATACCCGCCGTGAAAATGACTTTTCACGCATTTTCACGGTCCAGAAATAATGTTCATCTGATCGAAATTTGAGGTATATAAGCACCTTAATTTGTGCATTTCGGAAAATTCAAAGAAAATAAATTTTTCATTAGAAGGTTAGTGCATTTTTAAGGCGTTTGCACACCTCACAAGTTTTCGATAAACCGAAAATTTGTGAGCATTTTTTGATGTCTATCGAAATCTTGTGAGCATCTATACATATTTTGGATAGATGAAATTTTTTGGCGGAGAATTTAAAATATTTTTAATATTTTTAAAAAATATAAAGAATAAATTAATTTTAAATTTATTATATATTAAATATTTATAATTTACTCACCATTTATTCTACTTACCTTCATATTTTTTAAAAATATTTAAAGTCAAATGTTAAATTCTCCGCCAAAAGATCGCAACAGACACTAATGGAGAATTTACACCTTCGGCAAAAAATTTTCTTCATTTTGCATTTTCCGAAATACACTTACCTGATTGGTTGTCCACAATGAATCAGATTCTGGACAACCTATCAGATAAATGTATTTCGGAAAATGGAAAGTAAAGAAAATTTGTTACCTTAGGTGTAAATCACCCCGGTGACAGTCTTGAGTTGAAACTCAGACCAGATTTGACCGTTGCCACCGGTGGCGCTGGCTGTGTAGTGGGAACATTTCAATGAAAATTCATAAGTTAACACAGAAAAATTTACTTTTTACTTATTAAAGTTTATTTAATCGTGTTTATTTGGGCATATAATTAATTTAGAAACTTTTAAACATATTTTATAATATAATTAACTTTAGAAAAGAGTGAAGTTTTTTATTTATAACAAAAAATATGTACCAATTCCTAGCGGGAAATTCAAATAAAATAAATTTTTATTTATTTATTTATATTTTATTTATTTGTAATAAATTGTTAAATACTTTTATTTGTGATATTTGATGAGTACATAATAATTACTTAATTTGAATTTCCCGCCAGGAATTGGTACATATTTTTCGTTATAAATAAAAAACTTCACTCTTTTCTAAAGTTAATTATATTATAAAATATGTTTAAAAGTTTCTAAATTAATTATATGCCCAAATAAACACGATTAAATAAACTTTAATAAGTAAAAAGTAAATTTTTCTGTGTTATCCCATGCATTTTCATTAAAATGTTCCCACTACACAGCCAGCGCCACTGGTGGCGACGGTCAGTTCTCACTTTCTCAGCCAAGTTTATTCCTATAGAAAATGGTACAAGTGTCACGGGGGTGGTGTAAATGCTCCATTATACCTTCTGTCGAAAAATTTTCTTTTCTTTTGTATTTTCTCCAAAATGTGCAAATTTGATTGGTTGTCCACAATTTGACTAAATTGAAAAGTCGTGACACTTCTATAATTTTATTAGTTTATGGGCGAAAAGGTATAAAGGTTTTTATATATTAAATTAATATCAATATATTTACTGCTGTTATAAATAGAACTAAATTAAATAGTTCAATAATTAAATAAATATTAAATAATTATTTCTCATGGAGTCCATTTATTATATGAGAGCCTACCCAACCCTGTCAATCGCGCGACGTTATAAAACGTAATCATGTGAATGTACCTTTAAAGACATATTTCACATCGCGAGCAAAAATAATTGAATATATCAAATTTAGAAAAAATAGTTAATTTCTATCCAATTTGTATGGTTCGTATTATCTCTATTAGAAAAATAAAAATATAGTGATTTTTTTTTCTTTCATTTTGCCGTGTCTATAGACATTACCCGCGCAAATATGGCTGAAAATAACGAACTTCAGACAATTATCTAAGGTCTTCTATCACGGTGTTAAGCTACCATAGAAGAGACCGGTTCACATTGTCGCTTTTCAGATCCTGTCCTCTTTCCTGTTGGCGTCGTTTCCTTTACACAAAAAAAAGGTACGAAATTCACTCTAAATTCTGTAATAAAATTTGATTCTTCAAAAAATAATAAATATTTTTATTAATTCAATAATTAAAATCATTATTTTCATTAAACACATTTGCGTTTATAATTTTTCTTCCAACACTACAGTGTATGTATTTCAACGACCCATGTGCACGCTAAAATTTTTTTTTTTTTTTTTTTTTTTTTAATAAAAATTTCTTTTTTATGTCATGACAAAATTTATGGCTGATTTTAATATTATATTATTAATAAAGGGGAAAAAAATGTCACATCACAATTTTGTAATGTCGCAAATTTTTTGACAAGAAAAAATTGTTTTTTTTTTATTGGTAAATTATTGTCTCGGAAAGTTAGGCGGTAAAAGTAACCTTTGTGCTAAAAACATGGCAGACTATTTTACGATTCATTGCATGGTCTTTGGATGATAATAACTCTTTTTTCTTTTGTGCTCTATTCAATTGATTAAGATAAAATTTTTTCCTCTTGAAAGAGGGTCGGCAAAATAAGTGAGTTTAATTTATTTTTTAAATTTCTATTGTTTCAACATTACGATCACATGCGAATTGAAAATTTAATTCTCTCCTTAATATAACCTCTATTCTGTGACGTTTAATTTTTTTTTTCAGTGTTAGAGAATAAAAATTTCGCAATTTATTGTAATAAATTATTGTTTGTGAATTGAAATTTAAGGTAATTTTTAAGGAGAAAATTATGTAGTTTGTGTGACAATTTTATTTTATTCTACGAGACTATTATTATTATTTGTATATATTGAATATCGGAAATTCAGGCGCGCAAAACGTGATTAATTTTTTTTTTATTATCAATTTTTAATGTTTTAATTTATGTGCCTTATCAATATTTTAATATTAGTGTTCATAGTGAAAAAATAAAAGATTTTGTGTTTTTTTTAACGAAAGTTATTTTTAGTATAGAATTAGAGAATTTTTTTTTTTTTTTTTACAGAAGTTTTGAGAAAGTACGCAGATTTTTCTAGATTCAGCAACACGTGTTTTATTTTCTGTAGACAAAAAAAAATTTTTTTGACGATAGTGTGAAGCTCTAGTGAAAAAACATGATTCTTTTTTTTTAATTATGTATAAAAAAAATTTTTAATCGAAAATTTCAATTCAATATAAATTTTAATTTAAATTTCAAGTAATTAAAATTTCAATAAATTTGTAATTTTTATTTTTTCAAAACAAATTTTTTTTTTAATTTAAATTTTCAACAAATGCAAATTTAATTTGACGAAAGTGAAAATTAAAAAAAATTTCAATTTATTATTAATCAATTTTAGTTATAAATTATTTGAAGTTAAATTTACCATAATTTTGATTACGTTACATATCCTAATTTAAATTTACCAAAATTTTGATTGATTTAAGTTTCAAAATTATGCAAATTTTAATTTACCAAAATTTCGATGGATTTAACTTTCAGTTTATTGAAATCTTTATTTGATTTAAGTTTCAAATTCTTCGAATTTAAATTTCATGACTAGGATTATACGACTTTTTCGACTTTTTACGACTTATTTAAATAAAATGCGACTTTTTCAACTTCAAAAAAATTTTTAAACAAAATACGTTTTTTTTAGTATACAATGAAGATGATTTTCAAATCTTTTTTATTTCAATTATTTAACAAATTTTTAACTAAACTTCTTCACTAAATTAATTATTTTTAAAATTTTTAATGAAATTCTTCACAAATTTAATTATCTTAAACTATTTTTCAATTAAAATTTTTATGAAATTTAATAATTGTTTATAATTAAAAAAAAGAATTAGCAAATATAATTCCAAAAAATTTTTAATTCCAAATCACTTGAAATTTTATTATTTGCAAAAATTTCAATTATTTTTAATGATTTTTATAATATTCTTCGAAAATTCAATTATCTGAAAGCATTTTTCAATTAAAAACTTTTGGAAATCACTAAAAAATTTCTCTTATTATAATTATTGTCTGAAATTTTATACAATCTTTTGAAATTCAATTATTTTCAAAAATTTCAATTTAAAAGCTTTTAAAATTTAATTATTTCTAAAATTTTCCATCTACAATTTTTTGAAATTTAATAATTTCAACTAAATTTCAATCATTTTTAATAATGTTTATAATATTCTTCGCAAATTCAACTATCTGAAACCATTTTTCATTTAAAAAGTTTTCAAATTATTGTATTTTTGTCAGCAAATTTTTAATAAATTTTTTAGTGAAATCATTAAAAAAATTTAATTAAAAATCACTTGATGTTCAATTAATTTCAAAAATCTAAATTGTAAATCTTTCGAAAATTCAATAACTTTTAAAAAATATTATCTAAAATTATTTGATAAATTATTTTGAGTTCTTTTAAATTTAATTATTGTCTGAAAATTAACAAAATCTTTTGAAATTCAATTATTTCTAAAAATTTTAACTTTAACTCTTCCAAAATGATTAATTAAAAGAAATTTTTATTTAAAAATTTGTAAAACTTGACTACTTAAGTATTGCTTGAAATTTTGAAACTTTTAGAAATTTGTCCTATACTTAAATAAAATTTTGAAAATTTGTCTTACAATTAGTTCGATTCTGAAATATTGGAAATAAATTTTCTTGATAATATTCTTATAGAATTAATCTCACTACAAAATTAATAAATTAAATTTAATATCTAATAACATTAGTTATTTAAAGTAAAATATTTATTAACCAATTAAATTTTGTTAAAATAAAAACATGGAATTTTTCGACTTTTTTTTTAATATAAATCGACTAAAACAACTTTTTTTGTTGTGCCTTAAAGTTGATCCGATACCTGCAATTTATCAAAATTTTATTTGATTTACTCTCTAAATCTGAATTAGTAAAAATTTTTACTAATTTAAATTAGTGACTTACTTTTTGCTTTAGAATAAGTTAAATTTTTCTAATTGCTAGTAAAAGATACTAATACCCGTGTGGAAAAAGCCACGATCTTGCCCTCAAGAGTTCGGGGCCCCCGGCGGGGGCCCATGAGGGCTGATCCATATGGCGAATCCATGAGGGGCACCGTAGGGGCCCCGCATGGATCGCCCTCATGATCGATTAGCAAAATTTTCTAAGTCCAAAAATCAAATATTTTTTTATCACCAAAAAATTAATGTTTATAATGATTCAGAACCACGAAAAACGCGTTTTTAATAAAAATATATTTACACTTTTTTGAAAATAACTCTCACACTTATGGCAAAATAGATGAGGGCCACCGTAGGGGCCCGCATGGATCGCCCTCATGATCGATTAGCAAAATTTTCTAAGTCCAAAAATCAAATATTTTTTTATCAACAAAAAATGAATGTTTCCAATGATTCAAAACAACGAAAAACGCGTTTTTAATAAAAATATATTTACACTTTTTTGAAAATTCGCCTGAGATGATTTATGATAATAATCATAAAGCATATAATTAATTATATTTTATAAATTGCATTTGATTGGAAAATATAATTTAATATCTTAACTTTAACTAAATGATGTTAAGCACTTTTCTTTGTTAGGTATTTTTCAAGTTTAAATAGCATCAAGAAGTTAGCATTCGTTTTGAAGTAGCGTGCGTAGCGTAGTTGGTAAAGCGTTAGACTCATAGTCCGTAGGTCGTAGGTTCGATTCCCCCCATGCGTTAGATTTATTTATTTCTCAGGTTTGCGTTTAATCATTAATTCTATGTATGAATTAATTGAAAAATGAAAATATCCGTTAATAGTATGCATAAATTACATATTTTTTAATTTTTTAATTAATTAATTTATTATTACTTTTAATTATATCCGACAGTTAATTAATTAGAACGTTAATTAACAGAGAGTAATTGAGAGTAAGCACGTAATGCAAATCGCGCTTTTCTATTAAAGTCTGCCCCCTCGCGGTCAAAATATCGAAGCTTAGGTGGTTAGCTATATATATTCCTTAAATCGGTGAGGCTACACACATACGCATAATGTAATGGCTAAGCCGAATGACGTTCGGAATTGATCGGGCGGGCTCGTGTATCTTTGCGTGAATTAGAGAAACTAACTGAAAACGAACCGTGCGGGCCTCATCCAATGTTTTGACTTTTTTTCAGATAAAGTATATGAGCCGGTTTTTGAAACAATTCACTAATCGACAATATTTTTAAGGTTAAATTTAGAAATTTTAATTTAAATTAGTAATTAAAATACAATTTTAATTTATTATTTAAATTTCATTTTAAATTTTTATAAAATTTAGAATTCTAAATGTTCTCTCTTCGAATGCATAGTTGAATAAGTACGAAATTCGTTTTCAATAAATCTTATCATAATTATTTTAAATTTTTAATTAAAATATGTTTTTCTTAAACGTATGGGTGATTTCACGTGAGATTTCAGTCGACCCTTTAAATTCAGCCAAATATAATTTTTTCGTGTTCTGTAGTGAAAAAAAGATACTTTCTTTATGCAAATTTTCGAGTTATTTTTCAAAATTTCAGTTTTGTAAATGTAGACAAAAAACTGGATTTTTTCAATTTTTGCCAAGAGAAGAAAAGTTCCAGTTTATCTTTTACTTTTCAATAATGTTAACGAAATTATATTTTCATTTTTTATTAAAAAATAAAAAAATTTTATAAACAAATTAAGTTTTTTTAAATTGGAATATGATTTTTAAAAAAAAATTTTAAACATACCTAAAAATACTAAGAAATACTGGAAATAACTAAGATTATAGGTTTAAATAAACATTTAAACACTGCGCGCAGCATTGTGCACATTTCTGAAAAGTAAAAAAAATTGTTAAATTATTGTTAAAAAATTTTCTTTCATTTTTCATAGTGAAATAAAATTTCAGGTTTCAAAAAAAAATTTTTTAAATAATTTTTAACAATTTATCAATTTTTTTTACTATTCAAAAATGTGCACAATGCTGCAAGTGGTGTTTTTTTTAAATACATAAAAATATAAAACTTATTGGCTGACTAAATTTTTTCACTAAATCTTCTTCTTATTACCAGGTATGTTTTAAAAAAATCACATACAAATTAAAAAAAAATTAATTTGTTTATAAAAAATTGTTACTTTTTTAATAAAAAATGAAAAACAAATTTTTTTGATAACACTATTGAAAAGTAAAAAAAACTGACATAATTTTTATAAATATTATCTTTATTTATTTAATTTAGTTAAACATAAATAATAATGTGAAACTAAACACCATAGAATATTCTATACAAATTAATAATGTATTAAATTGTGGGTAATTTTAATAGGTATTGACAACAATGTTTACAATTTAAATTTTAAGAATATTCTCATTTTATTTAAAATTAAATCATTTTTTACTTGGACAAGCCCAAAGAAAAAATAATTAATTAATTTACAAAAACAATTTTTCTGATTTAAAAACCTATAAAATATTTTTTAAAATTGATTATTTTATTTATTTATTTTAAGTTAAAACATTTAATCTCTTGACAAAATGTTTTTAAATTTAATATTTTAAAAAATGTAAGCTACTTATAATGTGTAAGCATTTACAAATCGAAAATTTAAAAGTATAATATAAAAAAAATTATATTTTTTTATAAACTATTAAATAGACATAAAAAATTGATTCAATTTTAAATAAAATGAGAACATTCTTAAGAATTAAATTATACACCGAAAAAAAAATATTCTTGTATTCAGAGGAAAATTCCTCTTACAGAATCCTCTTGAATTTTATTCTTAAAACAAGAGTATTACTCTTTAAATAAGAATATTTTCCTCTAATTTCAAGAGGATCGAAACAAAAGGACTATTCTAGGGCATTCATCTTATATTCAGAATAATCTTTTTAGAATAAAGATAATACTCTTAGAATTTAGAATAATCTTCTATGTTTAAGAATATTCCTCTAAATTCTTAGAGGATTTCCCATAGAAATTCGCTCATGCGCAAAGATGATTGCGTCATAAATCGCATATCATGCGTAAAAAAGTTTTAGTTTCTGTGTAAAAAAAGGGGAATTAAACAAAATGGATAATAATAATCTTTTAAATATCTTGATAGAGTTGCAACATACCCAATACATGCCTATTTTTGAAGGTAAAAGGAATTTTTAAAAGTAATTTTTAAAAAAATTTAAATAATTTTGAGGTTATGCTATTTAAAATTTTATTTTATTACGATTTTTATTTATCTTAATTTTATTTAAAATTTATTTAAAATAAATTTTCAAATTTAATGAATTATATGTTTTGCGCATAAAAATATTATTAAAAATAGATTTAGTTGATTTATTCAAAAAAATTAAAATCAATTTCAATTTATTTATACTCAAATAGTTGTAAATCATGGAATAACAAATTTTATTCCTTTTAATTTTATAGATTATATCTATGACATAAAAATTAGATGATTGCATTTTTATTATTTCAGAGTTCTTTTTAAGATGATATTTTCCTTTTAAAATAAGAGTATCCTCTTAAATTAAGAGGCATAATTTTACATAGAGGACAATCCTCTTAAACCTAGAGGACATCCTTTTGCAGCATATACTAGAGGAAAATATGCATTGAAATAAGAGGAATCCTCTTGAAACAAGAGGATTTTTTTTTCGGTGTAAACATTGTTGTCAGTATTAGGTAAAATTTTTAAATTCTAAAATTTTATTATAATATTACAAAAAATATTTTTCAAAAATTTTAACGGCAAAATAATAAAAAGAATTTAATTTTTCTTTTAATATGACTTTGACAAAAGCACATTATTTCACATTACTAATCTATGATTTAACTGAATTAAATAAATAAAGATAATATTGTAATATCGAAATTTTTTTTACTTATTATAAAATAATTATGATATAAGATTTATTGAAAACGAATTTCGTACTTATTCAACTATGCATTCGAAGAGAGAACATTTAGAATTCTAAATTTTATAAAAATTTAAAATGAAATTTAAATAATAAATTAAAATTGTATTTTAATTACTAATTTAAATTAAAATTTCTAAATTTAACCTTAAAAATATTGTCGATTAGTGAATTGTTTCAAAAACCGGCTCATATACTTTATCTGAAAAAAAGTCAAAACATTGGATGAGGCCCGCACGGTTCGTTTTCAGTTAGTTTCTCTAATTCACGCAAAGATACACGAGCCCGCCCGATCAATTCCGAACGTCATTCGGCTTAGCCATTACATTATGCGTATGTGTGTAGCCTCACCGATTTAAGGAATATATATAGCTAACCACCTAAGCTTCGATATTTTGACCGCGAGGGGGCAGACTTTAATAGAAAAGCGCGATTTGCATTACGTGCTTACTCTCAATTCCTCTCTGTAATTAATAAATTCAATTTGAGTAAGAATTTAATTTAAAATTGAATAATTATTAAATAAATATGTTATTTATTCATAACTTAAGCTTATTTATTATTAATTAACTTTTATTATTAATATTATTGATTAAAAAACATTATGGCAAACTTGAGGGCAAGATGAGGGCAAACGTGAGGGCCCATAAGGGCGCCCGTAGGGGCACCCTCATGGATCGCCCATGCGGGCACCCTCATCGATGAGCATGTCGTTTCCATGAGGGGCCCCTATGGATCATCTATATGCGCCCCTCATGGCATGAGGGCGATCCATAAGGGCCCCCGCTGGGGGCCCACATCACTTTTCCACACGGGTAGTTAGTAAAATTTTACTAATTGAGAAACAAAAAGTGAGTCACTAATTTAAAATTGTAAATTGTTTTACGAATTCAGATTTAGAGAGTAAATTTCAAATTATTGGATTTTTATTTTACCACAATTTTGATGAATTTAAGTTTCAATTTATTCAAATTTTCATTGACTTAAATTTCACATTAAATTTTGATTTGTTACTCAAAAAATTTAATTGTTTTAATTGTAATCCGTTTAAGACATAAATAAATAAATAAAAATTCAAATTTATCAAAATTTTTAAACTATTAATGCTTCAGTCATTGATAAAAAAATTCAATTATTAATCTAAATTTGAATAGATACAAATTAGCTATTTTGCACATTTACGATTTTTAGGAAAATATTTTTTTTTGTTTACTACCCTACTTTTTAATAATTCAAAATAAAAATTAACATCTATTTATTAAAATTAATAATAACCGTATAAGAAAAGGTAAAACTCCAACATTCCAAAAATATAGAAAATTTTGGTAACAAGATTGAATTAAAAAAATTTAATGTAATCGCTTATGAAAACTTTTGTTTTCAACTTAAATGAATGTTGGTCTTTTTGTATAATGATTAAAAGACAAAAAAAGTTTGGGCAAATCCCAAAGTTTGAGAATAGATGAGTGACGTATTTCATAATGTAATCTTAAAAATTAATTTGATTTTGTTTTAAAAAAAAATTTATAATAATAATTGCTAAGTAAAAAAAATTTACTTTAATTTAAAATTAACCTTCATTTACCCCATATCCAAAAAAAAACATTCCTAGAATATTCCTTGAGGTGCATTATATCCCAGCATTTTTAAATATATTTTTTAATTTCTTTATTTTATTTTTTAGTTCCATATTTTTTCAATTTAAAACAATTTTCACTTTTAATTTGATTAATTTCTATTTAATTTTATTATAAAATTTAATTGATTTCTTTTAAAAATTCTTCATTATTTCAAAAAAAAAAAAAAAAAAATGTCGCTAATAAATTTTCGTCTAAAGTAATTAGTAAATGTTAAAAATGAAGTTCTTAAATTGAAAACATTTTTTAATTAAAAAAAAGAAAATATTTTCTAGTAGAATATTTATGCTACGGAACTTTTAATTCAATTTTTAAATAAGAAACCTTTTTTTGTTTTAATACTATTTTTGAACAAAATTTTATTCTTAAAACACAAAGAAAAAGTGTATTTTTTTAAAGATAAAAATAAATAATAAATATTATATTTTATCCGTGTGGTTGATTAAAAAATTATGCTGGGATCTGAGGCATCTGAAAAATGTGAATGAAGGTTAAATAAAAAAAAAGCAAATACGTCACATGTGAATAGAATTTTTTACAGTCCCTAATATGACCAACGATCCTGAACGTACTGGTGATCCGAGCAATATGGGTACTGTCGAAGATGAAGCTGATAACCGTCTTCTTTCGCAGATCTGCCAAAACTTTGACTTATCTTCTTTACAAGGTCAATTAGACGCACATAGAATGGAGGTGAATATATATTTTTTTCTGTCATTTTAATAAAATAAACTCCTCTATAAAAAATTGACAAAGTAGAAGAAAAAATTTTTTTAATCAAATTAAAACATAATTTTTTAATTTTCTTTTTTTTTCTTAACTGCTAAACAATTTTGTGTATTTAAAGGTGAAAATAGTTTGTTACACTGACAATCTGATTGTTAATATAGAACTAACAAATTTGATTTGTTGTTGCAAAAAAATTTACATTTTTTTTGAAAATTTCTAACATTTATTTATTTTTACAAAAACGGAATAAAGATCTCGATTTTTTTACCATAAATTCTAATTTTTTCAGAACTTGAAAATATTTTCGATTTTTTTCCAATTTATTTTTTTCTAATACTTTTTATCTTCTTCAATTTTTCAAAAATAATTTCTAAAATAAAAGGAGAATTTAAAGGAAAAATTTAAAACACGAGTAGTGTGAGAAAAACATTGAGAAAGACAAAAAATACAATAATTGGAGAAAGAAAAATAGAAAATTTAAGGAAATGCAAAAGAAACTTTGAGAAAAAAATCGAGAATTTTAGAAATTTACAAAATAAACGGAGTATTTCTCAGGAAAATTGAAAAATTTGGTGTCAATTTGTAATAATAAAATAAATTTTAGGATTTTCAAAAAAAAATAAGAATAAATATGGGGAGAAAAATATTTTAAAAAACGAATATTTTGGAAAAATGAAAGCGAATTAAAAATTTAAGAAAATAATAAGTCGAAATTAAATTAAAATAAATATAGATTTTTAGAAATAACAATTAAGAAAATTTGAAGAATAATTTGAAAAAGAATTTTAAAAAAATCCGTACAAAACTCCGTTCCGTACACCAACAATAATAAACTCCTTTTTATATAAATAAATAAAGATATATTAATAAAGAAACACATTTAAATATCTACTTTGTATAACTTTTATTTTTGATACTTTCATTCAATGTAAAATTTGTGTTACAATTTTTTGCCAAAAATATTGTTTCGTATGATCACGTGTCTCAATAAATAACATGGCTTAGTACCTATTCACAAATTATCGCATATCCGCAAGGCCCAGTCGAACTTATCGTGAGCTCAACCGTGACTGTTGACAAATTTCTACTCATAAAGTATATCATATTCACAAGTCTTAGTCGAACTTATCCTAAGCTCAACAGTGACTGCCTGCCGACTTCTATCAAATCCAATCGGTTTCGTTATATTTTTCCTGTAATCTACACGCAAAAATACGTATGTGTTGTAAATTGCAGTTCTTCATATACAAAAATGCAGAATCTAAGGGGGGGCAGGGTAATTTTTTGCAATTTTTTCGAAAAAATCAAATTCGTTTCCTTTCTAGTTCGTAGCCATCAAATCCAATCTTTCTCGCTATATTTTTCCTGTAATCTACACGTGAAAATACGTATGTGTACTAAATTGCAGTTCTTCATATACAAAAATGTGGAAGTTAAGGGGGGGGGGCAGGGTCATTTTTTTGCAATTTATTTGAAAAGAAACCGTTTTCTTTCCTTTCTAGCTCGTAACCATCAAATCCAATCGGTCTCGTTATATTTTTCCTGTAATCTACACGTGAAAATACGTATGTGTACTAAATTGCAGTTCTTCATATACAAAAATGTAGAAGTTAAGGGGGGGACACAAAGTTGGGACGGACGTAAGAGTCTTTTCGTAAGGGTTCCGTCGGTACACCGAAGATGTACGGAGCCCTAAAAAACATGAGAATTTAAGAAAATATGTACAAAGTGTAGAAAGAGAAAATTGAGAATTTAATGTTAAATTTAATAGTAAATAAATATTTATAAATTGAATTTTTATTCTTATAAATTAACAACTTTCTTTGAAAAAAAATTTTTAAAAATGGCTATTTTTCTGCCTCTTGGTATCATACCAGCAAGTTTTATTTAAATTCGTTAGCTTTCTCTGAATTTTGATTTAAAAAAAACTTCTGAATTGACTACCTACAATAAAAGAATAGGTATGGGTACAAAAGGTCCAAACCAAAAGGTCCAATCCAAAAGTTCCAAAACTATGAAGATCCAAAAAGACAAAAGTCCAAACAAAAAAAAAAGAATAATTACATTCAGTTGTTATTACTTTCGTATGAAGTTGTTTCAGGAATAACCTACATTTCATAAAATTGTTAGTTTTTAGTTTTCTCCTTTGTAAACGTCAAATATTCAAAAATTTTAGTTAATATTTATATAAAATGGCTAGTGCCATACTGGTAGGGAAATATAGTCAATTTTCGTAGATATTTGAAGATTTATTCAGGCTTCGAAGTAACACACTTTTTCACTTTTTTTTGGTCAAGGCTACTTTTTAATACTAATTTTGGCAATGTCTTAACTGGGTAGTTCAATAATAAAACATTTATAAAAACTTAAGATCTATCTAGAAAAACAAGGAGGGGGTCCTTTATGTTTATTTCATAAACATTATGCTTCCTCATTGTGTGAAGCAAAAAATTCGCTTCCTCGTGAAGGAAGCAATGAATTTGTCCAATTCAATTGATTGATTTAAAAAATTTCGAGTTAAAAATGTTTTAAATTAATTAAATTTTTTGAAAAATAAAGAAAATTTTAATTAATTTTGAGTGTAACATAAACTTTATATATACGAATCGATTCGTTTTAATGCAAGGAATACAATTATTTTATTCATCAACTTGAATTTAAAAAAAACACAAAATTTTTTAGCTAAAATATGAATTTTCGATTTTTCAATTTTTATTAATTCTCAAATTTTAAATCAAATCTATACTTTATATATACCAACCAATTCGTTTCAATGCAGGGAATAAAATTATTTCATATATAAACATGAATTTAAATAAACACATCATTTTTTAGCTAAAATGAGAATTTTTGATTTTTTAACTTTCTTTAATTCTTTAAATTTCAATCAAATCTATACTTTATATATATCAATCGATTCATCTTGACATAAAGAAGACGATTATATTATATATTACCTTAAATTTTTCGATTTAAAAATTTTTTCAATTAAAAAAAAATTTTTGGAAAAAAGACGATAAAATTTTTTTTTTTGGGTATTTTTAAAAATCCTCTCGTCATTTTTGAGAGATTAATGTGTTAAATAAGCCTACCAAATTTTATCCAAATCCATTAAAACCTGTTAAAGATATCGTGTTCACAAAAACGATCCACACACACACACACATACATACATACATCCGGACAATTGATCAGGATCTCATATAACATGTTTCTATATAGAGGAAAATTTGTTTTCACCATTTTTAAAAAGTTTATAAACGAAAGGACTACATAGCTTCCTCCACGAGGAAGCAAAATTAATAATTTTTTTATTGTACAAAATTATGGCTATGTGGATTCTAAATTTATAAAATTTATATGACTAAAAACAAACCTAGAGTGTCTAACGGTCAGGGAAAAATCGGAGAATTTCTTTAATTTTCTGGAAATTTTTACAAATAAATTAAAATAACTACTTGTTTCAAAAGATTTTTTTACTTTTTTCCCCATGCAGATACATTAAGTAAATAATTATTTACTACTATTTATTGAATCTAATACAAGATTTTTTAAACACAAATAGTGAGTTACTTGGAACAATTAATTAATTTTTTTCTGCGTGAATTATTTGATTTTTTAATATAAATAAAAATTATTTGATATAATAAATTTATTTAATATAGTTCAAGTAAAGTAAATTATTTATTAATAAAAATAATTTCTTATTTATTGCTAATACATTATTTTATTGAATCAAAAAAATATTTCGATCAAATAAATAATTAATTTAAACGAAAAAAATGAATTTAAAAAAATTAATTTTTTTTTACTAAAACAAAAATAATCAGGAGAAAGAAGGTATTACTTTTACTCCTCAAAATTCTGATCGCCTTATTAAAAAACAAATTGTTATGAAAGATCTCCTTTAAATCTTATTAACAATTACAGTTTATTATATGCAAAATGTTATGAATAAGTGCGTTTTACTTTCTAATGTAAAATATCGAGAAAAAAGCTATTATATTTTCATGTTTTATGTTTATATCAAAATTTAATAAAAATATTGTAAATTCCTAATTTTATGTAATTTTTATTTTTTTGACAACGAAACAAAGTCACTTAAATTTCTTACTTAAAAAACTAATTTACTTCATTTTTAATATGTTACTTTTTGCTACTTTTTTTTCAATTTAGAGGACACTTTTTTTGTTTAAAATGTTACTGTTTCATATTTTTTTTGGTCTGCTACTAGACTTCCGAAACCTGAATGCTTACAAGAAAAAAATTTAAATTTAACAAGAAAAAAGTAAACCGGGAAAAATTAGGAAATAACCGGGAATTTTGTTGAACGAAATTAGTAGACACTCCCTGACTTGGTTTCTTTGTCATTCGCGTACATTAAAATCCGTCAAAATTAAAATTGTTTTATTTGCCGTTTAATTAGATGCTTCCAGCACCGGTGAAGAGGCGAATAAAGGCCTTGAAACAACTTCAATTAAAAACAACGAATATCGAGGCAAAATTCTTTCAAGAAGTTCATGAACTCGAATGTAAATATTACAAAATGTGTGTACCAATTTATGACGGAAGAAGTCAAATTATTTCGGGAGTATATGAACCCACGGATGAGGAGTGTGTTTGGGAAAGCGATGATGAGGATGAGGGTCTCAGTTCTGAGCTCAAAAATAAAGTCAAGATCGATATTAAGGATGAGAGCGAAATTAAAAAGGATGCTGAAGAGAAAAAAGAAAAGTATGTAAAAAAAAGAAACAAAAAAAATTCTTTTTAATTTCTATCAGAAAGAGGAAGAAAAAAAATTATCATATTTTGCTAGAGTTATTGATTTATATTTTTATTTTTTAGATCCGAAGATGAGAATATTAAAGGCATTCCAGACTTTTGGCTCACAATATTCAAGAATGTTGGCATGTTAGCTGATATTGTTCAAGAACATGACGAACCCATTCTTAAACATCTGTATGACGTGAAAGTGATATTCTTGGAAAAAGACCCAATGGTAATTTTTTATTTATTTAATTTTATATATTCGATTGCTGTATGGTGGAAAAATCCCTATCAAGAATTTAGTTTATGTAAAAATGTATTCGTGGAAAAAAAAATAATTCTAATTTTCTTTCTAGGGCTTTGTTCTCGAGTTTCACTTTGAGCACAATGAATATTTTACTAATTCCGTTTTAACAAAAGAATACATCATGAAATGTGAACCAGAAAAAAATGATCCGTTCAGCTTCGAAGGACCTGAAATTTATAAAAGCAAGGTAAAATAATTTTTAGATTTAATTAGTTTTAAAAAAATAATTTATTACTCTTTTTTTTTACTTTTTCAAAAAGATTTGAATTTAATTTACTGAATTAAAATGTTAATTTATTTAATTTTGTTCTATTTTCTTTAAGGGTTGTGTTATTGATTGGCGAAAAGGCAAGAATGTGACGGTTAAAACAATCAAGAAAAATCAAAAGCACAAGTCGCGGGGATCGATGCGCACAGTGACAAAAACTGTTCAAAATGATTCTTTCTTTAATTTCTTTAGTCCACCAGTTGGTAAGATATTTTTTATGCTGCCTTATAAATTAATTCTTTTTTTTAAATATAAGAAATTAAATTTTTTTTTTAATAACATGCCTCGGATTGTATGATTTTTTTTTCTAAATTCGAATACATAATTTTTATAAATTAGACTAAAGTTGTTTAAAACGATCCGAGGCCTGGAATAAAATTTTCTTATTCGATGTTTATAATTCTATTTTTGAAAGCAAAAATATTAGCCTTCAATTAAAAGGAAATATAAATTTTTAGTGCCTGATGATCAAGATGCAGAGTTAGATGATGATACTCAAGCTTTAGTAACCAGTGACTTTGAAATTGGCCATTACATCAGAGAGCGCATTGTTCCAAGAGCTGTGCTCTATTATACAGGTAATTTTTGAGTTTTAAAAAAAATTTTCTTCTAAAGGAATGATTCACAAAAAAAAATTTAATAAAGTAGGGCTGTTGTGTTATCAATGAAAAAATGTATTTTTCTCGAAAAGGGCTCTGGCGATTATTTTTTTTTTTTTTGTTTAAAAATACTCTGGGAACCTCAAAGATTCAAAATCCACAAGAAATTTTAGAGTGCAGGCAATTTTCATTTAAATTCATGGTAATTGTTTACTTATGCGGCTTTTTTCAATTTTCATTTTTTTTTTTTTTGATCAGACTAAACTTTTTCCGACGTACTTTAGCTTAAAAATGAATAATCAGATGGGGCAGCTTGAAAAAATGTAAGTACCGGAAGTCAGGGATGGGAAACATTGTTCAAAAATTCGGTTTTTCAAATTGATTTCGGTAAATATAGAAAATACATTAGGACTCCGGTTATCCGAGCTAATCTGGACCGGACTTACCTCGGATAAGGCGAAAACTCTGATAATCCGAATTGTTAAATATTTATGACAATTTACCATTATTATTGTTCAAACAATTATTATTTATTACAAACGGGAAAATAATAGAGGTGTGCAAAAAGCTCGAATTTCGAGTCGAGCCCGAGCTTGACTCGAGGTATCGAGTACTCGCATACTGTCGAGTACTCGAGTAAATTCGAGTATATTAAACGTTCAATTTTTATTGTTTTGCAAAAATTACTAAATTTATCAACAGATAAATGAATGACTACATATTTGAAATTACAAACTCATGAAAAAATAGTAAATAGCTTACAAACAATCAAATATTTAAATTCAATTTACACAAGAAATTCGAAGCTAATTTTCGCATTAGGCCTAGAGCCCAATGTAAGATTCCTCAGCCCAATATTTTGGTCATATACTTCACACGTTAAAACACATAATTTCATCCTCATAATTTCATCCTCAATTAGAGGATTTTATTTAACAAAAACAACCAATTTTTTGGGTTCAAAAATGTAGATCTTTTTGTTAGGAACAACTTTTGTCTTGAACATTTTTTATAAAAATTCGTACTTTTCAAGATATTTGCAAGTTTTCATACTTTTTGAGCAAAATACATTCTGCGTGTTAGCGCTAGAGACACGCAGCGCCGCACAAAAAACGCGATAACTTTTTTGCTAATTGCGATCCACGAAATTTTAAAACGGTTTTCGAATCCTTATGAAATTCCCTTTCCAATAAACTTTGGATCAACTTTCTACGATAACGAGAACATGGTTTATTTTTTAAATAAACAATTAATTTTGCAATAACAATTATTAAAAATCAAAAAATTTTAATTTTCATATTTTCAACTAAAACTGTATCATTTTCTGTGCAAGCATACCAATTTTTATAAAGATCCGTTCACTTAGTTCTAAGATATTTATTGTTTGACATAAGACTACAAAAAACTTCAATTGTTTATAACTTTGAGAAATTTAATTTTTTTTAAAAATCCTTTGAGGCAGTTTTTCAACTCATAATATTGTTTTAATTTTCTATATTTCCAAGCAAATAGGTACAGTACATCTTTAATTTGGGTGATTCACTTCAGGAATTTTTACTAAGCTTCGAGCCTTTTGCACACCACTAGAAAATAATATTGTATATATATATTCCATAATAATTTAAACAATTTGAATTTATTAAAAATAAACTCATATTTATAAAAAACTAAAATTAAAAATAACTCGGATAACGCGGACTAGACTCGCATAATTCAGAATTTACTACTGAGACACTACCTCGGATAAACAGGCTTTTACTGTATGAAAAAATAGTTTAAACGAAAGTTGTAGGTCACAACAAAATACAGATTTTATGTTCTATACATTTTTTCAAAACAATGCTTTATTTTTGAGATAAATGCGAAAAACGACAAAACACCACAAAAATTTTTGCCACCGCCAAAATTTTTTTTTAAAACGGAAGTCGATGTACGCGGCCTTCGGTCGTGGAATGTTCTATTTTTGCGTTTTAAAGAAATCTTCGCGGAGGGAATCGAATATGGCCAATAGTATTTTGCGGACAATGTATTTTATGTAATTTATGTATTATATTTATATTAGACAAAAGTGCGAAAAAAAAGTTACGCGGTTATTTGGGCCGCTGCTGCAGATCTCATCCGACTTTGTCCGCAGAATACTTTTGGCCATATTCGACCCCCCACTCCCCCCGTCAAGATTTCTTTAAAATGCAAAGAAGAAGAACATTCCGCGGCCGAAGGTTTTAATTTTATATTAAAATAAATTTGTTATTTTTTTTTCTTTTTTGTAATTTAGGTGAAGTTCTCGAAGACGAGGAGGATGATGATTATGAAGAAGACGAGGAAGATGATGAGGACGATGTAGATGATGAGGACGATGCAGAGGAAGAGGACGAGCACAACGAGGATCCAGTCGAGTGTAAACAGCAGTAGATTTTTCTTAAAAAGAAAAAAAAATACAAAATAAAACTAAAATGAAAAAGTCGTCTTTATAAACAGAGACAATATTAAGTCGCTTAAAGATCGTTTACCTTTTGACGACAGTGTTGTTAAAAAGCAAAGAAACATTACCGACAGAATGATTGACTAAAAAAAAAAAAAAAATCTCACATTGTCTAAGTTAATGATCGTTCACGTGTTCTTGAACGACAAAATGATTACAAAAAAAAAATCACACAATAGACTTGGACGAGACTGACAACAAAATCGAATCTTAATTATTGTCATATCACACATCATATCCGATTCCAGATTGAAGCCTAGCAGTTTTTAAAAGTTGGTGTCTGGAGCTGGAGCTATGAAAAAAACAAGAGATTCGGATTTCTTCGTCCTACATTTTGTCGATGGCGTCAAAAAAAACACACACATACACCTACACTTTGGCCTAGATTCGCTCTCCTACACTCTTGTACTTTTTACCTGTGTCCCTATTTTTTTTTTTTTTTGTTTTTTTTTATTAATATGATGATTTTATATTGTTACATATATATATTGTAGAAATTAATGCGAATCCAGACAAAAAAAACAAAACACATTTGATGATTATTCTTTTGAAAATGAAAAATCGATGTTATCGTATATGCAAATTTTTGAGTACTGTTGAAAGAAGCATTTTAATACAAAATTTATGAAATTAGAGACCTATTGATTCTCTGCGACATTTTCTCCGCTTTGTTCAATAATAAGTTATATTTTTTAATTATCTAAAAGAACATTATAATTTTGTTCCTTCCTTACGTTTTTTTTTGTTTCCTCGTTTGAAGGAAGCTTTTTTTCTATTATTAAAATTTTTATTTTTATTTTAGCGACTATTATATAATTATATTAGAACGCATTTAATAGAAACGATTTTTTCGGTAAAATTTTATTTATATAAAATTATTTTTTTTTCATATTTATTTTGTGATTTGTTTGCTTTTTTAGTATCCGAATGAAATAAAATTTCTTTTTAATTGATGATTTTAGTTTTCTTATGTTTTTAATATGTATTTCTATTTTTTTTTATTCTTGCTTTTCTATTTTTATATATTTAAAAAAAAAAGAAAAAAAAACCATTAAAAAAAACTAATTCAGATGAATTGAAATGAATTAACTTTTTGGCAAGGAATTTTTAATTATGTGTAATGATAAATATTGTATATTTTATTCTCTTTTAAAAAACCATTTTTATATTTTATTTAAAATTGTTTTTTCTTTGTTTTTTTTATAGCAATGCAGTTTATGTAATTTCAAAAAAGAAAAAAACTAAAGAAAATTTAAGTAGCGGGTCTGAGAGACCGCTATTGCGATTGGCTGTCGTGACGTCATAAAATTTTGATTATAAACCCCTAAGGCTGTATTTACAAGACTGCAGCGTTCGAAAACAGTCATGTAAACACAGCCTTAAGGCGCTAGTACCTCTGGAGCATTTAAGGTGCTTTTATACCTCCAGTATTTTGGTCAAGCAATCGGCTGGATTGAATTTTCACGGCTGTATCACTGAATTTGATTGGCTCTGACTAATATTTCATTTCCACCGTGAAAATTGAATATTTTCAGAGCCAATCAAATTCAGTGATTCTCCGTGAAAATTCAATCCAGCCGATTGCTTGATCAATATACTGGAGGTATAAAAGCACCTTTACATCTTCAGCAAAAAATTTTCATCACTTTGCATTTTCCGAAATACACTTACCTGATTGGTTATCCACAATGAATCAGATTCTATATAACCAATCAGGTAAATGTATTTCGGAAAATGCGAAATGAAGAAAATTTTTTGCCTTCGGTGTAAATGCTCCATAAGAGGTATAAAAGAACCTTAAATGCTCCATCACAAATTCTGAGTATACTCGGAATTTGTAAGAAATTTCACTAATTTTGATTGGCTCTGCATTTAAAGAATTTGGAAATATTCTAATCAAAGCCAATCAAAATTAAAAAACTGATAAATTTCGAGTGTACTCAGAATTTTTGAGGTATACAAGCGCCTTTAGGTTGGATTTACAAGTTGGGTTGGTTTCCATTGTCCCCACTCGCCATTTGTCATAATTCTCAATTACCGCACCCTGCTTTAGTGAAAATTTAAGGCCTGAGCAGAATAGGAATGAAACCGGAATCGTAATCGCAACCGGAAGAATGAGTTAGAGAAGGACAGATAGATTGTTTGTCCTTCTCTAACTTATTCTTCTGGTTGCGTTGACGATTACGGTTCAGTTACGTTTCTATTCTGCTCAGTCCTTGAATTTTAACAATAAGGCTGCAGTCCCATGGCAGCGTTTTGCGTTGCGTTTTGTCACTAGACCATTAGTGTGAAAGAGATGCAGATATATGTTTGCTATGTTTACACTCAGGATCTAGTGACAAAACGCAACGCAAAACGCTGCCATGGGACTGAAGCCTAAAGTCACTAAATTTTCACCAGAGCAGGGTGAGGTAGTTGACGAGAATTACGACAAATGACGAGTGAGGACAATGGCAATTTTTTGGTTACATCATACGTCATAAACTAATAAAATTATTATAGAATTGTCACGACTTTTCAAAATGCCGTTAAACCCGAAAAAAACACATTTGTTATAATTCTCAGTCAACTACCGCAACCTGGTCTAGTGGAAATTTAGTGACTTTATAGCAACTTAGTTTTAACTAGAATGTCACTAAATTTTCACTAAAGCAGGGTGCGGTAGTTGACCGAGAATTATGCCAAATAGCAAATGGTAACTTTCGTTAGTAGAGACATTGATATTTTTCCGTTCCACTTTAGTAACTTTATAGTTATTTTTTAAAAGTAACAAATTTAAGATGGACGTTTACTGGTGCTTCAATTTACATTCTAAAGAAATACACAGCACCAGTAAACGTCCATCTTGAATTTTCCCCCACCTAACTTGAATTTAATCAATGTTTCACATTTCGGATATTATACTTATGTCTTTTCCTCTCCCTTTTCAAATTTTTTCATTGATCACAGTTTTCCATCCTTGCTCCAGTCAACACACCGCTCCTTTCATGTCTGAACCACGAAGTAATATAAGGAGGCTCCACAAGCATAGAAAGGCGAGTCCAATTTTCCGGAAATTAATTGCTTCAACTAGGATTAACCTCACTAGCGGTTCCTAGCGGAAAACTCTTGTAAGCTCTAAATTTAAACAGTGGCGCGTGTCATATAACTGTCAAGTGTATGCATTAATGAATATATTCGTCATTGTTTGTTTTTATTTTTTTTTCATAGTGCTCTTTGATTTCTCGTGTTTGGGAGTTTTAGTTTTAGTTATCAAATTCAAAATTCGTGATATTGAAATGCCGACGTGCTTTGTACGCGGATGTAAGTCTTCGGACTATAAAAATCAAAAGGAAAACTCAGAGAGAAAAATTAGTTTATTTCGTCCAAACAGGGTGAGTATTAATTATTCTGTTTTCTTAGTAAATCTTGTAAATTGTATAAATTATTTTTGGATAATTAAAAAAGTAATTCTTTAAATAAAGTTCTTGTCTTGAAAACGTTTTGAAAACGTTACTGTATATATAGTTATTTTCAAAAATTAAAATGTCAAATTGAAAAATTTGTTTTATATTTAAAAATAAAAAACCTAAATCAATTGGTACTTTCGATAAAAAAATAAAATAAATAGAGAACGATGTATTAATTATAGTGAAAATTTTTAAGGAGTGTGCGAATGAAGATTAATATTTTAAAAAGTGTTTTTCGGATACTTTTTCAAGTCATTATTATTATTTGTTAAATGTTATATAGGAAGAGGTGTTAAGAAGGTGGCAGGAAATTGTACCAAATGGACAAAATTTGAAAAAACATCATGCCATTTGTGAGCTACATTTTGATAAAAATGATATTTTGAGACATGATGGAAATGAATTTACTTTACCGTCGGTACGTGCACGTTTAAAGGATGGTGCTACACCCAAAATTTTTGAAAAATTTGAAAAGAGTGAAACTACTCCACGTGTGATTGTAGTAACACATAATTTTCCTCATAATAACGATTTTGAAAAAGAAATTAATTTTGATGTAATTTATAAAAATGCTCATTGTATACCACTGCCTTCCTGTCACTGGTTCATGATGCGAGAAGAGGGCAAAATCATATGGAATTACTGGAAAGAAGATTGCTCTGAAGAAAGTGTGCAACTAGTTGTACTTTCTTCGAATATGATAGTGAAGGTAAGAAAATACTGTACGTACTCTATTAAGTGTGTAATAATTGCAATATATTTTTTTTTTGGTAGATTTTTTTGAAAGGAAAGGAGGTACATGTGGATAATATAAATTTTGCACAAAATGTGAAAGATATTGCAGATATACTGAAGAAGGTGGAAAATATTCTACCATGTGCTAGTGATGAATCGGAATACAGGTTTGCAGTATTTAGTTACATTTAACTTATATATATAGATTATTATTAAATTTATTTTTTATTTTAGGTCTTTAGATTGTAAAGGTTACGTAATGAAGACAGAATGTGGTAAAAGAGGTAAACGCGTAAAATTTTGTGATCCTTGTAAATTTCATCGATTACGATTACAAAAAAAAAAAAAAACGATTCCGGAAAACTAAACGCGAAAAACAAGGAATTGCGTGAAAAATTGAAAAGTGAAAACCGTCGAAAACAACGCACATCGTTCAAGGTAATGATAAGTGAAATTTGATTTTTAATGATAATTTAACAGAATTGCGACAATAGATTTTTTTTAAGGTAAAAATCAATTATTGTAAGAAGCGAAAAATTCTCTGAACTTTTTCACTACTTAAAACAATTTTTAAATTTGGATTTTCTGTAAAAATTTCACGTTGATCTCGAAAATACTTCCTTATTATATATAAGTATATGTATATCTAAAGGATTTTACAATTTTGTAAACTTGTAGCTGGTAGCTTACGCAAGTATGTAAATATTTAAATATTTTTATTATAAAAAATAGCTTTAAAAATGTGATATTTTTACAGGGAAAAAATTATAAAAATTTACTTAAGCAGTCTAATTTTTTTTAACACAAAGTACAAAATTTATAAGGTATAAGAAATTTAAAAAATATTTGTTAATAGATCAAGAAACTAGAAGAAAAGGTAGAAAATTTAAAATTAAAATGTTCAAAAATTGAAAATGAAGCCATTGTTAAGTGTTTAATTCAATTACCTGAAAATGAGCAAAATGCTGTGCGAACCATACTGGAAACTTCAAAAGTAAAGAGCAACAAAGGATTAAGATACCAATCGGATTGGGTTTATGAATGTATTCTTTTGAGGATCAAGAGTCCTAAAGGTTATGAACACATTCGAAGAAGACAACTTCTTCCATTACCAAGTGTAACAACTTTAAATAGGTACATGAAATTCATTAAAAGCCAGTATGGTTTTCAGGAAATCATTTTCGAAGGCATTAAATTAAAAACCAAATATATGTCGCCATTGGATGTTCACGGTGTGTACACTAAAATCAAATCTTTACTTATATTAAAGGGAAAAACTTTTTTGCATTATCGAGGATCTAAAATTATTAAATATTATTAAAATTTAAAAAAAAATGTTTTTGACCATTTGAGAATTCTTGTCTAAAAAAATAAAAATTGTTCAAAATTCATACGATCAATTTTTTTAAATCATGAAAAATGTATTTCATGTTGCTAAGGAGATATAATTTTTTTAAAACATTTTTTGGAAAATTAAATCGTACTTCTTTTTCAAAAATTAAAAAAACCCTGTGAATAATTTCTCACAACTCTTATTTTTTTATTTCTTAAATATTCTATTTTTTACGGTTGAAATTTAGTGGACTCTTCCATTGAATTGAATAAATATAGTTACAAATTTATATGCTTCTAAAATATGAGTAGAATTTTTTTTTTTTGTAGGATGCCTGTTAATCGATGAGATGAAATTAACCAAATATATCCACTTTGATGAAATGAATCTTAAATTTGAAGGATTCACCTATCTCGGCAATTATACCCCAGAAAATCAAACAAATCAAGCCGGTGATCATGCACTCGTTATGCTATTTCAGCCATTTAAAGGAAAATGGGTGCAAAGTTTGGGGTGTTTTTTAAGTAAAGGTTGTGCACCTGGTAAAGTATTGCACAAGTTAATAACTGAGTGCATAATTCTTACAGAGAATGCAGGATTAAAAATTGACGCGATAGTATCTGATGGAGCGTCATGGAACCGATCAATGTGGACTCAATTTGGAGTCAATGAGGAAGAAGTCAGCATAGAACACATCGTCGATTCAAGTCGCCGATTGTGGTTTGTGTCTGACTTCCCTCACTTGGTCAAATGTGTAAGAAATTTCTTAATAAAACATGGACTTCTAGAAGCAATTTGGGTAAAAAATTAATATCAATTTTTATTTATTAATTTAAAAACTTAATTTAGTAAATTTTCATTTTTAAAAATGACTTTAGAATCATTCAACAATTTTTTAAATAAATCCATATTATGGAAAATAAAATAAATCTAATATAGTAAGTTTACATTCAAAAAAAAGTAATATCTTGAAATTAATGCTTTCCAAACTTTTAACAAATTGTACTGGCAGTTAGTCGATTCGAACGAAATTAGATGAAAATTGTACTTCAATATATACTCAGAATATATATATATATATATATATATATATATATATATTACTATGATATTTACTGTCATGAATTTTTTAGACTCCAGATGGATTCATCGCGTTAATAATTTGGTTTTCCTTATTGGATTGCGAAAATACAGAAGATTTTTCTATAAAAGCAAACTTCAAATTTACAAAGAAGCATTTGCGACCCAGCTTATATGAGAAAATGAACGTCGCCTTGGCTTTCCAAGTACGTGATTTTATTGGTAAAAAATATTACTTTGATTTAATCAAATGAATAAAATATTTTCTGCTTTTTAAAAATTAACAGTTTTTTGGAGTCGCTGACCTTTTGGAATTAAATAAAAATAAGCACCCGGATTTAGAAGAGTGTGACTCTGCGATTGCCTTTTGCAAAAAATGGAAGGCTCTAATCAATGCTATGAATAGCAGAACACCAATAGATGCCTTAAAAGTTGACAATGAACCTTATAAAGTATGATCCATTTACATAAAATCAATATCAATTAAATGTTTGTTCTTAATAATACAACATTCAATTTCACGCTTGTATATTATACTTTACAGATTATTCAAAATTTTTTAAAATATCTTGAAGAATGGCAATCAGTGGCAACAGAAAAAAACTATAAATGTTTTCACAACAAAACGTTCTATGGGTTAAAAGTTTCTTTGAAAGCCACCCTAGAAATATGTCAATATCTGATAGAAAACTGTGGGTTCAGTTATATAATGACTGCTAGATTAAATCAGGATAGCTTGGAAGTACGCATTTTTTACAAAGGAAATTAAATTTTCTAAGTGTTCTATCCCAAAAAAATCAAAGTTTTTCAAAATTATTTTGTTAGTCTTGTTATTAAAAGTTCTCTCTTATTTCCACTTTCATCTAATTTTAAAGAAAAAAGAAATTTACTTTTAAATACATTTTTTTCAAGTAATTCACAAGTTGTAGTTAATTCTTATAAAAAATTTTAAAAAAGAATAAATTTATTATCTTTTGTTCATAAAGTCAATAAAAATTTAATGTTTTCAAAAAAAAACTTGATTTAAAAAAAATTGCATTGTCATTACATAACTGAGATTTTATTTTATAAAATTTTGAACTATTCAGAAAACATTGAATTTTATGGGTGCAATACTTGAAAAATTTTGTCCCACATAGAATTTAAATTATATTTTTTTTATTAATGGTTTAATGCATAATTTTGTTGTATTGTAGCGCTTCTTTGGAATGATGCGAGAGAGTTGTGGTGCGAACGACCACCCGGATTCGCGACTGTTCATACAATTATACAGATTAATTTCAACTTATTCTTTGATCGAGTCTCCGAAAGGATCAAATGTAGCAAGCTCAGAGATATTTGACGCTCTTTTACAAATTCAAGATATTGAGGAGAGAAATGAAAGAAAGAAAAAATGGGAAACTGAACTTGATAAAATTTTGGATAGTGGATCGAATATTGATGCATTAATTGAGGCCACAACTCTTTTACAAGACCACGATTATTGTGAATCAGAGACATCTGTTTATGCCAACGCTTATGTTGCTGGATATGTAGCACTCAAGGCTTCTTTGAGATTCGCAAAATTCATAGTAGATGAAAAAAGTGTCGTTTGCAAAAATTGTTGCGACGCATTAATTTTGTCTCCAAATGACCCGATACCAGAGCGACACAAACTCATCGAATTACGAACTAAAGGAAATCTAAAAAATCCTTCAGTTAAGCTATGCAATCTTATTAACATTTTAGAGGTTGCGGTAATGAAAATTGTAGGAAGTGGCAAGCTTGAAGAGGATACATTATTCCAGGTGACTTCTGCTCTTCAAGATTCATGTTCTGTACAATTGATCGGTTGCACAGATCACGCAGAATCACTCACTCGACGAATAATAACATTTTATTTAACAACCAGAATGTATTTCATATCAAAACAATGGAATAAAAATAATACTGAGAGAGCAAAGACAAGAGCAAAACGAAAAGAAGCTAAATTAGTCGAAGAACGCGATCGAGATGATGACACATATTTAAATGAACCACAAATTGGCGAAATACGAAGAGAAAGGAAAATTACTTTCCCGGAACTGAAAAATAAAAGACAAAAAATACAGCAAGATCAAGTGCAATAATATAATGTAAATAGTCTACAATAAAAAATACATTTTTATTGACACCTTTTGTACTACATTTTATAAATCACTTAATTTCTTATTTATTATAATCTATACAATTTTTAATAAATATAAATATATACAAATTCATTCATCTAAATAGCTAAAACGCATTAAAAAATATATATTAAATGTCAAAAATAGAAAACTATGAAAAAATTCCTTGTATAAATCAAAAATTAATTTCCATTTCATTACATATTTAATACAATAACAATAAAATAATTAAAAATCCTCCAATATTAAAATATTGAGACTATAAAAATTTCTATTTTATACTTAAAAATTTCATGTATAAATTAAAAATAAAATAATATTGCAAATTTTAAAATATATAAAATAAAATCTAAATAAAACAAAAATATAATTCACAAGTTGATTACCATAATTGTATAAAGTTTGTAAATTTTAGGCGCTCGTATCAGAAGTTCTTTTCTTTTAAATTACATTTGTCATTTCTACTGCATTCACGTTAACCTCGTTAATAGTTTTTAAAAGATTATTAAATTCTTCGACATTAGTTACTTTTATGTATGGCGAAAAAGGCATCACTTTGTTGTTAAAATAAATTCTTATTTCCATATTATTAAATACTGCCACTCTTTTTAAAACTTTGTAATTCTCTTCAACTCTTTGAAAACCAAAAAAGGTTTCATTTCCTTTTGTATAACACCACCTCTTGTCAGGTAATTTAACAAATTCCAATTGATTTTGTAAATTTTTGAATATTAACTTAGAATCTGCATGTGCTGTAACATTTGTGTACTTTTCTACGTCGTCTTTACAACTTTTCATTTTTCAGTAATTATAAGAATCTGTAAAATTATTTTACATTATTAAACACAAGAATTTTCATGTGGATTTTAAAATATTAACAAATTAAAAAAATTTCTTATTCTTTGAGCAAAAAGTTTATTAAATAGAATGTTTATTAATTATGAAAATAGATAATAATCATCAACACTTACCTCCTTTTTCTTGTTTGATTTTGATATAGTGCAAAAAAACGAATAACAGCACATGAAGCACGTCTCAGCATCACAAAAACAACAAATAACTGCATTTATTTATTTAAATAAAATTTGTCACAGTTATAATAATTCCTTGTTGTGCTTGACAATAATCGAAATTGTAGGTTATGTTTACTGTATCAAACTACATAAGTTTTTAATTAGACGATATACTTACTCGGTGGATTTATAATGACTGTAAATACAAGTTTTAAAAATGATATAAATTTTTAAACACAAGTAACTAAAAACATAAAAAAACACGATAAATGCATTTTTGGGTATCTCACCACTTGACACGCGCCACTGTTTAAATTTAGAGCTTACAAGAGTTTTCCGCTAGGAACCGCTAGTGAGGTTAATCCTAGTTGAAGCAATTAATTTCCGGAAAATCGGACTCGGTTTTCTCACACTTTGCCCACCTAGTGGAGCCTCCTTATACTACTCCGTGGTCTGAACGTCCTGAACGTGTTTCTCATAACCTCAAATAAAGTCATAATTAGTTTCGTTGGTTCACGTGTGTTTGCATCATCTATCTATAGTCTTTTTTGTTTGCATCACTTTTTCATTAATAAATACACAAAAGGTAAGTTATAATTTTTTAATTTTTCCATAAATTTTATTTATAAGAAATAATCTTTACTTTTAAAAAAGTAATTTTTTTCACCCCAATAATTCAAGATAATTAAAAAAAAAATAATTATTAAATAAACAATTTTTTTATTTATTCCGTATGTTCGTTTTTTCCTTATTTGACGAGTGAATTTTTTTTCTGGAAATAAATTCTCTTATATTTAAATATGATGCTGAAAAATTTAACATTTTTTTCACATGTTTTTAATGTGACCTTCAGAGAAAGTTGAAAAAAATGCAAAATAATAGAATATAAAAAACAATTGCGAATTTAAAAAAAATAAAACAAACTTTTTATAACAATTAGAAGTTTAATATAAGTGAATTTTTGAAAAAAAATTGAATTTCAACAAATAAATTAAATATAAATAAATGCTTAAATTTATAAATAATTAAATCTCCACATTTGTGAATTTTTATAAAATCGAATTAAATTTTCTTATTTATAAAATAAAAATTTGTTTTATGTAATTTAATTTTTTTCAATAATTAATTTTTATTTTGCTGCTTATTGTTAAATTGTGTTTAATTATAATAATTTTCATATCAATTTAAAATTATTAATAAATCATTTTTATATTTAAAATAAATATTTGTTAATAAATTAAAAGTGTGAATTAATTATCAAATTTATTTTAAAAAAAAATTGTAATTTTTATTTAAAATAATAAAATCTTATATTCAAATTAATAATTTTTCTATTCGATATAAATGTATTTTTTTATTATTATTTATATATTATTTTATATAAACGAAAAAAAAATTTTTTTTAATTTTTTGCAAAAAAGGCGAATTAGCATTTTATCTTGAATCTAAATAATTATTGATGGAAGAATTATTATTATTATTATTATTATACACACAAAATTATCGAGTCAATTGGAAATATTGCATAAATTTATTTAAATTTTATTACACTGACATTTGAGGAAACATCTCTTATCTCAATTGAGAGCATTGTACTTTTTTTTTTTAAATAATTATTTTATACATTACATATGTCCTTACGGAAATTTCAAATTTTAATATTTAAAATGCATAAAAATATATATAATATTTATTTGCATAAAAATTTAATATTTAAAGTTACAAAATTAATAAAAATTTAATGAATTAAATTTTCCAAATAAACGAAATTTCTAAAATTTATTTATTTATATTAAAAGAAAATCAGGGTTCAAAATATTTTTTTTATGCTAAACGATTTTTAAAGAAATAATTTTTTAAAATGAAAAATTCTATAATTTTTTGTCTAAAAAATATTTTTTTACAATTTGCTGATTAATGAAAACTATAAGAAATTATTTTTTAGGCAAAAAATTATAAAATTTTCCATTTTAAAAAATTATCTCTTTAAAAATCGTTTATCATAAACGTTACATACTTCAGCTTCCTGATTTATCTTTATATATATTTTATAGGAAAAATTTATAGCTTTTAAATAATAGTAATAAAATTTTTGAAAAAAGGGGGTTAAATTGTTTTTTTAACGATTTAATGACAATTTTTAGAAGATGTCGAAAAGGGTGCAGCCACCATGGAATCCACCTGAACGTAAGGGAAATCCAGTTTTAAAATTATTTAATAGTTTAACTCGACAGAAGGAAGAATTTATTCCACTTTATGGTAATCGGGTACTTTGGTACTCCTGTGGACCGACAGTGTACGATGCTTCGCATATGGGACACGCGAGGTGACTAAAAATTTTAAATTCAAAAAAATAAAAACTAGAAAATAATTATCTAAAAAAACTAAATATTATTACTTTTTATTATTTTAATAAACCTTTAAAATAATTATTTTTAAGCCGAATTTTTATTTATTCGAATTAGTATTTTGCAGAATTTTCATCAAAACGATTTTCTATATTAAAGAATTTTTATATAATCGAAAATTCACTTCACAGAATTGTTATTTGTTCGAATTTTTATTTGCTCGAATTTTATTGCATAGAATTTTCATTTTATTCTTTCAGATACATTTTCTTTTGTTCGAATTATTATTTGATATAATTCATATAACCGATTTTTTCATACTACATAATTTTTACTTAAACGAAAAATCATTTAACAGAATTTCTATAATTGATAGAATTTTCATTTATCCGAAATTTGCAAATGTCCGAACAAACAATCGATTTTGGCGCGATTTTTAAAATCAACCAATCACAATTTTATGGATAATTTTTGATTGGTTGATTTTAAAAATCGCGCCTAAATCTTTCCATCGATTGTTTGTTCGGTCATTTGCAATTTCGGATAAATGAAAATTCTATCAATTATAGAAATTCTGTTAAATGATTTTTCGTTTAAGAAAAAAATTTTGTAGTATGAAAAAATCGGTTATATGGAAATTCAATCAAATAATAATTCGAACAAATGAAAATTCATTTGAAAGAATAAAATTAAAATTCTATGTAATGAAATTCTACCCAATAAAAATTCTTTAAAATGCCTATTATATTAAATGAAAATTCGAGCAAATAAAAATTTTGACAATTAAAAATTCGAACAAATAATTCTGTGAATTAAATTTTCAGTTATATAAAAATTGTGTAATATAGAAAATCGTTTTGATGAAAATTCTATAAAATACTAATTCGAACAAATAAAAATTCGGCTTAAAAATAATTATGACAAATGAAATTCCATAAAATGAAAATTCTAACTAATGATTTTTAGAACATAATCATGCGGTCCTTAAAATCCATTTATTTTACAATACTAACCGCCATGAATACGATGATAAAAATATACAAAAAAAAACAATAAATCACTAAAATGTTTTTCAATTATAAACGAAATTACTATTTGAATGATATTTTCGTTTCTAATTAAAAGCTTTGTTTTTTTTTTTTAAAAAGGACAATTAGAATTATTTGCATAATTTGTACGGTTAAAAATCGATTAAATTCCCTCTTTTTTTTGAAAATTTAGATCTTACATAACTTTTGATATTCTTCGACGAATTCTCACCGACTATTTTGGTTACGATGTTCTCTATGTGATGAATATAACTGATATCGATGATAAAATCATTAAACGAGCAAGACAAAATTATTTATTTGATCAATATGTTGGGGAAAATCATACATTGGATGAAACACTATCCGATGCACGTAGTATGCTTTCGGCTATTGAAAGTACAATAAGAACGACAAATGACGCCGATAAAAAGGAAATGTTTATTAAAATGTTGGATAGAGTTCAATTAGCAATTGAAAATCTCGAAACGGCAGTGAAATCAAATGATGATAATAATATCAAAAAATGCCAAAAAGTAAGAAGTTTGCTTTTCTTCTTTTTTATTTTCATTAAATTTTATAAACTTCAATTAAAGAAAATTTGACTAAAATTTTGTTAATTTAATAAAAAGTATTCTTTTCTTTTGTTTTTATAATTGTAATTAAATTTTATAAATTTTAATTAATGAAAATTTCAAGAAAAAAAATTTTAATAAAAATTAAACTAAAATTTTGTTTATAATTAATAAAAAATATTTATTCACGTGCGATATATAAATAAAATGATTTTTTTAATTTAAAAAATTGTAAATTATTCATTAACTGTTAGTCTGTAAGAGAAAAATGTATTTTATTTTATAATCGAAATTTTATTTTTTTTAATTTTAAGATTTTACTGGCTGAAACTCGAGATCCATTATCGGATTGGTTGGATAAGAAAAATGGAAGTTCAGTAACTGAGCAGTCAATTTTTAGAAAACTCTCGGAACACTGGGAATCGGAATTTCACAAAGATATGGATGCAATTAATGTAAGTTTTCTCCAACTAGTTTTTGAATTTTTTTTACATTGTTTCTTTTTTTTTTAAATTAATTTAAATTAACTTTTAAAAAACAAATTTAAATTTCTATCAATCGAACAGAATAATTAAAAAAAAAACAAAATTGTAATAATTATTAATTATGTAAATTTATTTTCGTTTTGATTAGATATTAAAAATCTAATAAAAAAAGTTGGCATGAAAATCGACTAAAAGTACTTTTTTTTCGCTTTGAAAATTACGAAATTATTTAAAATGACTTTTGTGAAACATTTTTCTTTTATTAGGTTTTAAGACCAAATGTATTAACAAGAGTAAGTGAGTACGTGCCGGAAATAGTAAATTTTATAGAAAAAATTGTGGCAAATGGTCTTGCCTACGAAAGCAATGGATCGATTTATTTTGACGTTTCAACTTTTGATAAACGAGATAAGCATCATTACGCTAAACTTGTACCAGAAGCTTATGGCGATACGTCTAGTTTGCACGACGGTGAAGGTAAAGTCAATTTTTTTTTTATATTATAAAAATATTTATAATTATTTTAAATTTTTGAAAATTTTCAGGAGATTTATGCATTTCTGAGGATCGATTAATGGAGAAAAAATCGCCAAATGATTTTGCTCTGTGGAAAAGTTCAAAATCAGGTGAACCATGGTGGGATAGTCCATGGGGTCGTGGTCGTCCTGGTTGGCATATTGAATGTTCTGTAATGGCTTCGGCAATTTGTGGTGAAAATTTAGATATTCATACAGGTGGAATTGATTTGAAATTTCCCCATCATGATAATGAATTGGCACAAGCTGAGGCATATTTTGATAATTCACATTGGGTTCGTTATTTTCTACATTCGGGACATCTCACAATATCGGGTTGTAAAATGTCCAAATCATTGAAAAATTTCATTACAATTCAAGATGCATTGAAAAAACATACGGCAAGGCAATTGAGATTTGCATTTCTTCTTCATTCGTGGAAAGATACACTTGATTATAGTGATGCCACTATGGAAAGTGCGGTGCAATATGAGAAATTTATTAATGTAAGTTGCTTTCTTCTTAAAAAAAAAAAAAAAAAAATTGCGTGGGCGTTGAAAAATGTGAGCACCACTGGCCTCAAGACTTTGATACTTGTTGAAAATTTTAAGTTTTCTTTACAAAAAAAAAAAAAAATTTTCAAATTAAATGCAATCACGAACAGGACAGTAAGAAAATAAATCGGCAAAAATTAAGCAATAGTTTAAAGCGAAAAGCTTTAAGAAAAAAAAAATATAAGCAAATCATTTTAAGAATTATAAAATAGCGTTTAATGGAATTTAACTAAAATTTTCAACTCAAGTTGAAAATGTTATTTTTCAAATTTTGAGTAAAAAAAAACCGTTGAAAAAATGTTTTTATTTTTCAAAAAAAAAAAAAATAATAATTACGTTTGTCGCAGGAATTTTTCTTGAACGTTAAATGTCGAATTCGAAATATTGGCACAGGAACGACACTCAATACTTTTAATAAATGGACAAATGCAGAATTAGAAATGAATACGAAATTTACCACAGCGAAGGAAAGTGTTCATAAATCCCTTTGTGGTAAGATTTAATTTAATTTTTATGTTTTTTTAAAACTCTTCTTTTTTAGTATCAAAATACTTTTTTTTTTTTAATAACACCTCAAATTATTTTTAAAATATATAATAAATTTATTTATTTACAAAAAAATAAAAAAAAATTATCTAAAATTATTCGCCAAATTAATAATTTTCAATAATATTGATCAATTTGCTTCAATTGAAATAATTTTAAACATGGTGTATAACGGTCAGGGAAGTCAGGGAATTTCTTTAATTTTCTGTAATTTTTTATAAATAAATTAAAGTAACTATTAGTTTCAAATTTTTTTTTACTTTTTTCTCAAATTAAATGCAAATTAAAAATTTGGCCTTCACACTCAATTATTAAGCATGTGATATATCTTATATTCATAAAGTAAATAATTATTTACTACTATTTATTGAATCTAATATATGATTTTTTAAACTTGGATAACAATTAATTAATTTTTTTCAGTGAAATATTTCGTTTTTTTAATAAAAATAAAAATTATTTGATACAATTTTATTTTATCGGTTCAACTTGAAATAAAGTAAATTATATTCATTAATACGAATAATTTATTATTTAATGCTAATAGCCACATTTAACTTATAAAAATTTTTACGGCGTCGTATCTTAAATTATCGAATTTCTATTTAGCAAAATTGTATAAAATGGATTTTATATTATGCAAAATTTTTAATTTACATTTAACTAAAATTCGATTAAAAAGGATTTCTATTTAGCAGAACACTTATAAAGCATTTTTTTCTAATACTTTTAAAAAAATTTTAATTAATATAATTTCAATTTAACGAAATTTATGTCTATAAAAATTGACAAAAAAAGAACTAAGTAGAATTTTTCTTAAATGAGAATTCTGCTAATAAGAATTAGTTGGAATTAAAATTTTCTTTAATAAAAACTTTGTTAATTAAGAATTTTGTTAAATAGAAATTCTGTTAATTGTGGATTTATTGAATGACAATTCTGTTAAGTAAATATTTTGATAAATCAAAATTTACTAAAATCACAATTCTGTAAAAAAAATTTCATTTATGCAATTTTTCTTGATATAAATTCTGTTAAATTGAAATTGTATTAATTTGAAATTCGATGTACTAGAAAATCTTCTTTATATAATTTTACTAAATAAAAATTTGATAATTTAACAGGGTGTCTACTAGTCCTGGAAGTCCTGGAAATGTCCTGGAATTTGAAAAAATGTCCTGGAATGTCCTTGAAAGTCCTGGAATTTTAATTTTTCTCCTTGAATTTTTTATATTTTGCTTTTAAATTTTTAAAAATTTATAATTTTGTCAATCAAGTTAATAAAAATTCATTAAATAAGTAAAATGAAAATTTACTTAAGTGATTAATTAATTTTTTAATAATTTCTGAAAACAATAGTTAAACTAAACATTTTTTTATTCCTTAAGGTCATCCAATTTAATGTCCTGGAAAAATAAGAAATTTGTCCTGGAAAGTCCTGAAAAAGTCCTGGAATTTTAATTCAGATTTTTAGTAGACACCTTGTAATTAAGATATGACACCGTAAAAATTCTTTTAAATTAAATGTTTAGAATATTTATACGTCTCCAATTAGTTAATTTATTTCACTTAAATATTTTTTTTTTACGAAACATTATTTATTTTGTTCAAATACATATGAAATTAGTGGATAATAGACAGGTAAATAATTTAATAAATTGTATCAAAAAAAAAATTTTTTTAGTTTAATTTAGGTCAGGGAAAAGTCAGGGAATTTTTTTCCTAGCAGTTTTTAGACACCCTGAAAATTCATCTGAAAGAAAATTCTATGCAATGAAATTCTTTAAAATGTCTATTATGTTAAATGAAAATTCGAGCAATTAAAAATTCTGACAAATAAAAATTCGAATAATTAAAAATTCTGTGAAGTGAATTTTCGGTTATATAAAAATTCTGTAATATAGAAAATCAGTTTAATAAAAATTCTGCAAAATACTAATTCAAACAAATAAAAATTCGGCTCAAAAATAATTATGATAAATGAAATTCTATAAAATAAAAATTCTAACTAATGATTTTAAGAACATATTCATGCGTCCCAATTTTCTAAAATAATGTTTACAATTCAGTAAATAAAATTTTTTTGTTTACATATTACAGACAACATTGATACGAGAAGTGCTTTGGAAGTGATTCGAGATCTCGTTACACATTCGAATGTTTATATTAAAGATACTGAGAATCCGAATACACTTTTGTTACGTGACATTGCTGTTTATATGACAAAAATGTTTACAATTTTCGGTGCTATTTCCAGTTCGCATAATGACATTGGTCTTCCAGTTGGCAGTGAAACTGTAAATTTCAATGTAAGGGGATAACAATTATTTCTTCTTCTAATTTTTAGTATTTGAAGTAATTTATTTGTTACAAAACAATTAAATAACAAAAGAAATTTTGAAATTAAATTTGAATGCAAATGACGTTTTTTTCGGTAGAATTAAAATTTAAATGGTCTTTTCTTTAAAATTATATTCAATTATTATTAAATTGACTGAATTTTTTTTTTTTTTAGATGGAGGAAACGATAATGCCATATTTAAATGTTTTGGCCGATTTTCGTAATAAAGTTCGTGATCAGGCAAAATCAATAAAAGCAATGGAAATATTAAATGAATGCGATACATTGCGTGATGATATTTTACCAAATTTTGGTGTACGTTTTGAGGATGGCGATTTTTGCAGTATAAAACTTGTTGATAAAGAGGAACTTTTGCGTGAAAAAGAAATTAAAAAACAAATTGACGCTGAAAAAGCGGCCGAGAAGGAAAGAAAAAAAGCGGAAATTGCCGCTGCAGCCGCTGTCAAAGATGCTTTACGAAAAATACCACCATTGGAATTATTTTTAATGGAAACCGACAAGTATTCAAAATTCGACGAGAATGTAAGTATTTTTAACATAATATTATTTCAACGCAAATAAAAACAAAAATTTCATAAAATAATTGTTGAAAATTAATTATACTGATATTAAAAGTCATTATTAGGAAATATCAAATTTTTCTAAAAATAGACTGCAACTATAGGTGAAATAAAATGAAATGATCCAATTGAAATTTTTTTTTAAGAATTTTGAATTGTTCTTTATAAAATGTTTGTTTAACATATTTTTCTATTGAAAGAATATAATAATTATTCAATTAGATTAAAATTTTTATTAAAATTATTTTTTTTCAGGGCCTACCGACGCTGGACGCTGCAGGTAAGGAAATTAGTAAAGGTCTTTTAAAAAAATTACAAAAATTACAACTAGCACAAGAAAAAAGGTACAACGACTATCTCGATAGTTTAAAAACAAATTCTTAGGTAAAATGAAAATCAACAAAATAAACATTATTTTGATACAACAATAATTTTTATATTTATATTTTTGAAAATGACTTTCGTTTGCTAAAAAAAAATTAGAAGAAGAAAAAATCTGGTCAAATTAGACAAATTTTTAAAGAAAAAAAAAATTAATTTTTTTAAGAAGAAAAAGTGAGATTTTTTTTCATCGGTATTTGAATAATTTTTAAATTGATAAAAAAAATTTTGCTTCAAACGTAAATTAAATACGTTTAATTTTTTATATAATTATATAAAATAAAACGACCTGCTTTTTTATATTTTTAATATGAAAAAATATTTTTTAGTCAATTTTTTTTTTTTAATGTGATAGGAATTAAAGCAAGTGAATTTAAAAAATATATTTGACTCAGTATCACTCAGTGTTTAATTAAAATTGAACTGTACTTTTTCTTCGACTTATTGATGTTAAAAAGTAATTTACGGTTTAAAAAAAAAACAATCTCACGGATTATTTAATGAAATTGAAGAATTTATTTTAAAAAGTATTTATTAGACTATATCCATTTATAATTTTCGTCCAATGATAACAAAAAATTAAATTAAACATCTTTTTTTTACGAAAAAAGAAAGTTTATAAAACAAATTTTTATAAAAAAAAAAGTAATAGATGAAGAAATTAACAATAATATTAAGTAAATGAAATAACTGAACCATAATTAATAATAATTTAAAAATATATTTTAAACATTAATGAGCTATGATTAATAAAATAAAGAAAAATATATACAAAATTAATTTATGTAATTTTCAATATCCATTGCATTTTTTAATCGGATAACTTCAAAAGCTTAAGGATCATGTTTTTTTTGTTCATAAATAATATTTTCGATAATAAATTTTATTATTACTATATTTGTAAAATTGTAAATTTTCATATTATATTTGAAAAAAAATATTAATTCATATTAATTAATAAAAAAAAAAAATGGATATTGTCATTTTCCTAATTTGTTACAGTGAAAAAATATTATCCACAGCCGGTAAAGTTATCTGTAGAAAATTTCTTTTTTACCAACAGCAATTAATACAGTTCCAATGCATACCAATTTGTACTTATTTCCGATGTTATCCATAAATGGTAAAGAAGCAGTTATTTTTATTAATTTTCTTCTTTTATCAACAGTAATATTCTGTTATATTATAAAAAAAATTAATCATTTATTCATATTTTTTCAAAAATAATTCTAATAAATAATAAACAAAATAAGTAGAGTGAAATTTTAAATTATAAAAGTTAAAAAAAAAGTAAGCCAACACTACGCGGTATTCCCAAGCGGTCACCCATCCAAGTACTAACCACGCTCAATGTTGCTTAACTTTGGTGATCGGACGAGAACCAGTGTAACAACATGATATGAGCGTTGACTGATAATCGAAGTTTTACAAATTGTCCAAAATTAAAAGATTGTTGTTAAGTATTTTATAAATAGAATTTGTATTCATAATTTTTTAATAACTTTAAGTAAGTCAATCATTCTAATTTAATAAAATTAGATTAATTTTAAATTTTCCACTAATTACATGAGGACAAAATAACCTCGCCAGCAAATTTTGCAAACGAAATATTTTTGTCTTCCATCAAGTCAAATACTAGTTTTAGAATTATTGTTATATATTTTCATTTACAGTTTTGATAAATTATTGTATTGGCAATTCGGAATTCGCTAATTTTCGATCGTTGCGCTCATGGTGGCAATTTTCTGAATTAAGTTCAAAATCAGTTCCTTCTCCCACTACTGTAGTTACAACTTTTTGTAAACAAAGTTGTGGACTGATCAGGGTTGCGTATATATATGTATAAAGGCCTGAGCAGAATAGAAACGTAACCGCAAACGCAACCGGAATAATGAGTTGGAGAAGGACAAACAATATGTCTATCCTTCTCTAACTCATTCTTGTGATTACGATTCCGGTTACATTTCTATTCCGCTCAGGCCTTTAACTAGATCGAGACAGGTAATTTACGTAAAATACGTGCATGCAATTTACATGAAAATCTTCCAGTGACGCGTCACTACCCATTTCTGGTTCGAAGTGTAGTCATCCAACCTTGCTTAATGTTACATCTGAAATAATGACATAATGTTGATAAATTTTTGCAACCATTTCAACAACAAACAATTGTATGTTGGTTGTATATGGTACAAGAGGCAATGAAAACAAATCGATTAATTAGTATTCTGATGCAGAAACAATAAGAAATAATTAATCTTTGAACACAGTAACTTGTGTACTTGAATAATTTCCTATTTAACGTATTAAACGATTGAAATTTAGAATAGTTGACGTAATATAAACAAAGAGACCTAAGAATCAAATCATTTTAATGTTATGTTTGTGTTAGTTTTATACTTTTTGTGTATTATCAATACAAAAATTACAAACATAACCTAAAATTTTTTACTTTTTAGGTGCCGCTTTATATCGCTCCACATATGTTAATAATAAAAATGTTTTATTTAAAACGAAAAGTCTTTTATTGAACTTGAAGCATTATTATAATTTATTTCAATTGACAAAATAAAAAGAGTTATATTAAAAGTTTAAAGTCTGAAATAATTCAAATGAAAACCAATCTTTATTAAAAAAAAAAAAAAATAATTTAAGCATTTCTCATCATATACGATTCAAAAATCGGATTGAAGAGGATTAAAACATTATTTCCTCAAATTCTATCAAAGCAAGTATTCGTTTTGATAGACTTTCTATCCAAAATCTTTGATAGTATTTTATATATAATATACACAAAATTGCGGATTCAAAAAACGGATTGAAAAGTATTAAAAAAATGTTTCTATCAAATTTTTAAAGCAGGGAGAGTTCCGTAATTGGCAAGTAGTGGTTGTCTTTTAAAAATGAGGTACATTTAATTTGAAAAATATTATTCTCCTAATTCGGACAGAAATGGAAAAAACCGGAAAAAATACCAGTTATCCTGAGTTTGTTTACTTTCATTTGCCTCCAAGAAATTAAAAATTTATTCACATATAAAACGACAGGAAGTAAAATATGGAGAGTATAAACATTTACGTAGTACTGAAATTTACCGTCTGGGGCAGCACCTAACGTCTACAAAAAAATTTCTTATTTTACTTCCTGACGTCGTTTATCGTAATGAATTTTTAATTTTTTGTGCGTAAATGAAAGTACAACATTTCAGGGTAAGTGGTATTTTTTCAATTCTTCCGTTTCTATCCGAGTTGAGAGAAAAATTAACTATAATAATTTCCGTATTCATTCATTCGTTCATTCCGTCTGTCCACACTTGAAGTTAGTCTTATTTGTTCCTTTTGTTTTTCTAAAATTTTGACAATTCTAGATTTCGTAATATTTTATGGTTAACGCGACGGATATTTTTATTCATCGTCATTAATTAAGTCATATACTAAGTGACAGTTTAAACTAAAAAAAAAATATTGTTCATTGTGTGCAGCACCAGTATATTTCCTACTTGGTATTCATAGAAAAAAAAGTTTCAATTATAATATAATTTTTATTATTATTTATAAATTTATTATATTATATATACATTTTTTGTATAATGATTATTACAGATAATTAGAACATTTTAACTTATAATTATTATTTCTTTCATTATTTTTCCATTATTTATTCTTATTTATTATATATTATTATTCATAAATTTATTATTATTAATTTGTTTTTATTATTAATTATTAAATTTTTATATTTTTTTATCTGTAAACAATATAAAAATAGTTTGCTTTTTTAAAAAATTTTCAATTTGATTTTAATTTAAGTTTAAAGTTTAAAACATTACAAAGTTTTTTTTAGGTTTTATTTTTTCAAAATTTTTAAATATTTTTTAATTGCTTAATACTTTTTAAAATATAATTAATAATTTTCAGTTAATTTAATTTTCTTTTTGATTACATAATTTTTTAATATTTATTAATTATCAATTAATTAAATTTTTTGAAAAAAACAGAAATTAAAAATTTTCATTTGCAACGAAATATTTATAGAAAATACAAAAAAATATTTAGCAAAACTAATTTTTTGTAATTTCAAAGATTATGAAAAATCATCGAACATTGACTTTATCAAAAATATTTATTTATAAAATTTTAATATTTATATTTTAAAATTTTTACTTAAAAATCTTATTTTTTTTACTATCAATTCACAAAAAAATGATCTTACTCGTTATATACATTCTGTCAATAAGAAAATCCATTCGTCAGTAATATCTTTTATCCTAACAATCTCTGCCTTTTCGTATACAGTATATTATACATAAGTGACAAAGAATATTTTAATCATAATTGACACAACATAATTAATTTTTCTCGGCATTTCAAGTGGTGGCGGTTATGTTGGCGATACTAGAATTGATTTATCAACATTTACACCGCTAATTGTAACTATTGGATTTAATTTATGTTTTTCTTATCATCACTTTTTCGATAGGTTTTTTCTTTGATTTTCATTGTTCATTTTCATTGTCAACAATCGAACTAATAGTTTTACAGTTAGGTTTTTTATTAAATTTAAAAATTAACTTAGCTAAATTATTTTTGTTGTATTAACTACACAGAAAATTAAAAGGCATTAAAATAAGCTGCAACGCTTCTTATTTTAATGCCTTTTAATTTTCCGCGTAATTATGAGCTGGCTTAACTAAAAAATCACTATTTATATAACATCAAACTCATTTTTTTCTGTGTATAAATAAATGATAACGTGAAAATTAGAAATATACCTATTATTAATTTATTACTCCACTGATGCAGAATAATAATAATTATTATTAATATTGTTATTATTTTAAAACAACCATTGCATTTAAAGTTAGACGCGCGCGTGTAATTTTGCTAGTTCATTTTAAATTAAATGCACCTACTAGGTGATTGGTGGAAAATTCAAAATTATTCCAGCGCGTCTAATTTTTGTACAATCACGTGATTACAAATTCATTATATACTTCATTATTTTTTTTAGGCGGAAGATCACATCAGTGTAGCCTCGGGCAGACATCGGTACA